CAGGTGCTCGTCATCGACCCCGCCTCGCGACCAGACATGCTCGGCGTCTGCGAGCTCGCCCTGCCCTGGCTGCACGCCGTCTGCCCCGCCGCCGCCGAGCGCCTCACCGCCGTCACCACCGCCGCCCGGTTGGCCTCTGCCGGCGGTGCTGATTGCGGGTACGCCATTGCTGCGGCGGCGGCGCAGCACGCCCCGCCAGAGGCTGTGCCGGCTGCGACCCCCGCCCCCGAGCGGGGCAGCGCGGCGCGGCGGTGCGACTCGTACACGCGCGGTGCGAGCGACATGTCGCAGGTGGACACGCTGCCGGACAAGGGCGACGGCGACGTCGAGGCGGAGGCGTACCAGCGCTGGGCAGAGGAGAGCGATGCGGGCGACGACGCGAACATGCGCGACGATTGCATGGGCGTGTGCGACGAGACTAGCAGTGTCGCGCTCTTCCGAGACTGCAGCCGGCAGTACTCGGAGTCGATGAGCACCCTCGTGACGCCCACGTACCGCAGCAGCAGCGGCTTTGAGGACGAGGACGCGGAGGACTCGATCAAGGGGCCGATCCGCGGAGTCTTCTTCGAGGAGCCGAGGGCGCTGCCGCCCATCACCACGGCGCGCATCCGCGCTCGAATCATCGCGTGAGCGCCAGAGCCGCGAACGCGTCTCGTCTGGCCATGGCCATGCCCCACACCTTTTTCCACGGATTTGTGTGCCCCCCCTTACGTTGTGTGTTGCCGCGAGTCCTAGCGCCGTACTCACAAAAGCGTCAAACACTTTGTTTGCAAACCAAGGCAATCTCGGGGGGGCCACGCTCGGCCTCGGGGACACGGGACACCACCCCAAAGTCCCCACCCCGCGGGCCCGGCTCCGCCGTGTCCCCCCCGTGTCGCCGTGTCCGAGCTCCGACCCCCCTGCCCCTCCACAGCTCCGCGGCTGTCCGCTCTTCCACCCCTCGCCCCCTTCCGCTTTCCTGCGCCAGAGCACACGCGACGAGTCCACACCACAGCTTTCCTCGCCACACATCACCCCCTCCTGGCCGCCGCAATCGCGGACTGCAGCGTCTCGACCCATAAGTTGAGCTCGTGAGGCGTCTCGGCGGTGAACTCGAGCTTCTCTGGCGGCTGCGGCCCCGGCTTCTTTGGCTGCTTGGCGCCGGGCCGGTTCGGGTCGAGGATGAGCGAGAAGGTTGTCTGGTTGGAGGGCCAGACTCGCTGCACGTCGGTTCGGAGCAGGAGCACCAGCTGCGGCTTTGTGTCGCCGCGCCCCTTGTAGATGGAGAAGCGCTGGCCGTCGAGCACGCAGTGCCGCCTGCGAGGCCGGGGGGGGGGGGGGGGGGAACAACCCCTGGTCCCCAGGGGCGGGTGGGGCCCCGGCTAAAGGCGACGTTGCCCCTCTAAACGCCCTAAGGCCCCCGCCTCGCTCGCCCGAACCGCTCCTTGGCGCCAAGGGAGGGGTACTAGCGGGTTCTGAAGGGGCGGCGTGTGTGTGTGGATGGGGGGGGGGGGAGCACGCACGCTTTCTTCTCGTGCTTGAGGACGCCGGCGCGCGAGTAGGCGCCTCCAGCCATGCCTCCGCCGGTGTGGGCGTAGTGCTGCTGCTGCGGCGGCGGCGGCGGCGCGGCATTGCGGCCGGTTGCGATCCTAGACGCGCTGCCACCCATGCGCCACCGGGACTTGGCGGCGGAGGCCTCGCCGGGCACGCCTCCGCCGCTGTGGGCGGCCACGGAGGCCGCCTCCACCTGGCTGTTGCGCGGGTTGAACTCGACGCCGTCGGGCATCAGACCGCGCGGCAACTCCTCGGGCAGAGGCGCGCCCTTGAAGCGCGCGGCGGCGATGTGCAAGGCCACGGCAAACTCGTCCGCGAGCAGCAGGCCTGCGCTCGGGGGCTGGGCTCAGGGCAAGGCGGGTATGCCAGCAGGCGGGTACGCCAGCGGGCGGAGGCAATGTGCGAGGAGGAGAGGGAAGCCCGCGCCGTCCATGTCGAGGTCGGAGAGCAGCCAGATGTAGTCAACCTCGTCGCGAGGCAGCGACGCCTGCCGGCAGCGGGCACGGGTGCCCAACACGGTGCGGCGTCGCCCCTCCCTCCCCGGCGCACGCCTTTGCAAAGACGCCCTCCGCCTGCGAGCGCGAGACTGGCCGCCCCTCGTTCAGGCCGTGGAACAGGGAGCGGTACTGCATGAGCTCGGGGCCAGACATCGGAGAGATGCCGCCAGAGTGTGGCAGACCCGACGGAGGCGCGGCCGGCGGCGTGGTGGGCGCGGCGGGTGCCGTGGCGGGTGGCGAGGCGGGGGCGCCGAACGCGGCGTCGAACCCTTCGGCGTCGAAGGAGGAGACAGCGCCGCCAAAGCCGCCCGCCGCGCCGCCCGCCGCGCCGCCGTCGCCGAAGCTGGTGGCGAAACCGCCAGCGTCGAACCCTCCGCCTTGGCACGCCGGCGTGGCCATCCCGCCCCCAATTCCGCAGTCGAAACCGCCCTGGGCAGGAGCCGGCGCAAACTCCGCCCCGAAAGAGGCTGCGGCCCCGAACCCGGCGGCTCCTCCGAAATCTGCCCCGAAGCCCCCTCCGGAAGCCTACGGAGGAGTAGCGGCGCGGTGAATCCCTGGCTAGCTTGCAAGCCGCGGCCACAGCTAGCACTCACCGCCGGTGCCGGCGCCGCCGGTGCCGGCGCAAACCCGCCACCAAAGTCGGCCATCGTCGGGTTTGTGCCGCACCCGCCGGGCCGGCTCGCGGCGCCCATGGTATCGAAAGCTCCAAAGCCCGCGGCCGGTGCGCCGCCGAAGGAAGCGCCGCAGAACGAGCCGCCGGCCTGCCCTCCGAGGGGCGAGGCCGCGTCCGCGCCGAAGCCCCCATTGGCAAGCATCGGAGGGGAGGTGCCCGTCGAGGTTGGACCAAAGCCGAGGTCGTGCGGTGGCGGGCCAAAGCCAGGTGGGCACGCGGAACCCATGCCGCCGCCGGCCGCCATGCCGCCGCCGGCCGCCATGCCGCCGCCGGCCGCCATGCCGCCGCCGGCCGCCATCCCACCTGTGTCACCCACCCCGTCCATGCCGCCCACCCCGCCCAAGCCAGCAAACCCGCCGCCCATCCCGCCTCCCAAACCGCCCAGCCCACCTGCGGCGCCCAAGCCGTCCACGCCGCCCATCCCCACGCCCGCCCCCACGCCCGCCCCAGCTGGGTAGGCCCCCGCGCAGCTGCCGACCGCCGCAGCGCCTCCGCCAAAGTCGACGCCGGCCACGCCTGCGGCCGGCGCACTCGCGGCCCCGAAGCTCGGCGCTGGCATCGGGAAGGCGGATGGGTCGATCATTGGCGTGCTCGACACGTCGGCGCTGCAGCCAGGGGCGGAGCAGTGCGTCGCTGCCGCGTCGAGGCCGTAGGTCGTGCCGGCGCCGGCCGCCACACCGGCCGCCATTCTGCAATCCCCCATCATGCCGGGGGCCGGCGCCGGCGCCGGAGCGCCGAAGCCGCCGCCCAAATCCGCAAACGCGTCGGGCGTGCCGCCCCCGCCATGGCCCGCCGGCGCGGAGTAAGCTGGCACCGGCGCGCCGCCGCCCGCTGCGCCGCCGCCCGCCGCGGCAGCCTCGTGGAAGAGGCCCGCCGCCGCCGCTGCAAGCCGCACGACTGCCCCGGAGTCGAGGTCCGCGCCGGTAGCCCACTCGTCGAGCCGCTGGTTTGCCGGGACGAGCTCCGGCGCCGCCTCGTGCCACACGCGGGCGAGCGCGCCAAGCACGGCGGCGCGCCTGACGGCGCCGCCGCGAGCCACGAGCTCCACCAGCTGGGCGGTGGCGCCGCCGGCCGGCTTTGGGGCGGCAGAGGCGGCCGAGGAGGCAGCCGTGCGTGACATCATCGGCGGCAGCGAGCCCGCCGCCGCCGCCACCGCCTCGGACTCGGTGGCGGGGGTCAGCTTCTCGCGGACTGTGGAGCGCTCAATCCCGCTCGGCATTGTGGCCGTGTAGTACGGCGTCACGTCATCGTAGTGCACCTACGCGGGCGCGATCGCGCCCTCAGGCACACGCGCTGCTCGGGGGGGGGGCTCGAGGACCAGCTCGGCGCTGCACTGCACCTTGAGGACAGTGACGAGCACCCTCTCGCCCTGATCCACGTACCAGCAGCGCGTGCCTGCGAGGGGGGCGGCGTGTGGGAGAGCGACGCGGGTGAAGGTGCGACCTCCCCTCCGGCGGACCCGGCTGCAGCACGTCGCCGACCAGCGCGCCGCCGACACTGCCTCCTCCTCCGCCGCCGACACGGCCTCCTCCTCCGAGGCCGGGAGCCGGCGCGCCGCACCCGCCCAGCTGGCCCATGCCCAGCTGGCCCACCCCGCTCGCGCCGCAGCCAGCCCAGCCGTCCATGCTCCCACCCATACCGCCCATACCGCCCAGCCCGCCCATGCCGTCGCCACCGACGCCCATGCCCTGCCCAGCCGGCAGGCCCCCAGCCGGCAGGCCGCCGAAGGAGAGCCCTCCCATGCCGCCCAAACCGCCCATCGAGTCCGCGCCGGCCGGCTCAGCTGCTGGCGGCGCTGAAGCAGCGGCGACGGCTGCGGCTCGCACCGCCGCTGCCCGCTCCGCCGCCGCCCGCTCCGCCTCCTCGTTCTCCGCTGCGATGCGCCGGGCTTCCTCCGCCGCCGCCCTCTCCTTGGCCGCCTGCCTCTCTGCAGCCTCGGCTGCCGCCTGCGCTTGAGCCGCCGCCGCCGCCGCCTCCGCGGCGGCCCTCTCCCGTGCCGCCGCCTCAGCCGCCTCCGCCTCCGCCCGCTCGGCTGCCCGCTGCTGCGCCAGCTGCTCCTCGGTGGGCCCGGTGGAGGGGGTAGCCGGAAGCGGGCTCTGGGCGGCGGCCGCCGCTGCGGCGGCGAGTTCCGGCGGGAGAGCTGCGGGAATGGGAACCTGCCGCTTGAGGTGGCGCATGATGATGTGGCAAGCCACGTAGTACTCGGGCCGCGTCAGCTCGGTGTCGGCATCGGTGTCCGCTATCTGCCAGACCTGCTGCAGCGTCGGCAGCGGCAAACCCGAGCGCTGCAGCTGGCTCTGCTCCAGATTGACGCGCCCTCGTTTGAGCCCGTCGGCAGCGTCGTACATCCGAGCGTAGAGGTTGGTGTCGGCATCCTCGAACGCCCACACGCTCAACATATTGCAACACCGGTCCTTGCGGCCGAGCGGCCGAGCAAAGGAACAAAAGAAAAAAGGCAGCCAACGACAAGGCGCTATCAAAAGAAAAATCGACAAAGTCGGCGGACACAACAACCGTCGGACGAAGCGCCCGCCGCAGAACTCCGCGAACCGCGACGCGCAGGGCCGGCGGCAGAGCGAGCGGTCCATATGGCGGCTGCCGTCGCACTCCTGAGCGCCCTGGCGCAGGTCGGCGTCGACGGCGAGGGCGTCCGCCTGCAGGCGGCCGCGGTGACGTGCGTCTCGGTCATTCTGCGCTGGCCGGCTGCGCGAGGCGTCTCGGTGCTGGAGTATGGCGCATGGTGGAGGCAGCTCAGAGGAGCTGGTGCGGAGGCGGAGGGCGTGCCGATGCAGCGGTTCGCAACGAACAACCTCGTCGACACCAGCCTCGAACTCACGGGACTCCGGCCGGGCAGCCACTACGCATTTGAGGTCCGGGCACGCACCGCCGCCGGGTGGCACCTCTACACCAACACCCTCGAGGAGTGGACAATGGCGCCTTCGGACTTTCCGCTGCCAATCCTCGCGCCCGAGGTGCGAGGAATGATCGGCTGCACCGCCATCCTGCTCGGCCTCCCAACGCTTCGGTTCTGCCACACGACGACCCACATGGGCCTGCAGTATCAGCACGGAGGCGAGGATAGCAGCACTTGGCAGATGATGCGCGAGAATGTGCTCGGAGGCGACATTCAGGTTGACGGCCTGGACCCGTACGCCACGCACTCTTTTCGGCTGATTGGATTTGAGCAAGGCACGGAGGCGCGGCCTGCTGCAGGCGCGGCCACGCCGCCAATCCTGACAGACATGCTCGCCGCAACCCTTACGCAGCCGCCGCGCGCTCGCGCCACCTCTTCCGCCTCCTTCGTCCTGAGCTGGAGCGGGGACTCACGATGCCGGCCAGAGGCGCGATGGAGACTCGCGTACCGCAGACTTGCCGATGCGACTGGGGAGTACGCCGCGACTAGCGCGCTCGCAGACTCGCGCCCCCGACAGCTGCAAATGGCGGCACCACCGCCACCTCCGTCACCGCTGCAGCTCTCGCAAGAAGCGGAGCCGGCAGCGCCCACATCGCAATTAATCCCGCGCCGCCGAGCCGCCGCCTCGAAAGGAGGGGGTGGGGGAAACTGTCCGAGTGGCTGGGTTCCAGCGGGCGGCAGCTGCTTTGCCCTGCTCCCCGGAGCGGCCCTGCCGGCCGCCAACGCGGCAAAAGGGTGTGGCACGCTCGCACCAGGTGCAACTCTTGCTCGGCTTGACTCTGCGGCAGAGGAGGCGGTGGCAGCGGAGCTGTGCGGCTCGTCACCTTCGGGGAAGCCGGGCATCGGATGCTGGATAGGCGAACCTTACCCTATCTTGTTCGCACCAGCACCCCCCCTCCCCCCCCAGCCCGGCCTCTGACTCCCTCGACGCATCGGCCTTGCGCAGGTGCATCGGACCGGACGTGCGCGTCAGAGTCGGGCGTGTCGGTGACGGGCGTTCCGCTCGGCAATGGCATTATGAGCGGCGCCTCGGTCAAGGATTGCTGCGAAGCGTGCAACGCGGTGCCAGAGTGCGCGCTCTTTGACCTCACACCGGATGGGCGGTGCACACTTCTCGAGCACGGCAAGACGAGCCGCAACGATAAGGCGCACCGTGCGGGGTCGATTGGTGGCGGGAGCTGGGGCTGGGGCGATGGGCAGCCGCTTCGTCATACGCACTGGAACACGGCTCCGGATCGGAGGTGGAACGGGCGCGCCATCCAAGGAGTCGCGTGCGCCGTCCTGATGCAGCCCGTCTCTGCCGGCGGCGGCGGGTGGCGCTGGTCGGAGGTGCCATGCACTCTGAAGAGAACTGCCCTCTGCCGAACGGCTCCTCCATCACCACCGCCCCCACCACCGCGCCCGCCGCCCCCCCCTTCGCCTCCCATGCCAAAACCGCCGCCAAAGCCGCCGCCGCCACCGAGGCCGCCGCCGCTGCCGCAGCCGCCACCCGCCCCGCCTGCTCCGCCACCGCCACCGCCGATGCCTGGCGCAGTACGCGAGGCGCTCTACCCGATTGCAAGCAAGGATGCCTCCTCGGGTGACGGCGAGGCATGGAGGCGTATGCGCGGAGGCGCTGTCGATCGCGGCTGCTCGCTCGGCCAGCCGCATGACCCCGGTCCGCCGCGATGCGACGCGACGTGCGAGGCGATCGACTTTGTGTGGGGCTGCTCTTTCTGCCGCTGTGCGCTGTGCTCGTGGTGCAATCCCGAGCTGGCCGCGTCGCACGGTGGCTGGCGCACCATAGACGGGACGTTGTCGGGCACTCACGCCGTGCTGAAGCAGCTGGCCTGCCCTGGAGGATGCGAGTTCAAGCTACAACCACTGCACATTGCGGGATGGGAGCACCTCTCTGCTGCGTCGCATGTCGCCGCGACCCCGCAGCTCAAGTCGCCCGCACCCGCAGCCATCCGACTCCAGATGCGGCTCGCCTCCCACCCGCTCGAGGACGAGGAGCTACTCGGCGCCGTCTTCATCGCCGACCTCGCGAGCTGCCTCGAGGCGCCCGAGGTGCGCCTCTCGCTCGTCGAGCTGCGTCTCGGCGGCGAGTTTGCTATCTTCGACCTCCTTCCCACCGATGCCGAGGAGGCGGAGGCGCTCACCGCCGTGTCGTCGCACGGCTCGCCGTACTCGTCGCACACAGAGCGCGTCGCCGCAGCCGCAGCCGCCGAAGAGCACGCGGAGGCGGCGAGGGCGCACACAAACACGGGAGGCATCGCCGCCGCCCAGCTGTCCAAGCTGGTGCTTGCTCTTGTGGGTGACGGCGGCTCGTGCCTCTACTCGGGGCAGGCTACTGCAGCTGTTGATGCCGATGCCGGCGTCTGGGAGCTGGTCTCCGCCTCCTCGGGTGAGATGCGCCGACTGCCTTTGCCGTCGGCCGAGGCTGCTCGGCTGACGCTGGTGCACGCCCATTTGGCGCAGAGCCTGTCGCTTCACCTCGTCTTTGAGCTCATAACTCTGGCCGCCCTGCTCCTTGCGGTCGCTCTGGGCTGGCGCAGCCGGCGGCGCTGGCAGATGGGCTGCTTCTCGCGTGGAGGCCAGTACTCGAAGGCTTTACCATCCGCTGTGGACGACGACGATGACGACGACGACGCCCGTCGCCCTCCCACGAGGCAGAGCTGGCCGCGTGGTAAGGGGCGGGGCGGGGCGGGCATCAGGACAGCCCCCGACCTTACGGTACGGCACGGCAACCGGGCGCTTTCGGAGGACGAGGAGGAGGCAGAGGCCATCGCGGCGCTCGGCCGGCAGGCCCTCGCCGCGGCGGCGCCAGCCGCGGCGGCGCTTTCGGACGGCGGCACTCAGACCCGCCAACGCCGACACGCAGAACAGCCCCTGCAAGAACTCTCTCAAATGATTCGGACGCTCGAGCTGCCACCTCAGGTAGTCGACGTAATCAGTTCAGCCCGGCCGCCTCAGCGCGGGTCGGTCAACGACCTCGTGCCCGTCCTGCCGCCACCCCCGCCACCGCTGCCACACCCGCCGCCGCCACCTCCTGCACTTCCTGCACAGCCACCGCTGCAGGTGCAGCCATCTCCACCGTTCATATCCCCCGCCGAGAGCGCCGCCTCTCCTCCGCCTGGCGGGTGCGATGGCGGCGGTGGCATCGAGGGCGATTGCGGTAGCGGCAGAGAGACTGAGATTGAGGAGATGCTGCGCAAGCTCGAGGCAGTCGCAGCAAAAGACAGCGGAAGCCGGCCGTTTGTCACCTCCGCCCTTGGTATGGTACGCAAGATGCGGGACGAGAACCGTGCATGGCGCAACGCCAATACCGTAGACGAGCAGGCCGTCTATGACGAGTACTGCACGCTGCAGCAGAGCATCGCCACCGCGCTCCTCGAGGGCGGCCCGCTCCCGTCCCATGAGCTCTATTCGCGTCGGGACTACGCGATGACGAGGCTCTCCGACAGCCTGCTGCAGCAGGAGTACGTCGCGCACACAAAGGCCTACCTCGACTCCGACACGCCACCCGCCCTACGAGGCATGTCCGAGATGCTCGTGATCCGCATGGGCGACCTAGTCCAACGGCCACACGAGCTACGCGTGCAACAGGCCGAGCGGATGCGCAGTCAGGCGGCGGCCGCCGCTGAGCGACCAGCCCGGGGAGCCTCTACACCCGCGGCAACGGGGTCCGTCGATCTTTCCCAGCAGAGAGAGTGGAACGAACGCGCCTTCTGGCACGTCCACAACCGACTTGCCACAGCCCTGAGCGACCCGGACGCTCACGCGGCCACTTTCCAGCGCCTGTGCAACCGCCACGAGCTGCAGCTTGTACTGATGACCTCGGCCGAGCTGCGAAGCCTCACGCAGGCGCAAATGCAAGCCTGGGGCACCAGTGGCCTCGATCCGCTCGAACTGCGCGCCGCGCTCTTCTCGTTGGAGCGCAACCCCCTACCCGGGAAGCCCGCGCAACAGTTTGTGCAGCAGCTGATGCAGAGGACTCGCGCGCTGCCGCCAGTCGAGCTGCCGCCCGTTGCCCCGCCCGCAGTGGTGACAACAGCCCTACCGCACGGCCTCGCGGGCGGCCAGTACTCGTTGTGAGCTTGTGGAGTGTGAGTGCCCTCTCGGGCCTCGGCGGCCGTCGGGCGGGGGGTCGCTCGCGGTGGGTGCGGAGTGTGTCGGTGCACACCGCAACGCTCTCAAAAAACCAAAAAGTCGGGTTGCAATAAACAAAGAGCACTTTTTACCAACAACCAAGGTTGCGGTTGGGGTGGCGCGCCGCGGGAGAGAAGCCCTGCGGGGGCATCGTCGGCGCTGTGCTTTTGTGTTTTTAAGTTGATTGATACACCTGCTGCCTCATATCTCTGGGGTCATAAACCCGGCTCGCGGTTCACTCCGCCAACCTCGGGATCTATTCCGGCTTCGCGAAGTCGCTGTCGAACGTCTGTGACGACCGCGATCCCGTCAGCCCGCTCCGCCTAGAGTCAGAGGGGCTCCATGAGCGGCTGCAGGGTTGACATCGCCACCGGGGGGCTAAACGCCTCATCAGCGCACTCGCGCGCGTCGTCAGCATCGCCGCTATCGAGAAGGAGCCCGAGCGCGGCGTCAAAGCTGCTCAGCGCGAGCGCCACCTCTCCATGATCAAGCTGCGCGCGCGCAAGCGTGCGGCGGCCGTCTCCCCACTCGGGTCGCAGTGTGCACGCCGTTCCCGCAGCCTGCACTGCCTCCAGGGGCCGCCCAATCTGAAGGAGCACCTGTGCGCGCTGCTCGTGCGCTTTCGCGTTTCCGGGCTCCGCCTGGGCCGCCGAGTCGAAGGCGCGCAACGACTGCAGCCACAGGCCGGCCTGAGCAAGCTCGCCTCCACGGTTGAGAAGCGCTCCAACGTCGATGGAAACGACAGCGGCAGTGACGTTGCCGGCTTCGCCCTCGACGTCAGCCGTGACGACCGGTGCGGAAGGCTCCGCCATGGGTGGCTCGTCGACGGCAGTCGCCCATGAGCCAGAGGGCGGCGCGGCGGCGCGGCGCGATCTCTTCATCTGCGTCTTGACCGGTGGCATGAAAGCCGATCTCCTCAGATATCCGCTTACCACCTCCCTCCAAGTGCTCGCGCGAGGAGAGCTCGATAGACTCGAGGGGCCAGGATATGCAGCGAGGAGGGCAGAGTCGCGCCGAAAGGCGGGAGAAGCCGCGAGAACAAGGGAGCGGCAGGCGGCGGCGCCGTCGCAGAAGCAGAAGAGAGCGAGACAGAGGAAGTACCCGGCAACTAACTGCACTCCAAGTGCTCCAAGTGCACCCGGGTAGAGTAAAGAGAGTGGGACGACCGGCGAGGTGGCATGAAGGGTTGCAGCGAGAAGCGGCGAGAGACTGCGAAGGGAGATAGGAAGAGGTGGGGGACGCCCAACCAAGGGTGGGCGACGGCTAGCGCATCACACCCCTCTCCTTAAAATCCCGGTGTGGTGGCGGCGTTGCCGTCCTCCCATCCCTCCCTTGTGGGTTGTCTGTTCTTTCTTTCTTTTTCCAAGTGCTCCAAGTTTGGTGTGTGTCCGTGTTATTTATTTATAAGAATAAGTGCTCCAAGAGGAGGTGATGGCTATGTCTTTGGACCTTTGCGAGAGGTGGCGAGCGGAGCAAGCGCGGTGTAGGCGCGCCCACGCGGCGCAGCGGCTCTCCCGCGACCATAGCCCCTCCCGCAGCCGCAGCTGTAGCCGCAGCCCCAACTCTTGCTGCTCTTCTGAAGTCTTGAAGACTCTTCTCTAGGTGTCGGGTAAAGCCGTAGTCCGACCCCAGCACCAGGTGAGGGGACGGATTGAAGATCCCTCACACCAAGATCGTGCAGGGCGGGGACACATGTCCCTAAATCCCATCTCGTCTCAGAGTTTGTGTTTGACCGTTTTTATTTATTTAAGAGGACTCTCTCCGGGCGCCTCTCTATGGACTATTGCGCGCGCGGCGAGGCGCGTGGCCCTCACGCGGCCCTCACCGTGACTTGCGCCGTTCAATATCCTGCTGGGGACGCGTCTGTCCTTCCCCCAGCCCTAGCTTGGGATCACGTTCTTATAGCCCCATCAAGCAATCTATCTCAATCAGTAATCACACCAAACATCACATCACATCCCCGCCTGTGGCGGTGGCTGCAGAAACGCGAACCACGAGGCAGGAAAGTCCTCTGGGTGTGCGAGCAGTGGCGGGGGCAGCTCGGCGCCGGCGAGCTGCGTGATCCGGCGGCCAGGCAGCCGCGGTGGCAGCCGCCCTCCCATCCGCTTGCGCCAGCCGTGCGAGCGGTTAGTTGCGAGAGGCGGGCAGGCGGAGGGAGCGCCGCGGTCGAGCAGCTCAAAGCAGCGGGCAGTGCAAGCGGTGAGGCGGTCGATGTCGAGGGCGCCCTCCTGCGCGAAGAGGTTCGCCGCGCCGAACGAGGTCAGCTTGCGGTGCAGCTCGAGCGTCGATCCGAATGAGGTGAGGTGCCACGCGCCACGCGGCCGGGTGGCGAGCGAGAAGGCGCCGACGCGTCGCAAGTCGTCGAAGCCTTGCGCCGTCCACGGGCGCTGCCGCTGCTCGCGCCTCAGGAAGCGGGCGGCGTACACCTTTGGCCCCTCGTACCACACGTACCCCGTGTCGCAGTGCACGCCAAACTTGAACTGCCGCGCAGAGAGGAGGAGGCCGCCGCCCTCCTCCATCGGCCCGGCGCCTTGCGAGTAGGGGTGGCAGCTGGCGAGCGAGGAGAGGACCTCGGGCCGCGCAATCTCGTCCACGTCGGAGACCACCGCGAGGTCGTCCGGCCCAGCGCGCTCGAGAAACATCTCCAGTGTGGCCAGCCGCTGCTGCTGCTGGAAGCATCGGCCGGAGTAGCGCTTGCGCACGCCGCCCTGGGACCCGCCTATGAGGACGCGCCCTTTGCAGCGCGACTCCGCCACATCGGAACCGAGCACGCGAACCGCAGTCTTCTCGCGCATGTACGGTGGCAGCGTGCCGGCCGAGAGGCCATCCGAGAGCAGCGTCGGCTTGGACTTTGCCGTTTGGAACCGAATCGAGGCCTCGGTGACGAGGAAGCCTGCGACCACCGGGTGCAGCACGCGCATGTGCAGCTTGAGCATCTCCAGCTCGAAACCAAAGACGATGAGATCCCACACACTCCGTGCGGGCTGCACCTCTGCCGTCGAGTTGTGCACCGCGTCTGCAAAGCGGGCGCGCTTGCTCCGGAGCTTGGGCGGAGTGAGCTGCTCGAAGGAGGAGGAGCAGCTGGACGCGACGGGTGAAGCAGCGGTCGAGTACATAAAACACAAAACGAACAGCTGCGCCATGGCGAGGCGCGCCCGCCGGTCACTGGAGAGAAACCGCCGCCTGCTGTGCAGCAGCGTCGAGTACTCCCTGGCGCCGTTGGTGCCGTAAGTCTGAACTAGTGTGGGACCTGCGGCGGTACCCGCCTCTGCTGTTCGGGCAGTGAGAGACGCAGGATCTGCACGCGAAGTGGGCTCCACTCCGCATTTGCATTTTGGTTTTGGGTGTCGGAGATCATCCATCGCAAGCATTGCTAAACATCTCTCTCTCGCAAGCACTCATCAGTCAGTCACGTCAGTCAAACCCCGCGCCGAGCCGGTCTCGGCGGGAGACCTCGGAGCAGCATGCGATGCTGCGGGCGTGCGCGATGGCTCCGTTGGCTCCGTGCCTAAGGCAGATAGATTAGGGTGTGAGCTGCGGCAGCCAGTCGGAGGCCGCGATGGATGGCCCAGGGCCGGCGGCGGTGAAGGCGTCCGTCGATGAAGGGATGTCGTCGAGGGAGCCATCGTCCTCCGCGGCTGGTGCACCAGTCCAGTTGTCGGAGTTCGAGATCGCAGTCGCCCGTTGACGAACTCACGGAATGTGAGCGACTTGGTGCACGCTGGGTCGAGCATCATGGCTCGCACCTCATCCTGAGCGCAAGGAACTCGCCCAGGGACCAGCTGTTGGCGTCGCCGTTTTGATCGAGCTGCATCCACTGCATGGTTTCGTAGTCAAGCGTAAACGCCCAGGAGTTGGTGCCTGGGTGACTTGCTGGTGAGAGCGCCTTCCAGGCGGGTAGTCGTGCCCCTCACCTAAGGTCAGACGGCGGCGTCAGAAGGGGGGGGCGGGGGGGGAGGGGGGGGCGAAGCGTGAACATGGAGGCAAGCAGGTGGTCGCTGCACCTGGCCAAAGCCGGCGACCTCGAAGTTGTCGTAGCTTGTGCGGATATCGCTGAGCGTGAGAGGGACCGGATCGGCAGCAGCATGGGCGGCCGCGTCAGCGGCCGGAGAGGCCGGAGAGCCATCCGACGGAGGCCGGTCGTGCATCGGCGCGTCAGCCGCAGGGGCCGGGGGGGCGGCGGCATCCATCGCTGCGGGTCGCTGCGGGCCGACGATTGTGGACTGATCGATCGTCGGCGGGCGGATTTCGGCTGGGACGTTCTACGTTAAAAGAGCGTCGGCGCCGACACGAGAGACTTATAAGGGTAGAAGACAGAAGAAACGTGCTCAATCCTGCCTCATCGCGAACCGTCCGACTGTAGCGACTAGCACACCTCTGTCAAGAGTCCCCAGAAACCGAGGAATCACACAGGAAAACACAGTCCTGTGTGATGCACGCCCTGCGAGCGGGGCGGGGTGCGCACTGTGCCTCTGTGTACTGTGTTCGTGCGTCGCCCATCTCTCCGGGAGATGTCTGCTCTATTTATTTATTCATCGCAAAGCAAACCCTTATAACAGTCCACCTTCGTACGTTCGTAAGAGCCACATACACTGAGAGAGAACACCCAACACCCCTCTCCCCTTACTTACAACAAAACTTTAAGGGGCCTGAGAAATGGAGGGCTGCGTAAGGGCGTGATGATCCCGGAAACTTGCGCGAGAACGTGGCTGGCGACGCTCTCCGCCCCAAAAAGATGCGTGATGAAGCCCGCCCGGCCGGCTTTTGGCCGCCTGGGCGCTCGTCGGCGCCAGGCTACTTCGTTTACGACAATTCGCGCCTGTACGGCTTTAGCAAATCGGGATGGCCGCCGGCCGCCTACTTGAGGAAGCAGACGCCTCGGCTACTGCCCATCTCAAACGAGGTTCGCACTCTGTCGCTCGACCTGGGAAACCACACCGGCCCCGAAAGCGTTCAGGAGGGCTTTCTCAAAGAGAGCTCCAGTCTTCCCGCAAAGCTTTTCAACCCGAGCATTGTCGCGGCACCGCCCAACCTCTGCCCTCGCTGCGCCTTCGTCGCCGCGGTGCGGGCAGACGTGCTCCACCAATGCGATCGCTTGAGTCCGATCTTTCGCAAATGGCCTAATCGCATGAGCGTGACTGCATTCTTCAAGCACAGGTCAGCTTCCACCACTCACGCTGCACCGGCTGTCGCCCCACCCACCATCCACAGACGTACATCTATCTGCGCACGATTTCGAAGCTGATATTGCTTATTGGGCCACCCTCGTGCCCGTAGCGCGCTATTGGTGCTCGACGAGCGGCTGCAGGTGCTCGCGTGGACCTGGTTCATCTCTCACCCAGACAGGCAGATTTCGACGCCGTCGTGCGCCGGCTCGCAGCAGACGAGCGGGGCGGCCGTGCTCCCAACGGTTGACTGGAACGAGGTCCGGAGGCGCGAGAAGGTTCCACCCGGCATGTCAGGAGGCGCTCAGCCTCCGTGGCGCCAGCCGATCATCGACATGCGCCTGCTCAACGTCGACGGCCGCCTCTTTTGCACATACATCTGCATGTCCTGCAAGTTTTCGCTCAGCAAGCTGCACCTCACGCGCACTCTGACCGCGGACGGTGGCATCTCCGAGCTACGGGCGTGGTCGGGGTGGCGGAGCTCCCTGATATCGCCGTGGCTGCAGGGCCGAAATCAAGCCCTCTTCGTCCGCCCGTCCCGCGTCGAAGCCGGCTCCGACATCCTAATCTCGCCTTGGATTGGCGTGGCGGGCTTCATCGGCAAGCCAATCTTTGTCAACCGTTCAGTCGGCTGCTACGGGGGACGCTTCTGCCAGCCCCAGATGCGCAACAGGCGGTATAGTATGCAGTACGATTGCGGCCCATCCCCGCTCAACAGCACGATCGACCTCGAGGAAGTTGCGCACTACCTTCACGTTGACAAGGATGGGAGGAGGTTCCGCTCGCTCAACTCGTTTTCCCACGTCTTGCCGCTGGGCAACGCCCTGCCGGGCAATCTGAGTGCCGCCGATTTCGGAGGGGCCATGCGGAGGGGCGAGCTCGAGCACGCCGGCGAGCTCAGCGAGCTCTTTGCCGGAGGGATGCGGCTCTCCTCGACGGCCAACCTGGTGCGCATTCCACGCGCGACTCACCGCATGGGGGCGGATGGCAGCGAGGCGACCTGCGCGGTGTATCTCGGCGTCGGGCACTTGCACCGCGGCGCAGGGAAGATGTGCAATGGTAGAGCAGACTGCAAGCAGCGCAAGCGGCCGAGAGAGCCGACCAACGGCCGCGGCAGGCGGCTTCTGACTCGGCCTCCTTTGGCGGGCCCGAGCGGACAGCCTGGGGCCGGCAAGCGACCCAGAGAGCCGACCAGCCGAGGCAGACGGCTCCGGCACGTGGACCTTGGCAGACCCGTGAACCTCACCAGACCCGTGAACCGGCTGCGGGCGGTGCGGGCTGTGCGAGAGGGCAAGCGCCTGGGCTCCGGCAGCGAGCACGAAAAGACGAACTTCCAATTCGGCTACCAGTACACGCACTTCTTCTACGCAGTCTCGGCGGCGGCGCCACACCGGCTGCTGGCAGCCTCGTCCGAGTTTTGCGTGCCGAGCGTTCAGGACCCAGAGGAGTGCGAGAGCGTGCAGTTCATCACGGGCCTCCAGCTAGTCACGGCAGGTCGCCACTCGAGCGGCTTGCGGCCGCTGCAGTCTGATACCGTCGAGATGCGGCAACCGCGCCGCGAATGCGCCATCACCGAGGGACGCTCTCAGGCCTGGCTGAGGCGATACCGATGCGGAGGCAACAGCACCTTCGGCGCGCGACACGAGCAGCTCTTGCTGACGTTCGGCGTCAACGATTGCGAGGCCAAGACGGCAACGATGCCGCTCGAGCGAGTCTGGAGCATGCTGCAGCCGCTGCAGCGAGTCGAGGAGATGCGAAAGGCCCAACCAGTGAGATGGAGACGTCAAGGTGGGTCGTGCTTCGTGTAGCTGTGTAGCCTACTGTGTAGCGGTGTAGGCTGTAGAGCCGTATGGGGTGTGTAAGAGTCTCAAATAGAGTCATTTCTCTACCACACACCGCCGAGCCCCGAATTGTGTTTTTGTGCCCGGTGTGTTATATCATGCGGTGTTCCCCGCTCTACCGTGTACCGACCGCCGGCCGTCGCGACGCGTGTAGGAGAGTAAAGCCGAGGCGGGTACCGTACGTATAAACATTAAAGCCGCGTAGTTGTAACCCCCGTAGCGCGTAGGGTGTAGGCCGCGTTTCGACGGCTCTAAGGGTTAAGCCTTAGGGACTAGGCCCGCCACAAGCACAACCCCACCAACCAGCGCTACCAGGGGGGTTAGCGAGATTGAGCACCAGCACCACTCCAGCATCTCGGTCTCGACTACGTGTGGACGCAACGTGAAGGCGGCGGAGCGCTCGTACATCGAGCGCACCGCGCCGACCGAAGAAGGAGCTCACTGATGAGCAGCTTGCGGCAAAGGCCGCGGCACGCAAGGCCAAGAAGAATTTTACACGTGCCAAGAAGAACCGGCAGAAGGAGCGCCGGGCGAAGGACGGAAGGAGGCTGGCGAGCGCGCCGCGAACGAGGCCGAGCGCGCGCAGGCCAGCGCCCGCGCGCGCAGCTGCGCGAGAACATCGAGTACGTGAGATGGCCGGGCTGCGGTCTGCAGCTGCGCAGGCGCGCAGTTAGGCCGGGTCTAAAATAGGGGTCGAATACTCGCTGCCCCCGGAGAGGGACGACGGGTATCGACGCGGCCCCAGCCAGCAAGGTGTACGCCACAGTTCCCCAGGGGACCGTGGCGACGACGGTCGCCCCGGACTGGCTCGCGAACGAGCTGGCCGGGCGCGGCAAGATTGATACGGCATGCCGCGACCGCATGGTCATGCGCCTGATGACGGCCGCCGGCGCCTCGGCGCCGGCCGCCGTGTTCAGGTTCACGGCTGGCGAGGCGATGCAGACCGAGGACGACGACGAGGACGCCGACCGCTCCGAGGATTATTCCGACGACGGGAGGGTGTCCGACTGCTGGCCTCACCCAATATCTTACCCCTTCTGCCCCCCCCTTCCTGCGACCCCCCAGGCTAGATGGAGTAGTCTGACAGATAAGCCGGATGAAGATTCTGCCCCACACAGCCCCTTACCCCTTCACCCTCGCCTCGCTGCTTGGTGTTTCTGAACACGTAGTCGTCCACGCTGTGGGGGTTGTGTGCGGGTTGTGTCTGGGAGAGGGAGGGAGCGAGGGAGTGGGGTGCAGGTTGCTCACCCACGGCACCGGGCCCCGGTGCTTGCACTTTGAATGCCGTGGGGCTCCTGCCCGTGTCCGGGCGTGGAGATGCGAGGGTGGCCCCCCCTTGCCCCACCACTTTGTGTGTGTGGAGACGTTTACCTTACCTTACCTCAGCACAACCCCACACCAACCAGCGCTACCCGTACCCCCCGCTCTACCAGGGGGGTTATAGCGAGTCCGAGGGGGAGGTTGAGCACCAAGCACGACCACTCCAGCCTCTCGGTCTCGACTACGTGTGGACGCGTGCGGCATCCCCCCAGAGCATGTGTGTTGTTTCTGTGCTCCTTTGTAGTACATTAACACTCACACACCTGGGAGCTCTCCACGCTCCACACCGCCCGGCTTACTTGAAGCGTTCCTCTTGCCTACGCTTCTCGCGGCGCTCGCGGCGCTCGACGCGGTACTCCTCGATTAGCGCGGGCATCTCCTTCATCTTCTGCTCAATCTGAGCCTGCCGCGCTGGCCGGCTCCGGTCCCGCTTATGCCCCTTGAAGCGCGGCGGCTCGACCATGACTGTCGGCTCGAGCAGGATCTCTCCCGCGCGGATGGCCGCTTTGACCTTGAGCGCCTGGGAGAGACGGGGAGGAGGGAGCTTGGGCGCGCGCGGTGCGAGACGCTCTGCTCGCGCGGCGGCGATCGCGCCTGTTTTCGGCGCGAGGGCGTGCGCGTGACGACAGTCTCCCCGTCGCTCGTCTCTACGGCCGTTGGCCGGCCGTGCCGCTCCCCGGGCTGCTTCTCCGCCCACTGGCTGACCGCCGCGCTCTTCCAGAGCGCGAGTCCCGCCGCGGGCCCCGCCGCAGAGGCGAGCGACGGCCCTGCGCGCAGCCAGGTGGCCGCAGCGCGTCGGGCGAGCATCGCGACAAGACCAGAAAGGCGTTTTCGAAAATCGCAAACCCTTTCAGCAGTCCTCCTCCGGGAATGCAGGAGCCTTCGCCAGGTCGTGTGAAGAGCACTGATGCCGCAGTGAGTGAGTGGTCCCGGGCCCTGCGGGGAACTAAGTCGGCGCAAGTTAGTCTGTGAGCTGGACGAGGGCTAGTGGTGCGCCGTGGCGGATCAAGTGGTGAAGTGCTCCCCCGGGAGTCGTGGTCGGAGGCCGGGACACTACGCGCACTAACTTAGTGTGCGGAAGTGAGTGCCTCCGGCCGGCCGCGAGGGGAGTGGTCCGGCGGGCCACTCGTAGTGCCCTTCGCCGGCGGACGGAGGCGGGCTCGGCTACTACGCGCACTAACTTAGTGTGCGGAAGTGAGTGCCTCCGGCCGGCCGGGGGGGAGTGGTCCAGCGGGCCGCTCGCAGTGCCCTTCGCCGGCGGACGGAGAGGTGGGCTCGGCTACCACGCGCACTAAGTTAGTGCGCGTAGTGAGTGGGCCGCCGGCGAGCGGGCTAGTGGGTGAGTGCCTCCTGCCACCCCGCGCACTAAGATAGTGCGCGTAGTGAGTGGGCCGCCGGCGAGCGGGCTAGTGGGTGAGTGCCTCCTGCCACCCCGCGCACTAAGATAGTGCGCGTAGTGGGTGGGCCGCCTTCTAGTGGTCGGCGAGGCCGTGGCCAGTGCCCCAGCCCTGCGGCGCCGCCTAGTGAGTGAGTGCTCACCGACCCTCCCCACACTAAGTCGGCATCGGTGCTGTGTTTTTTAGTTGGCGAAGGCTCCTGGGGAATGTACGTAAGAGTACGTAAGAGCTACATAAACACTGAAAAGAAGAAAATTGTTCTTCGCGCCCCCTACTCAACCGCAGGCTGTGTCGACAAATGTCCCTGCTCGCCCGCCGCGGCGCGTCTGAGAAGCGCAAGCGTGACGCCTCTCCCGCCCGGGCCGCGGCGCCGACCGCCACGCCCTCCGCGCCCGCCGCCGCCACCGCCGCCGACCTCTGGGTTGAGAAGCACGCGCCGCGCTCGAGCGCCGACCTCGCGATGCACAAGAAGAAGGTGGAGGAGCTGCGGCAGTGGCTGGCGACGGCGGACGCGTCGCTGCAGCTCGGCCTGCCGCCCTCTCCGCGGATGCTCGTGCTGAGCGGCCCCCCCGGCTGCGCCAAGTCGACGGCGCTGCGCGTCCTCGCCGGCGAGGCGGGCTTTGAGATCTGCGAGTGGCTCGAGGGGCGCGCGCTGCGGTGGGTGTCGGAGGGCGAGCGGGCTGGCGCCGGTCCATCCGCGCACACCGGCTACGAGTCACGCCTCTCGCAGTTCGCCCACTTTCTGTCGTCCTCGCTCCGCACGCTCTCGCTCTCCATTGCGGCCGCCGGCCCGGCGCGAGGAGGCGGCTCCGAGAGCGGGGAGGGGGCGGGCGGGAGCGGCGCGTCGACGCCGACGGCCGCGGTCGGGCTGCGCCGCCGGCTCGTCCTCCTCGAGGAGCTGCCGGTCGGCAGCTCGAGCGGCGCGCGCACACAGGAGCTGCTCGAGCAGCAGCGGCGCATGCTGCGGAGCGCTCTCGAGACGGCGCGCTTCCCCGTGGCGCTCGTTCTCTGCTCGGACGCGTCGGTCTCGACCGCCAAGCAGCTGGAGACGCTCCTCGGCCCCGCCGCCGCCTGCCCGCAGCTCACCTGCCACGTCGCTTGCAACCCCGTCGCCGACACGCTGCTCACGCGTGCATTGCGCTCCGTCGCCGCGGCCGAAGGAGTCTCGCTCGCGGCGGAGCAGCTGACGGCGCTGGCGCGCGCCTCGAACGGCGACCTCCGCCACGCACTCAACCGGTCGCGCCCACCCCGGCGCCGTGCGGAGCGGGAGCGACCGGCCGCCACCGCCGCCCACCTTTCGGCGCTGTAGGTTGCAGCTGCTCGCGACGGGAGCAGAGCGCGCGCCGGCGCCGCGCGCGGGCAAGGGGGCAAAGGGAGCGAAGGGCGGCAAGGGTGGCAAGGCGAAGGGGGCGGCGCTCGTCCGGAGCGACGCCGCGGCCGCCCGGCCTACCTCTCCCCGACATGTCCATGACACGTCCATGACATGTCCTGCAGGCCCAGCGGCGGCGGCGCGGACCGCGACCGGTTCCGCGACTTGTTCCACACCGTCGGCAAGCTGCTGCACGCGCCCGCGCAGGCTGCAAAGGCGGCGGCGGCGGCCAAGGGGGCCGAGGCGGCAGGCGGGGCGGGCGACGCGGCTCGCTGGTGGGAGCAGGAGCAGGAGAATGCGCGCGCCGCTTGCGACAACAGCGCCGTCGGCGGCACGGCGGATGCGGCGGCGGCGGCGGCGGCCACATCCAAGGCAGTGCTGGGGGGCGCGCCTCCCGAGCGGCTGCTCGCCGAGTCCTCGCTAGACGAGGCGCCTCGCACGCGCCCGCCCGCCCGCCCCGGGGGTCGGCCCCCGCCCGCACGGCGCGTGACCGCTCCCTCGCGTCTTCCCCTCTGCCCTTCAGGCCCTCGCGCTCTCCTTTTTGCAGCAAAACTACCTGCCGCACTTTGGCGACATCGAGGACGCGGCGCTCGCCGCCGACGCGATGTCCGACGCCGCGCACCTCGTGGGATCGTGCCGCACACAGCCGTGGGTCTCGCCCGCGGTCATGCCTCTCGTCGCTTCGCTCTCCACTCGGGCTGTCACCACCCTCAACCGCGTCCCCGCCCCGTCGCGCTTCTCCCAGTGCACAAAGCCGGCACACTTTGGCGCCGAGAGGGACGCGGCTCGGCTGTCGGAGCGGCTCGCAACGTCCTTCGCACCTCTCGGCGAGGCGGGCCAGGAGGCGCCCCCGCCGCCTCCTCTCGCCACCCACGGTCGCCCGCTCCGCTTTTCATCCGGAGGCACTCCCGCCTTGCGCAGGCGGGCCCGCAGCTGCTGGACCCCGCTGGCATGCTGGGCGGTGCGCGGCCGCTTCGCGCCCCACACCCGGCCGCCACCCCACTTGCCGCATCTCCCCCCCCCCCCCCTCAGCCGCACCGCGCCCCCCCGCGCGTCTCTTGGCACGCAGGTGCTCAGCTCGCAGCGGAGTTGCTGCCCTTCCTGCCGCGCTTGCTGCCTGCTCGCGCCCCCACAGCTGGCCGCCACGGGCTCTCGCCGGAGCAGCGCGAGTGTGTCGTCCAGCTCACCAGCTTTGATGGGCGCGACGCGGGTGCCCACATGGCGCGGGCTCTGCCGCCAGTGCCGCTCGGCGGTATCTCCGACAGCATCGGCATGCAGGCGACGCAGCGGCTGGTGCCTCGGCCGCAACAACTTCTGGACGACATCGAGGAGTGAACTGTCGGTTGTGTGGACAATCTTTGGACTCATGCGACCTCTTCTCCCGCACAGGGCACCGTCGGTTGGGCTGTGTGGCCTCGTCACCCACGCCACAGGGCGAGAGGGGGGCGGGGGACTCGCAACCTAAAAAGAGATCTGGCAGTATTGTTACGGTCGAATGTTACGGTGCGTTGAGTTGGTGTGTGTGTTGCAACGCTTTGCGCGCCGTTTCGGCGTGTGCTTGCTGCTTGCAACAATTACTCTTCGTCTTCGTGCCGGATCTGAGTCCCTCCCCAACTCTCGAGGAATGCAACCTTGATGGTCCCCAGGCCAAGAGTGGCGCGCGCTCCTGCTGGCAACAGCAGTTGCAAGCGCTCGGGCGGCGTGCACTTGGAACAGCTGCCACGTTTGAGGCCGCCGGTCGCTGCGATGCGGACTGCCGCTGCTTGCTTGGCCCTGCTCTTCTGTGGCCCAGTGCTGGGGCATGACAACCCTTGTTCCGCAACCGTGAGACAAGACCCTCACCTGTTTTTTGCCCATGGGGGGCGCGCCGACTTCCGCGGGCGCAACGGGCGCTACTACAACTTTTTCTCGGCACCGGGCTTCTCGCTCAACGTCAAAATAGAGGAGGCGCTGTTCACCTTGCGCGAGGGGAGGCTGGTGGTGAACGGCACGTTCATCACAGAAGCTCATGTGATCGCACGCACCGGCCCCGGGCGACACCCCAAGCTTGCGACCGCATCCATCTGGGCATCTGAGCTGGGCGACGACAACTGGGGCTGGCAGGTGATCAACGGGACATGTGATCAACATGTCTTCAAGTTCGGCACGAACGGGTGGAAACATTGCCTGGGCCTCTCCATAGAGATGAGCTACTCCACCGCAGTCATCACCTTTGGAAATTGGACGGTCAGCGTTGGCGGCAACAAAGTGTACGATTGGGTCTCAGGCCCGAGGCACCGGCTCGACGTCAGCTTTAACGCAAAGGGCGACGCCGCCGCCCGGGATCTACCGCACGGCCTGATCGGGCAGTCGTTCTCGTCCACCGCGCCGCGCTACGGCGCGGTCGACTTTTATCCAGCAAACGGCCTCTTCACCACGGCCGCACAAGCTGAGGGTGCGATCGAGGGCGAGGCGGCGCTGTACGAGATGCCTCACGCGCACGCGACGGACTACGCCTTCTCGCGTTACGACGGGGAGAAACAGACGGAGCTCATCAGCAAGCTGCTGGTGGAGCGTGACGCTCATGTCGCGTACGAGCCGGAAGAGGAGACATCTCGGCGGCTGGCGGAATGGCCTGAATGCCCGCCCCCGCCCGGACCACCGTGCTCGCCAGCGCCAACGGTGTCGAAAAAGATTTATGCCATCGTGCACGGCACCACGGGAAGCACTTTCTGGACCGTGTGGGGCGAGGGAGCTACTAATGGTCTGCCGCCTGGAACCGACTTCACATACCTCCGCACCAGCTACGACATTGCTCAAACCGTGGCGTACATCAACCAAGCCTGCGCCGACGCCGACGGAATCATCCTGACATTGCCCTACACGGAGAGCGAAAGTGCCACGATCATCGGTGCGATCGACAGCTGCACGGCAACGCGCTCCAGCGTGAAGTTCTTCCTCGCCAACACGGACACCGCGTACGCCTTTGCCCTTTCAAACACCCTGTCGGACGGCTGGGACGGCTACGTTGGCAGCACCAACTATGACATCGGCAGGGTTTGCGGTGGCATCGTGCTAACTAATGACCTCACGACCGCCATGAGCTTGAAAGTCACCCCTGCTACCCCATCACAGACAGTGGTGGTCTATCTGAAGGCAGACGAGGCCTCCAACCAGGGCATTCTGCAGCGACAGACCGGCATCAGCGACATGCTGAGTGGCGGCATCACGTCTACCAGCACTGTGAGTGCAATCTCCTCCAGCGCTTATGTGATCGCCCTGGGAGTAGGGGCGGCAGATGATTTGACTACAGCCGGCGTGACTGTCAGTCTTCAGTGTGGCGACGACCAAAATCGAGGCTCCCTCCGGTACTTTGGGCAGGCCGTGTATCCCCAAGGGCTTTCAGCGACAGGACTGATGTACGCGACGGTGACGGGAACGGCCCCCACGTCGGGAGTTAGTTCGACGATCGACAGCGGCGAGCTCGCCACCACTGGACTATTGTCGCATCCCTATGCCGAGGCGAGTTGCCCCCTTGTGCTCACCATCGTTACGCACGCGGATGCCGGCTCTGATTTCTGGGCGCAGTGGGAGGAGGGAGCCCGCGCCGCAGCACAAGATTTCAGCGTCGTCTGGTACTCAAATGGATTAGTCTCGTCTGCGGTCGTATCCGCCATCGAATCATCGTGCCCCTCGACCGATGCAATGGTCGTGACGGTGCCTTTCGACGATACCACGCAGGACTACTCCGATGTGGACGCCGCCATCAAAGCGTGCCAGCAGAGCCGCCCCAGCCTGCCCATCGTGTCCGCAAACACGGACACATACCACAACCCGGAGTTGCTCGCCTATGTCGGTTCAGACAACTACGCCATAGGGACCAAGTGCGGTATCGCCCCTTTCGTTGACAGCATCGATCAGCTGCTGGGCATGTCAGCACCCACCCCAAACGCGCTGCTTCTCGCAAACGTGCGCACCCTCGTTTACCAACCGCCATCTGAGCTCCTAAACAGCGGGGTCACGAGTCGGTTCACTGGCATCCAAGCTGAAATGACTACCCAGGGAGCGGCATACGCGCCGGTGCTCTATACCAGTACAGCGGCGCTGCAAGCCGCCATACAAAGCGAGCCTCTTGCAAGCGTCCATCCGGGGTCCACCTTCGTTCAGTCGCTCACATACGGAGGCGTGCTCGAGCTCCAAGCCGTTGGTATAACCGTCGACTTCTCGTGTGGCGACACTCTTGGCAGCGGCCCCAAATATGGCCAGGATGCCTGGTCGCAAGGCGCAGTGGCCTCCTTGACCGCTGTCGTGGGAGCTCGCGCGGTATGGCAGGGTGCCATTGGCAACGGCGCCTCCAATTCGGATCCAAGGGTGGGCGAAGCAGCGACTGAAAAGTATGCTCAAATGCTTGCAGCTCTGAGCGACGGGCCACCACGGCCCTTGCCTTTGCCGCCACCCTTTGCCCCGCCCCCGGTGCCTCCGCCCTTCCCCCCACCTCCTCCCTCGCTGCCACTGCCTCAGCCGGAGCCCTCTCCGCCACCTCCACCTTCGCCGCACCCGCCGGAGCCGCCGCCGCCGCCGCCGCCGCCGCCGCCGCGGCCGGAACCCCCGGAGCCCTCACCACCCCCACCCTTTCCATCTCCACCGCCTCCACCGCCTCCACCGCCTCCACCCTCGCCTTCGCCGCCTCCGGTTCTGGAGCCCTCCCCGCCTCCACCACCCTCACCACGCACACCGGAGCCGTCGCCGCCGCCACCACTCGTATCCCCGCAGCCCGGGCCGCCTCCCCCTCCGGAGCCCTCTCCCCCGCCTCCCCCACTGCCAAACACACCAGAGCCATCACCACCCTCACCACTCATTCTGCCGCCTCCGCCGCCGCCGCCGCCTCTTCCAAGCCTTCCGGGTCCATCTCCACCACCGCCACCGTCGCCAACTGTGCCGGAGCCAGGACCGCCCGAGCCGTCGCCGCCACCCCCGCCCTCGCCGCATACACCAGAACCCTCGCCTCCCAGCCCCTCGCCACCACCACCCCCGCCCCCGCCCCCGCCGCCCTCGCCCTTGCCCCCGCCCCCGCCCCCGCCCTCGCCTCCGCCCCCGCCCCCACCATCGCCGTTCTCGCCCGCGCCTATCTCACCAGACCCGTCGCCACCCCCACCGCCGGCTCCGCTCTCACCCGATCCGTCGCCGCCGAGTCCGTCGCCGCCGCCGCCGCCGCCACCGAGTCCGCCACTCCCGAATCCACCGCCGCCGCCGCCACCCAGTCCGCCGCCACCAAATCCACCACCGCCGCCGCCGTCGTTACTGCCTGGGCCACCGCCGCCGCCGCCCTCGCCGCCCCCGTCAGCACCAGACCCGTCGCCACCCCCACCGCCGGCTCCGCTCTCACCCGATCCGTCGCCGCCGAGTCCGTCGCCGCCGCCGCCGCCGCCACCGAGTCCGCCACTCCCGAATCCACCGCCGCCGCCGCCACCCAGTCCGCCGCCACCAAATCCACCACCGCCGCCGCCGTCGTTACTGCCTGGGCCACCGCCGCCGCCGCCCTCGCCGCCCCCGTCAGCACCAGACCCTTCGCCGCCGCCGCCGCCCCTTCCGCTTTCACCAGATCCATCGCCACCGCCGGAGCCATCTCCGCCGCCGCCACCGACGCCCGACCCGCCGGAGCCGTCGCCACCTCCACCATCGCCGGGGCCACCGCCTCCGGATCCTTCCCCTCCGCCTCCGCCGTCGCCAGAGTCGCCGGAGCCGTCGCCGCCCCCGCCCTCCCCGACGCCCTCGCCTCCACCTGCCGACACGGACAGTGACGGTATCCCCGACGCTGTTGAGGGCACTGCCGGAAGATACCCGCCCGACTCTGACAGCGACGGCATCCACGACTACCTCGACCCGGACTCGGACGGCGACGGCATTCCCGACGGCGTGGAGGGAACCATTGACTCGGACAGCGACGGCATCCACGACTACCTCGACCCGGACTCGGACGGCGACGGCATTCCCGACGGCGTGGAGGGAACCATTGACTCGGACAGCGACGGCATCCACGACTACCTCGACCCGGACTCGGACGGCGACGGCACCCCCGACGCCGAGGAGGGACATCTCGACGCGGACAGCGACGGCGTACCCGACTACCTCGACCCGGACTCGGATAACGACGGCATTCCTGACGCTGAGGAGGGCACTTCCGATACGGACAGCGACGGCGTACCCGACTACCTCGACCCGGACTCGGACGGCGACGGCGTGCCCGACGCCGATGAAGGCACTTCTGACTATGACAGCGACGGCTTGCCCGACTACCTCGATCCTGACTCGGACGGCGACGGCGTCCCCAACGGCAGCGAGAGTAAAGGAGACTCCGATACCGACGGCGTACCTGACTACCTCGATCCGGACTCGGATGAGGATGGCCTGCCTGATGCGCAAGAAGCAGGTAGGGCTGGAGATCCGAACTATGTCACCATCAACCCAGGCGATAATATGGACGACACCCCCCCCTTCGATATCCACAGCAGATCGTATGGCGATAGGTAGAAGTGGAGCCCGCACGCCGCCACCTTCCATCGGTTTTCATACTCCAGTCTGCGGTCACGTCCGTCTCCGGGCGGGGCGCGGCGCGGGGGGGAGGCGACAGAGGAGCGAGCGGAGCGCATGGCTCGCACCTCGCAGCTCGGGCGTGGGTTGGGGTGTCCAGCAGTAGATGGAGATCGCGGGGTGGGGGGGGGTTCTACATGTAGAAAAGGGCTGTATATGAGATCAAAATTCAAAAAAAGTGCAAAAACACACATCATAATGATTGTGCGGGGGGCGCCGTGTTGCCAAGCCGTTAAGCGCCGTCCAGGTCACGCACGTCTCGGCGTCTCTCTCAGCTCTGACTCACCCGGCCACTGTGTTGACAGAGATCTCTCTCTCGCGTCTGACTGATTGTTCTATGTGCTGTCCCCGCCCTGCACGCACGGCATTCCCCAAACGCTCGGTCTGCATGATCAGATCACCGGAGTCGGCGACTCGCGTGATCGATATCGCGAGCGGGCGAGAAAGGTCGCCGGCAATCAGCCGCGGCCTCAGCCTAGCCGGCTCGGCACGGCGCGTCCGTGCGAGTCGGGCTCGGCGTCACGCAACTCGTTCAGGCGGATCCGTAGCCCCTGGGCGGAGGGCGGGCGGGGTCGCAAGCGGCTCCGGTGGCGCGAGGGGCGAGGGTTTGGTGGGCGAGGCTGCGCCTTGTTCTCGGCAGACTGCGCCGCCACCTGCTCCTTGAGCCGATCGAGTCGCTCCTGCATTAGCCCTAACCGCGTCGTCGCCTGCTCCCGGATGCGACGCTCGCTGGCCGCCTCGGCCTTGACCGAGTCGAACCACGCCTCCATCTCCTCGAGCCGCGCCGTCAGCCGCTGCAGCCGCTCGAGCGCCGCCGCCTGCGGGGGAGCGGCGCCGCTCGGGACCGCCGCAGTTTTCCGCCACCGCTGCAGGCCGCCCCGTACTGCAGGCCCTCCCGCAAGGCCCTCCCCGCACTACTCGCCCTCCCGCACCACACCTCCCGCACCGCACCTCCCTCCCGCACCGCACCTCCCTCCCGCACCGCACCGCCCTCCCGCACCGCACCTCCCGCACCGCACCTCCCTCCCGCACCACACCTCCCTCCCGCACCGCACCGCCCTCCCGCACCGCACCTCCCGCACCGCACCTCCCTCCCGCACCACACCTCCCTCCCGCACCACACCTCCCGCACCGCACCTCCCTCCCGCACCACACCTCCCTCCCGCACCACACCTCCCGCACCGCACCTCCCTCCCGCACCACACCTCCCGCACCGCACTACACCTCCCGCACTACTCGCACCTCCTCGAGCCTCTCGCCCGGAAGCGAGGCGTCGCCGACGCCAGTCACGGTGGTGGCGCGCGAGTCGACCGAGATCTCGCTCGGCGGCCGCGAGGGAGAGGTGCACGAGAGCGACGCGACCGACTCCGTCTCACGCGCAGAGTCGTTGAAGGCCTTGTACGCCGCCTGCCGCTGCGACAGCTGCAGCCGGCCGACAGAGCCTCTCTGCAGCGCGCCGCGCTCGAGCTGGCCGTCGAAGTCGACCTCGTCCATGCCGACGTCCACCTCGATCGACCCGGCCAGCAGCGCCTGCGCTCCGGAGCGGGGCGGAGGCGGGACAGGCGTGGAGGCGACGCCGTGGGGATGGCGCGCGCGGCGGCCCGGCCGGCGCCTTGTGCTTGGCGTGGCGCACGAGGGAGTTGCCGTACTCGGTGGTGTAGTTGTGGAGCGGCTGCAGCTCTCCCAGCGAGTGGATCATCTTGAGCTTGCGCTCCGTCCGGTCCATGAGCAGGAGCCCCTCTGAGAGAGGCTGCGACAGCGTGAGGTAGTCGTGCGTGATGACGTGCGCCGCGTTGATCTTGAGCGCGTGCTTGAGCTGCTGCTTGTGGGACGGCGGTCTGCGCCGACCGCCGCGCCCCGCTGCCGTGCTGCTGACTCGCGACCCTGCCTGCGGTCCGGCTGCCGAGGACGTGCCCGCCGCCGCCGCCTGGCATGCGCCGCTGCCGCCTCCTGCCGCTGCCGCCGGCCCGGCGGAGCTCGACTGCGCGGCGGGCTGCTGACCCGTGATGTCAAACTTGGCCATCAGTCGCTCGAGCGGGTCCATGCAGCGGCGCGCAACCGGTCGTGTGCGCGTCCGCAGGTAAACGGGAGACTTCGAAATAAAAAGAATTTTCTTCCGCTTTTTCCGCTCTCTCCGCTACCCAAGCCGGATTTTTATATAGCAGCTCCTCTCTACCCAGAGCTGTCTTTCTCGCCCGAGGCTCGCCGTGGCCCCACACGGCAGCCTCTGCTCGCGTTTTCGAGCCAGGACCTTCGTCCGGGCCCATGGCCGGCACGCCATCGTCGATTCCGCGCGCTCGGCTCCACCGGCTTGCTGTGCGGACGGCTTCTTGTCGCTCTCGTCGAGAGCGTTTTGGCGGCCCGGCGGGTGGGAGAATCTGTGTCGTCTGATGTGTCACTGTGTACGTCACATCGGTCTTGATAACAAGCACGGTCGATCCGTCGAAGCGATATACTCGTCACGTCACGCTGGACGGCTTGCACGGAGCTCTGTGCCGGCACACACAGGAAGAGCCGTCCGGCAAGAAGAGCTCGATAGGGAGCGAGAACCGTCAAAGGTGCTCACGCAGGTTTCGGACGTCCGTCCTGGTGCGGTCAGTTCCCCCCAGGTTTGACCGCGCAGGTCTCAAAACTCGTCGAGCACTCGTAGCCTTTCTGCGACTCTCTGCGTGCTGCCGGCTCGGGAAGAGCAGATTTTGCAAGATATCTCAACGAGATCCAACATCTGCGCGGTCATTTTTGGAGTGATCTTACCGCGTCATGACGGAGTCTTGATACCTCTCGGAGCACCTTTGACGGTTCTCGCTCCCTATCGAGCTCTTCTTGCCGTACGGCTCTTCCTGTGTGTGCCGGCACAGAGTTTCGTGCAAGCCGTCCAGCGTGACGTGACGAGTATATCGCTTCGACGGATCGACCGTGCTTGTTATCAAGACCGATGTGACGTACACAGTGACACATCAGACGACACAGATTCTCCCACCCGCCGGGCCGCCAAAACGCTCTCGACGAGAGCGACATGAAGCCGTCCGCACAGCTACTCGGACATTACCGATCATGACGAGCGGCGAAGGAGTGCTCCGCTGGGTCACGCCACGGGGGCCCGCCGCCTCAGATGCGACTTTCGGATGCGGTAGGGCTTGCGCGAGCGTCTGTTCAGTCTACGCTAGACTGAACTGGGCGCGGGCCCTGCTATATAAAATTGAGCTTGGGTAGTTAGAGCCGGAAAAGAAACCGTCCGGCGGCCCGCGATGGCGGTGAGGTGCGGCTGCCTTCTAGTCCCTCTCCTCCTCGCCTCCGACGCGAGCGGCGTCCGCATCGCTCCCCGGCGCGCCGTCGTGCGCGACGCCGCGGCCGTGGCCGCCGGAGTCGCACTGCTAGGCCGACAGTGGCCCGCGTCGGCGGACGAGGGAGAGGGCGAGCTCGCTGCGGCGCCGGCCGCGGCCTCGGTGGCGGAGGCCGTGTCCGAGCCAGACGCTGCGCCTCCGCCTGCTCCCGCGCCGCCGCCGACGCCCAGCTTTGACGTGCCGTTCCGCGGCGAGCCCACGCCCATCAAGCCGTTCCTTGGCCGCGCGAGCATCGTCGTCAACGTGAAGTTTGACGACCCGGCGACGCTCGACCAGCTGCCGGGGCTGCAGGCGCTGTACGCGCGGTACAACGCCGAGGGGCTGCACGTCCTCGCCTTCCCGACCGACCAGGGCTGGTTCGAGGCGGACGACTCCAACACGCTCCGCCTCAAGTTCAAGTCGGTGTACGACGTGCGGCACCCGTCGACACTCCACACGCCACGCTCACGAAAACACAGGCGTCCGACCCCGCTCGTCGCCCACCCCACGCCGCAGTTTGGCCAGTACCCGGCGGCCGTCGTCTTTGACAAGGCGCGCGCACTGCGCTGCCGCCCTCCGCCGCGGCATAGCCCGCTCCCTGCCGCACCGGTTCTGTCCGGCTGCACCTCGCAGGCAGACTTGCTCGGCGGGAACGCGCTGCCCTTCTACAGCTGGCTCACGCGCAGCATGTCCAACCCATGGGGCGTGCAGCGCCTCGTCTTCGACTACGAGAAGTTCCTTCTCGCCCCCGACGGCACGCCGCTGCGACGCTACCCGCGAAAGTGCGCTCGTGGCCTCCGCTCCGCCGCCCTCTCCGCGCCGCGCCGAGGAGGCCGTCCACCGCCCTCGCCGGCAGGTATCCGCCGCAGAATATGGAGGCCGATATCGAGGCTGTGCTCGCGGGCCGGCCGCTGCCGCCGCCGAGCCCGGCGCTCGCAAAGGCGTGGGAGGACGCCAAGCGCGAAGCGGTCAAGAGCGAGTACGCATTCAAGCCAGGTTACAACTACGTCGCGGGCCGAGGCTGAGCCCGGCAGCTAGAGCAGACGCTGGGAGCGCAGATCGGGCACTGGGCCCCGCAGGCGCAGCGCGCCGCACCGGGGCCTGGGGCCGCTCGGTCGTTGGGCGGTGGGTCGAGAGCACACCCACAGACCCGAGGCCGAGCCACCCCCCGCGCCTCACGCCCCTCAGAGCCCGCAGCAGCAGCGCCACCGTTTTTTTTACTTTACAGCCGCATCACACAATAGTTTTTAATGTAGTGGAGGTGGGTGCAACCCCCCAAAAACCGTACAACCCGAACGGCGCGCGCGACGGTCTCGCGAGCGGGAGAGCAGCGGAGAGCGGTGGAGGCGGAAGCTGCGAAGGACGCCGACTCGGACTCGGGCTGAAGTAACAGTAGCAGATACTATCTAGGAGAGCCGTGCATGGGCCGCGCAGCCCTCCCCCACGGCGTGGCGTTGCAGCGACGCGCAACTATCCAGCGCGTAGCAGCCAGAGACCGCAGAGAAGCAAGAGCACGCGCAGAGCAGACATGCGCAGCACAGCAAGATATAGCGATGGTTGCTCAATCGGCCTTCGGCTTCACCAAACCCATTGCGGCGAAGAGATCGCGGTAGCCACACGGCTGGCCGTAAGGCGTCTCGAGCAGGATGGAAGGCAGGTCGTCGAACGCAAGGAAAAAGACGACGCTGCCGCCGGCGACGCCCCACCGCACCGCCGGGGGCGTGTACAGCTTGGCCATGTGCATGAGATTCGGAGGCAGCATGCGAGGCAGCATCTGCGGGGTGGGACAGTAGCGCGTATGGAGGGGTGAGGTGGGCAAAACGCTGCGGCTGCAGAGCAAAGCGGCAGAGAGTGGAGCGCAGCGCTCTGCGCCGCGCGGTGGTGCGCAGCCGCTGCTCCAGGCGGGCGGGCGGTGGAAGCGGCGTGGCGACGCGCGGATACAGCCGCGTGCGTGATTGGGCAGGGGCAAGGCGGCGTGCGATATGGCCAGCGCGCCTAGCTAGCTGGTGCACAAGCAAAAGAAGAATTCTGGTCCCCAGCAAAGGGAGGTGCTTCTTTAGCAGGCGGTGGAGACTGTCGGCTGCGAGGACGGTCGCATTTGCGTGAGGCGAGGCGAGCATTGCTGCGCGTTGCATGCGCCATGCCTCGCGCCAGCGCGTGCGGGAGCTCCCTGGCTGAGCGTTGAGTCCAGGCGAGTTGCGCTTGCCACTATCGCTACGCCGAGCCGAGCTGACGCGCCGAGGCGCCGGCCAGTCGCAGCCGTGAGGCATGCCATAGCAGCAGAGGCACCTCCTACCCATTGGGCGGGCAGACAGAAGGCCAGGGCAGCACTGGCAAGTGCAACGCGCCTCATGTCGGAGAGCCACCGTGCCTCGTTCGCCGCTTATGATGTAGAGTTTGTTGTAGAGATTTCACGTTGTAGAGCGCCTCTACATCGCTCTACAACGGAGGCGCATCGTCACGCGCCGGATGTAGAGCTCTACAGCTCTACAGCGCTCCAGAGCGCTCTACATCTCTACAGCTCTACAGCGCTCTACACTCTAGAGTCGCGTCACACGCTTGCCAATGTGCTCACTGCCATCGTGGACTCCGACCACTGCCTCCCCTATGCCGTCGCCGATTGGCTGCGCGCTGCCCTGGTCGGTGCGTGGTGCTTTGCGCGCGCGAGCGTAGGCGACACCGGCCTCGACTGCGGTGGGAAACGATCCGATGAATGCCCTTGTTGGGTTGCCCAGACGCGCCTCGAATTGATTTGTCTGCTTCCCAGCACGGCGGGACACGCCCGTGTAGCCGGTCGCGTTCGTCGACGACAGATGCAGGTCGAGGCCCTGGGCACGGCGCACCAGCATCGCCATTGATGCGTTGTGCAGCGCGCGGTCGGGATACAACAAGACAACTCGGAAGTTCCCCTCGAAGACTGAAGCTCGACTCTACTCGAATAGGAATGTACAGAACGGCGGAACTCACAACTCATCAGAACCTCACAGCCCTCGCCTCGAATCTGAACCATCCATCCACTCGGTTCAGGCCCGGGCAAGACGTGCCGCAGGGCCGTCCAGCGTGGCTGGGAGGGTCCCAGAAGCGGTCCGAGCCGGGCGCCGATAGATTCAGGGACATGCCGGCCCCAGGCGAGTCGCCGATGGCACTCACGCTCAACGTCCGCAAAGAGCGCCAAGTTCTTTGAGGTGCAGCACGCGTTCCAGCAGCAAGGCGCAATCTACAAGCTCTTTCAAGGTGGCATGATGGAGCTCTGCTGTTCGGGATGCCTCGCGCTGCAGGCACGGACACCCCTGCCCCTGACGCTCCCCTCGTGCACGTGCGCATTGTGCTCTGAATGCTGCTCATGGCGTGCCTCCGTACCTCGCAGGGGCTCGAGCGCAGGCGCAAAACAAGTACCAGAGCAGTGAAAACCCCGCTCACGAGCAGGGATTCCGCGGGTACACCATTATGAACGGAGCGGGGTACGGTCAACCTCAGTCCTTTTGCGCACGTGGGAAGGCTGGCGCAATGCATGCACTCTGAACTCATGGCGCTCAGGGAAAGGACAGGACTCTCACAATCTGCCACCCTCACAACCTGATCGAGCCGGCTGGCCGGAGATGGTGGTCATCACTTAGATGCCTGGAAATGCCGTCCAGGACGGTGCAGGCCGCGCTGCTCGCGCGGCTCCACAAACACCACCACGTCTGTGCCTGAGCTGAAGAGCGCTGCGCTCACAGTGCGCACCAGGCACTTAGAGTTTTGGCGTGCTCGAGACTCGAGAGCTCGACACTGCTCTAGGAGTACAGGACAACTGCAATGATTGTGCTGAAAGTGATAAGAGTGCCGACATGTGTGCCGAGAGAGAAGGCAAGCAAACGAGAATGTGATGGGGGGTCAGTCGGGAGCGTCGCCACATGTGAAGGTTGAGGTTTTCAGCAAAATTATAACGTCATACATGCGTAAGGGCTGCCTCACACGTCCAAGACGCCAGCCAGTCCGCTGTCCCCATCCGAGCAAGCTGTCGGGCATTTGCGCCGTGCGAGAAGCTGCCATTGGAAAGAGGAGAGAGGGATTGCGGAGGATGTGCTGGTTATGCGTAGTGTAGTTGACGACCGATGCTTCTTCTCCTCGATCCACCGCCGCACGGCACCTTCAGCAGCTGCTTCTTCCCACGGGTCGTGCCAGATCTCATCTTCCGTCAGCGCGCGCATTGTGCCGCCCGCTGCAAGCCACCCGCATGCGTCCGGTGTGAGTGAGTCTCGCAGACTCGCATGCCGAGTGTCCTGAGCAGTGCAGGTCTCTCCTCCTCCGGGCCGTCAGCGTCGCGGCCATTCCCGGTCCCGCGGCCGGCACTGAGGGCCGATTGCGGCCGGATGGTAGTTACGAGAACGGAGTGCTGATGAGTTGTGAGAGCTGCGTTGGTTCTGCGCCGCGAGGGCACTCTGGGACGCAAGCAGAGTAGAGTCGACAGTCGAGATATCGGAGAAGCGATAATGCAAGCGCTTCCTCCTAGTCACCAGCTGCACGTGACGACGAGAATCGCTCCGCACTTGTGGCGCTTTGGCGCGCAGGCGAGCTCTGAGCTGTGGACCTTTCGGTGGACACCTTCTCGCTCGGCAGCGTCGTGTTTGTTGGTTGGCCGCAGCGTCCGAGTGCTTGCGGGCTCAGTTCACCGGCTCGTTCTCTGACTCCGCACGCAACAGCATCACGATCCATGAGGTCGATGGGGCTGCATTGGAGTACGCGGGCTGCATTGGCGTTCTCTACCTAGCCGCCCCTAAACACCAAAGGACCGAACCAAGCGCCGCCAGGGCGCGGTTGCTGCTGCAAACCACACCATGTCGGCGACCACGAGCATCGAAGTCCAGCCCGAGGCGTACTGTCTCATGTTTCTCCACGCCTGCAAGTACCCAGCGCGCGCCGTCAACGGCTTGCTCCTCGGCACGGCGGCGGGTGACAGCGTAAAGGTGCAAAAGGCGCTTCCGCTCTTCCACAGCAGCTTCGCCCTGTCGCCGATGCTCGAGACGGCGCTCATGCTGGTGCGCTCGGCGCTGTAGCCAGCGTGCGCGCTGAGTTTACGCTCGCCCCGACGGCCCGTTCCCCGGTGCGCAGGCCGACGAGCACTGCAAGTCATCTGGCAAGCTGCAGGTGGTGGGATACTACCAGGCCAACGAGCTGTGCGACGACCTCGAGCTGGGACCCTTTGGCAAGAAGATCGCGCAAAAGATCCGCTCTGTTTGTCCGCTCGCTGCGTGCCTCCTCATCGACGGAGCGCGCATGCAGCCGACTGCGCGCGAGCCCGGCCTGCTCCCCCTCGACGCAGACGGCAAGCGCAGCGCGGCGGCGCTCTCGCTACCAGACGCTGCGGCGGTGCAGCGCCTCGACGCTTACCTGCAGCACGGCGCGCGCCTGCCCGCGCCGCTGCCGCTCGCGTGCCCCCCTGCCAGCCGCCAGCCCCTCGGCCCGCCCGCACCCCAGGCGGCCAACACCTGCTCGTCGACTTTGACGCGCACCTCGACGACGTGCCCTCCCCAGCGCGCTGCCCCGGGAGAGGGCACGGCCGGACGGCGGGCTTGTCCTCCTGATAGGCGACCAAGGACTGGCTCGGCAACTCGGCGCTGCTCTCCTCCGCCTGATCCTTTGTGCCGGGCTCGCCCCGTGGCTTGCTGCCCGTGGCAGGGGAGGCGAGCAGGACACCCTGTGTGTGCCACGGCCTCTTCCCGCTTGGCTGACCCACGCGCCCTGCGCGAGGGGGGGGGCGTCACGTATCGGGACTTTTGTATTTCGAGTCGCTCGGGCTGCCGTGCCGCGTGCGAGTTTTTGTGTATTTGGCCCCAAAAGCCCAACAGCAACACACGATATCTGGGTCCCATCTGATGAATCCTGTTTATGGTGTGATAAATATGAGATGCTACAAAAGTCGATGGGGCGGACACACAAGTCTCAACAAACCGTCTCCACCTCTCCACGCCACAGCCAACAGCAACACATTTTTCAGACACAGCACGCGGCACGTCATCCACTACGCACTAACTCATGAACAGGGTGCCCGTTTGCTCGAGCAGGTCCAGATACCAATATCCGTCGTTTGGATTTACGTACGGTTCGGAGGTGACGACGAAGCGGGTCTGCGGCGACAGGAGCACCTCCTCCTCCTCTGCAGCAAAGAAGGAGAAGTCCTTGACGTCCTTGCCGGTGGTGACCTTGAGTCGGAAGATGATGCCCTTTTCTCGGTCGGTGAAGGACGAGGCGAGCTCCGGGCGGCGAGAGGTGGAGGAGAAGGCGCCCCACTGGATGGGCCTCCCCTCCTTGTACTGCCGCAGCACCGCCGCCTTGTCGGGGTGGCCGCGGTACACGTGCATCTTCAGGGACGGCAGCTTCTCGAGCGCAGCCATCAGGTAGTACAGGTAGCCGCCCCACACGCTGAGCACCGCGCCGCGCGACTTGAAGTCGCGAGACCTCAGCCCCTGGTTGAGCGCGTAATAGAGCTGCCCCTCCTTGGCGCCTGTGTTGAAGTCGTACGTGTAGGCGGCCAGCGCGAAGAGCTCGTCGTCGTGCAGCTTCGCCTGGGGGATGGCGGGAGAGGGGGGAGGCTCGGCACGCCGCGACGGGCGGGACGGGGTGGTGGACGGGTGGGTGACGGGCTGTGGGTGGAGGGAGTGGTGGGCGGGTGGGCGGGCGGGGCGGGGGGGTCGGGTTGCCGGCAGGTCCTCCCACTTGAGTTGCTCGACCTTGAAGGACACGTCTCGGCAGAGCTGCTCGATGTCGGGGATATGCTCGCGGCACAGCAGCAGGCACTCCATGCACGACTCGTGCGGCCGCCTCAGCTGCAGCGCGGGGACCGCCGAGATGGACATGTCCAGCTCGGGCAGCATCCGCGCCACCCGCACGCCCTCCATGCCCGGGTCCTCCGCCTCGTAGCTGCTGCTTCCCGACGGGCCCGCGCCGTCCGCCGCCTCGCCGCCATCCGCCTCGCCGCCGCCGTTGCCGCCGCCGGCGCCGCCGGCGCCGCCCTTGGCCGCGTCCTTGGCCGCGTCCTTGTTCGCGTCCTCCAGCAGCTCCGAGTCGCTCCTCTTGATGAGCGGCGGCATCTCCTGCACCTTTGCGACGGGCGGCGGCTTGGTCGACACGACCAGCAGCTCCGAGCACGGGAGCGGCGGGTCGTGCGTCGCGATGCACTGCAGCCGCGGCTGCGCCTGCCACTTGCTCTCGATCCACGCCTCCCACCCGATGCTCGACTGGTCCGGCGTCGGCACCGAGTCCAGCAGCTGGATCCACCCCTTCTTCTCGCCCAGCGAGGCGGCCGACTGCGCGTTCCACGCATTGTCGCCGTTGAACGCGAGCCAACGGTCCTCGCGGTCCGTCTTTTGGAAGGCGGGCCGCCCGTTGACGTCCCGGTCGGCAAGCCGGTAGCTGCCGAGGCACGCGCCCGCGTTGCCCGCGATGGGGGGCCCGGCGAGCTCTATCAGCGGCGGCGGCGGCAGCTGCGCCGTGTCGACCGACACGCACGTGCACGCGTCCTGCCGCACCCAATTGGAGCCGTCCCACGCCTCCCACTGCGTCTTTGAAAGGTCCGGCGTGGACACGTTCGAGTCGAGCAGCTGCAGCCAGCCGCGCTTCTGGCCGAGTGACGCCTCGGACTGGGCGTTCCACGCGTTCTCGCCGTTGAAGGCGATCCAGCGGTCCGAACGGCGCACCGACCGCCAGCACGGCCGGCCGTTGACCTCGTACCCCTTGATGAGCCGGTAGAGGCCGAGACAGTCCTGCGCCTTTGCCTCCGTCGCGCCCGAGAGCACGAGCGCCGAGGCGGGCGGCATCGTGCTCGGGTCCGCCTCGCGGCACTTGAGGTTCGGCTTCTTGTCCCACTTGCCGGCTCCGTCGGCCGTCTCCCACGAGAGGAGCGAGACCTAACGCGCACGGAGCGGGCGGCGTGCGTGGACGGGGCGGGGGGGAGGGGCTGGCGCGCCGCCGCCGGGGCGAGGCGCACGTCGGGCGTGTGGCACGACGAGTCGAGCAGCTGCATCCAGCCGCGCGACTGGCCGAGCGACGCCTCGGACTGCGCGTTCCACGCCGACGTGCCGTTGTACGCGACCCAGTGCGTCGGCCGCTCCGCGTGGCGGTAGCACGGCCGCCCGTTGACGAGCTTGCCTATGGGGGACGAGCCGGGCACGGGTCGGGGACGCGTCCAGGTGGCACGGCCGTCCGCAGGCGCGCTCTCGCCCTCGGCGAGGCGGTAGAGGCCGATGTAGTTTGCGGCGGTGCCAATCACGGGCTCGCCGTCGAGGATGATGGCCTTGGGCGGAGGGAGCTCGGTGTTGTCCACGGCGAGGCACTTGAGGTTGGGCTGCTTGGACCACTTGCCGTTGCCGTCCGCGCTGTCCCAAGGGATCTTGGACATGTTTGGCGTCGCCGCCGACGAGTCGAGCAGCTGCAGCCAGCCGCGCTTCTGGCCGAGTGACGCCTCGGACTGGGCGTTCCACGCGTTCTCGCCGTTGAAGGCGATCCAGCGGCCGGCGGACTGCGTGTGCCGGTAGGCTGGCCGGTCGTTGATCGTCTTGTCCAGCGCCAGCTTGTAGAGGCCGATGAAGTTGGCCGCGGTCCCCGAGATAGAGAGCGGGCCGCCCGTCGGGTTGTCGAGTCGGATCGCCACCGGCGGCGGCAGCTCCTTTGGGTCGGTCACCTTGACCTTGAGCTCGGGCACCTTCATCCACCCCCCCTTGCCGTCCGCCGCGTCCCACACCTGCTTGGACAGGTCGGGCGTGTGGCAGTGCTTGTCGAGCAGCTGCAGCCAGCCGCGAGACTTGCCCAGGTTGGCCTCCGACTGCGCGTTCCACGCGTTGTCGCCGTTGAAGGAGAGCCAGCGGTTGGGCCGGCCGGTGTGGCGCCAGACGGGCTTGCCGTTGACGATCCGGCCCTGCACGAGTGCATACAGCCCGAGGCAGCCGTTCGCCTCCGAGTCAATCTTTGGGCTCTCGATCATCAGCGCGGCGGGTGCGGGCAAGTCCTCGAGGCTGGCGACGGCGCACTGCAGCTCGGCCTGCTTGACCCACTCACCGCCATCCCAGGCCTCCCACACCACCTTGGACTGCGACGGGTAGGCGCACCCCTTGTCCAGCAGCTGCAGCCACCCCTTGGTCTTGCCGAGGTTGGACTCGGATTGGACGTTCCATGCTGTCGAGCCTGGGCGCGGGTCGTCGGGAGGACGCGTGGACGCGCGCGCGCGCATGGCCGGCCCGTCTAGGGTCGCGCCGGGCCGGTGGCGGCGGGCGCAACGCGCGGGGCCGCGCACCGTTCCACGCCAGCCACTTGTCGAGAAGCCTAGTGTTGCGCCACGTCGGCTTGCCGTTGACCGTCTTGCCGTCGACAAGCCGGTAGAGCCCGATGCAGTCCGCGACGTTGCCTTCGATCTCAGACGCCTCTAACCGCAGGGCTTTGGGGACAAGGCCCGACGAGGAGCTCATAGGCGAAGCCGTCTTGCCCGCATGTAGAAGAGAAATCGCCCGGTAGCAAGGCCGCCCGATGCCGATAATCTCCGGCCGGATGCGTGCGGGTAAGAGCTCGCGAGCAATAGTCTTCTTGCCATCCCCCTGCTCCCCCTCCACCATCCTCCCTCACTCACTCCACACTCGTCTCTGATGTTGCTCGAGGATGATCTCATCCTAAGGGCGTAGACCCGATGCCGATAATAATAATAATCCGGCCGGATGGGTGCGGGTAAGAGCTCGCGACCAATAGTCTTCTTGCCATCCCCCTGCTCCCCCTCCACCATCCTCCCTCACTCCCACACTCGTCTCGGTGATCCGATGCTCGAAGATGATCTCATCCGAATGGGGGGGGCGCTGCTCACTGCTCAGCCCCTTCGTCGATTTAGACGAATAAAACATACACGGTGGGCGGCGAGCCGGACGGAGCTTTCTAAGGCGGCATCCAGCGCTGCGCGGGTGATACACGGAAGACCAAAACATGGAGACTGAAACATGCGCGGCGAGGGCGCGGCGGCGGCGCCCCGTCCGTGTGCCCGAGCGGTCAGGGCGGCGCGAGGCCGCCGCCACCCCCTCGCGCGCGCGGCAGCCGCACGGGCGCCGCGCCGCTAACGCAGCAGCATACTGGCTAGGAGCAATAGCTCAGCTCGCCCTGGCGCAGCTGGCGGGAGACGTAGTCCTCGTTGAACTTGGCGAACGCCTGGAACTGCTCCTGCAGTTTCGTCTGCAGGGTGCGGTCGTACTCCTCCCTCAGCGTCCGCTCGCGCTCGATGACCGCCTTGCGCACGATATCGCGGACCTGGTCCAGGGTGAACAGCACCTCGCCCGTGTGCGGGTCTGTTCGCTGCCGAAGCGCCGCGGAGAGGTCAATGGCGCGCGACTGCGAGGCGCCTGCGGGCGTGAGGGGAGGGGAAGGGTCAGCAGGAGTGGGTGCGCAAGGAGCAGGCCCCGCGCGCGCGCAGCGGCTTCTGTGCGGCGCGCGCGCGGCGTGGCCGGGCGGCGGCCGGGTCGGCTGGACGCCCCGCCCACGCGCGCTCCCCCGTGCCGCCGCGGGACGCGCGCGCCTCCGTCAGAGCAGCCGGCGGCAAAGGCTGACGCAGACGGCGCCGCAGGCTCCGCCGCGTGCAGCCGCGTGCGTTTTCCGGCCGGAGACTCGGAAAGGAGCGAGCGGGCTGGCGAGCAGGACGGCTCGCCGCCCCAGCCCGGAGTGGCCTCCTCCATCCCCTCCCGCGCGCGCTTGCATGCAAGTAGCATCTTCGAGCAGCGCTGGCCTTTTTTCACAGCGTGCCTTGGCTTGGGAGTATGCTTCGAGTGCTGGGCGGCTTTTTTTCTTTTTTCTAAGACGAGACCTCGCGACGGCGGCCAAATCCTTTCGAACTATTAAGGTTGCTCCCGGCCCAGTGGGATTTTGGCCTACTCAGTGACCGTCTAAGGGGCGCTAACTGGCTGCAATTCCATATCTTTTGTGCCTAGCTTGTAGAGCACCTTAAAAAACTAGTATGTCTTGGAGTGAAAAGTTTTTCGATGAGGTGGGGGTCCGTGGTGAGCAGATTCCCAGATTCTCCAGATTCCCCCTCGAGCACCTCCAATTTTAATTCATTGCGGCCGCGGGTTTGCTCGGATTACTTTTCACTCCAAGACATACTAGTTTTTTGGCGTTCCGGTGCCTACAAAAAATATCCGAGATCATATGGAGCTCACCACAGGGTTTGCGGCGGTCATTGTCCTACCAGCGGGCACAGCCGGGCCGCGGACACCCGTGAATGACCTTCGCAAACCCTGTGGTGAGCTCCATATGATCTCGGATATTTTTTTGTAGGTACCGTAATATTAAAAAACTACTTTGTCTTCGAGTGAAAAGTAGTCCGAGAAAGCCCGCGGCCGCAGTGAATTAAAAGGCGGTTTTCGAGGGGGAATCTGGAGAATCTGGGAATCGGCTCACCACGGATCCCCACCTCATCGAAAAACTTTTCACTCCAAGACAAAGTACTTTTTATCCTCGCTACCCAACGCGGCCAAAGGATATCCACCTCGAGAACCTCGAGAGAAAGTACTTTTTTAAGGTGCTCTAGAAGCTAGGCACAAAAGATATGGCATTGCAGGCCATTTAGGGCCCCTAGACGGTCACTGAGTAGGCCAAAATCCCCACTGGGCCGGGAGCAACCTTAACAACGAAGGCGCTCTCAAAACAAAAAAAAGCCGGGTGGTGCCGCGCCAAAGCGTGCGCCAGGTGCGGGCGCAGCTAGCAGCTGTCAATGTTGTCGCTGATGTTCCTGCCTGGCGGATTTCTGCAAGGGGCATTCGTCCCTTGCTGCGCTCACGTGGCTGCAGATGTCGCAAGTCCTTGTGCGCCAGTGTCTGCCGTAAAGAGCTGCAGCAAAAGCCAGGCTCTGCGCTGTGGGCTCGTGCCAGTATTCATGCAGGAGGAGGAGGATGGAGCCGCCAGCTACGCCTCCATCGACGAGGTTCGGGAGCTCGTGCATGCGATCGGCCTCGACCCTGAGGTACTGAAGCTCAGCGTCCGGATGGAGCGGGCGGTGCACGACTCGCTCTCAAAGGCGGCGCCCACACTGCGCAAGTCGGTGCGCTCTGCCATCGAGCTCGAGCTGTCGGCGCTCGACGGACCAGAGCCCACTGGCCCTGTCTCCAAACTGGGCGGGGTGCCGTGGCTCAAGCCGGACGATCAGTGGCCCACGTGCAAGTGCTGCGGGCAGCCGCTCGCTTTCTTTGCACAGCTGAACCTGGGGGCGCTGCGGGGCAGCGTCACGCTGCCGCCATCGTCGCCACCGATCGGCATCGTGCCGGAGCTCAGCCGCAGCAGTGGGCTGCTCCAGCTGTGGGGTTGCACCGATGGCTTCCGGATTGAGGATCCGCAGGATCCGGAAGCCATGATGGCGGCGGCAGTCATGCGGGAAGCCATGGCGGCAGACCTTGCGCAGGAAGACATTGATTGTCTGCGAGACATTGACTGTGAGGATGCGACGTACGACAACCCGTTCGGTGGCACCGAGTTCCTCCGCCTCGTGCCGCAGGAAGAGCTGGGCAGCCCGACTCCTCCCAGTGGCGTCCCCGTGCTACCGACGGACCTCGTGTCGGCGGTGGGTGTGAGAGCGGAGCTCGGCTTCGAGGATAGCGAGCTGCGGGAGGAGCGCTGGCGAGTCGGAAGCGAGCTGGGGCGCTTTGCTGATTGGCTCGAGTACTCTGGTGGCCACGGCAATTGGGTTGGTGGCTGGGCCGATTGGTTGCAGGGGCCCCGCTATCCAGAGTGCCCAAAGTGCAGCGAGCCGATGACGAATGTTCTCTTCAATTGGGATGGGGGTGCTATTGACATGGATGTCCCAGCGATCGTCACGCAGTGTCCAAAGTGTCCAGAACAGTTGGCGTTCTTGTGGGACCTAGACTAGCCGTCAACTGTGGCACGGTACACACGGACACTGACAGGAGACCAGTACATACCAACACTCGGGGGGGCGAGGAAATATGTGCGAGCGGGGTGGCGCGCCGTCGGAGCCGAGGGTAGGGTTCCAGGGTGTTGCCGGCGGTGCCCGGTGCGTCACACACAGCGGCCTTCTCTTATATCCTGAATCCTCGTCGAATCTCGACGAGAGTCGTCTAAACGCTCGTACTCGCTGCTCTCTGTCTCACAGAGCTGTACGGGTATCGTGTGTCAAGAAGAACACAATTGTGCACAAGTAGAAACGGCCTCACACCGACACACGGACACACGGTGAACACGGTGACGGAGGGCAGAGCTAGTTCGTGACGACTCAACAGGAGCTCACCCCCGCCTTTGCGAGCCCCGTGCCGTCGAGCGGGGCCCCCGCTGGGGTTGAGTGTCCACAGCCCACGCACAGACATGGTGAGAAAAGTGCCGCGCCCTCACTGGGCGGACCCCTCCGACTCTTGCAAGCCAAAGAGGAGCTGCACCAACTCCTCCTTCTCGACGGCGTCGGGATCGGTGATGCCGCGCTCGCGCAGCCGCCGCTTGAGCTCGCCAACCTTCATCTGGCGAAGCTCCTCCAAGCTACACCGCTGCTGTGTCGCGCCGCCGCCGCGCGCCGCCGCGCCGCCGCCGCCGCCGCCGCCGCCGCCGCCGCTCGCCCCCTGCTGCGCCTCGCCCGCAGCGTCGGCGCCGGAGGCGCCGGCGCCGGAGGCGGAGGGCGGCACCATGATGGCAACCATCTCGGCGACCTTGGACTTCGGGTCCTTTGATCCGCCGCGCGAGGTTGCCACCTCCATGAAGACCTCGCCCATGATGCCGAGCGCCTGCGCGCGCCTCAGCCGCTGCACCTCGTCGACGGAGTGGTCGCGGCAGAGCTTGTGCGTGACGGTTGTGATGGTGCGCTCGATGTCGATCACCGACACGTGCCACATCGCCTCGAGGAAGATCGGCAGCGAGTCCTGCGTCGCCTTGAGCTGCGTCGCGCTCAGCCCCGAGAGCGGGTCCGCCGGCTCGCCTTCGCTCTTGTCGGCGATCTCCTTGACCATGCGGTAGGTGCGCAGCGCGGCGCCGGCGGCGCGGATCCCCGCCCCCGCCGCGGCCGTGTGGTTGTCGAACGAGATCTTCTTGCCCTTCCACGCGGCGACGTGCCCGTCCACGCCGAGGGTCGACTTTCGGTATCCGACGAACTCTGCGGCACGACAGCGGTAGATCTCGGCGACGACAAAGAGGAGGCAGTCGCCGAAGGAGACGGCGATCAGCTCCTCCGCCTCGCTCTTGCAGAACTGGCGGAAGCGCTCCTCGTCGCCGCCGACGTACGGCGCGACCATGTCCACCTGTTCACAGCAGTGGGTGTGAAGAGACGCTGTTCACAGCTGAGGACGTACGGCGCGACCATGTCCACCAGCCGCAGCGCGCACTCCACCTCGCGCTTCTTTTGCCGCACGCCCAGCCGGCCCATCGAGACGCCGCCCTCCATCGACGCGGCGGTGGCGAGGGCGAGGGTGCCTGCCGCAGCACCCGGGTCTGCGTCACCGCGCCGGCACGCAGGGAGGGGGAGAGGCGGGAGGCGCGGGAGGCGCGCGAGGGAGAGGCGAGAGGCGAGAGGCACGCGCCGATGTAGGGCTCGAAACGCTCCGAGCCGAACAGCATGGTGAAAAAGACCTGGGGAGTGGGCGGGGCGGGGGTGGGGAGCGGCTTGGGGTGGCGGGGCGGCCGCGAGGGGAGGGCTCGCCCCGGCGTCCATGAAGTTCTTTTCGACGCCGGACGCGCCGTGCGCGTCGTACTTTGCGCGGGAGCGCTCGTCCGCGAGGACCTGGTACGCCTCCGAGATGGCCTGGAACTGCTCCTTCGCCTCCTCGTCGCCCGGGTTCTTGTCGGGGTGCAGCCGCAGCGCCTTCTTGTAGTACGCCTGCACCGCAAGGGCGCACAGCCGCGGCTCAGCAGGCAAGCGAGCGGTGTGTGCGCCTCCACCGCCCACGCCGCCTCGCCTTCTTGATGGCGTCCGTCGACGCATCGTACCGCACGCCCAGAGAGTCGTAGTATCGCGTGTCCTTGGGCGCGCGCCCGCTCCCGCCGCCGCCGCCGCCGCCGCCGCCGCCGCCGCCGCCGGCTCCGCCGCCGGCCTCGTCCTCGAGCTGGCTAGCGAGCTGCGCGTCGGTCTGCAGGTTGTACTCGTACCACTCGCGCTTCTCCTGGTCCCAGTCCTTGCCCTTGTTCGACTCGACAACCTCCTCGACCGTGTTGATTGCGCCGCGCGTCACCTGCAGCAGCGCGGGGCGCCGGTCGGCGCGGGGCAGCGCACTCGCGGCGGCGGCGCTGTGCCCGCGCCAGCGCCGCGTGCGCGTGTGTGGAGTGCGAGAGGGGAAGGGCGTTCCTGCAGGCAGCCCACCGCGGCGCCGGCGACCGGCAGTGCCACCGCACCCAGAATCCCCGTCACGAGCCCCGTGAAGAAACCTCCGACGCCCTGTGTTTGTGCCCCGACGATGGGCGCCGCAATCAGCCCGACGGTGCCGCCGACCACCCCCTTGAGCGCTGATTTTAGGCCCGACGAGGCGCCCGCAATCTGAAGCAGGGAGCGCGGGCGTTTAGAGTTCGAGGGCGGGCGCCAGCGGCTGCGGGCCGGCGGCCGCACCAAATTCTTTGGCTTGCGCATCGAAAACATGTCAAAAGGGAGGTCAGGGGGCTCATCGTCGGGCGCAGCGCCGGCGGACGAGCTCGCGGCGCCTTCCGACGAGGCCGGCGCGGCTAGCTTTGTGGAGTCCACTTGCGTCGGCGCCATCGTCAGCAGCTAAGGCGCCCGCGCCTGGGCCGCCTTCCCCCACGGAAAAAGAATTCTGCGCCGTTGTGAGGTTAATGACTACTACTCCAAGTGCTCCAAGTGCACCACACTGATAACACACGCGCGAACCGATGCACACGAAACAAGGGGACCACCATCTGTCTCCAAAGCTCGCCTACTCGTATCTCTCATTGTGCTCGCCGCCGCTTGAACAGCTGTGGCCCGCCCTCGGGGCCGCCCGCGCCTCCGAAACGCAGCGCGCTTGCGCCAGGCAGCCCCGCGGCCGCTGCCGCTTCCGCAAAGTGTACGCACGCGGCCTGGATCGAGCGGTTGTGCTCGGCCACTGCGCCGTCGGCGAGCGTCGCGCCTGTGGAGAGAGAGAGAGAGAGAGAGAGAGAGAGAGAGAGAGTGGAGAGTCACATAACCTCGTGGGCCGGGTGTGTGGTGGGTTCGCAGCTGGCGGCGCCTGCAGCGGCGGCCAGCTCGCGCTGCAGCTCCTCCTCCTGCTCCGGGTCGCGCATCGTACTCAGCAGCATGGGGATAGTCGCCGAGTGCTCTGTCAGGCTGAGCGGTTGCACGGCCTGGTCCTGCAGCAGCGCCTCCTCAGCGATCACGCGATCGGAAAGCAGCTGCAGCTGCTGTGAGAGGAGCTGAAAGTGGCCCAGCGCGGCGGGCCAGTTGTGCAGCCGCCCGCCCTCCTCGGCGGACGCGATCGTCCGCTCCAGATCCACAGCCCGCTCGTGTAGAGCGGTGATGGTGCTTCGAAGCTGCCCGGCCTCCATTCTTTGGCTCCGGCCACAACGGCGAAAAGAATTCTTGAACGACAGCGTCTCTCACAGCACACAGGCACGACAAGGGCGCGGACTGGCGCGGACTGGCACACACACCGGCTCACCACGGCGAAAAGAATGTAGAAACTAAGAAAACACCGCCTCGGTGTGGGTGGGAGGACAAAAGAATGTAAATCCGTCTTTGCGTTGACTGTTTTCTTTCTTTTAGGCACAGTTCGAGAGATTGTTTTAGCAAAACAAATCTTTGTTTGCGAAAGAAATAGATTTTTACAACGCAAGGGTTGTCATTCGTGAGCTGTGTGCTGTGCGTCCAGCAGTCCGGACCCGGAGGCGCTGTTCAACACGACGCTGCTCCGGCTCGCTGCAGCCAAATTGCCTCGGCAAGAGGGCCCGACGCTGCTGGTCGGCGAAGGCGGTTTTCACGACGATTGGCCTGTGGATGTGCCAGCCGCTCCTGCTGCCACAGGCTTCACCGCTTTCAGAGGCACACCCAAGGCGGTCATCTCGGTCCTTCCTCAAGCGCTGAGCGTTACCGAGTTCTTCCCGCATTGGGATCTTGTCGAGGTCTCGGACGCAATGGGCGCCCGCACCCTTTCTTTCGATGCGGTACAGCAGCTCGCTTGTGCCCAAGCTCGTCATATCGAGGGGGAGGCTGGAAGCTCCTTCGTCAGAGCCGTCTGCCACTGGCGAGCCGTTGGCGCGCTCAGCGACAAAGCAGCCGAAAGTACTTCGGATGACGCGAGTGACGTGTGTCGTCGGCTCCACCAAGGTAGGGGGGAGAGAGTGAGAGACTAGCCATCACACCCAGCCGTCCCGCCTCCCTCCCCCTTCGGCCTCTATCGCCTCTTCGCCTGTTGCTGCCGCCCGCGCGCCGCGGTGTGCCGCGCATGCCCACTGCCACTCGCCCAGCCGCGCTCGCATCGTTTTGCGGCGCCGGCACGCGCGCCGGCGTGCGGGTCGGCGCGTGCCTCCTGAGATGACTTTGCACTTTCGCCGCGCTCTCTTGGCATGTGTCTTGGTCTCTCGCGGCACGCGGGAATTGCGGATTGGGACGGATTGCGCGCGCGGACATTGCGCTTTGCCGTTTGCGGCGCGCAGGCAGCGGCGGGCGCGCTCTCATGACTGGACACGCCGCGCCGCCCCCACCCCCCCAGTCCGCTCAACCCCGTTTTATTTATTTACTAGTCCAGCGCAGGTACACAGTATCATACCACGCGCCTGAGGGGCAGCCGGTCACATTCATGGAACATGCGCCCCGGGCGAGAGCGAGACACCGTTTTGCATCATGTGTGCCTGGTGTGCACGCTCACGACTACCCGTAACTAACATACAGACTCATTGCCTCGACTGGTAGATGTAGACGCCGACCAGACCAAACACCACCTCGACGGCGCCCTGCGTCGCCACGTCTCCGCCACTCGCGCCAGTTGCCACACGAAGCAAGTCGGTCAAGCCGGTACTCAATGCGCCGAGGCCAGCGAGGAGGACGGCCGCACCGAGAAGGCCAGACTTGCGTCCCTGCGCCTTCTCCTCCTGCAGCTTCTCGTAGTCGGTCTTTAGCTGCCGCAGCGTCGCCATCTCCTCGCGCACCGTGCGCCGCGTCGCTAGTAGCGTCTGGTCGACCGCCGAGGTGGACTTCTCCAGCTTCGCAAGCATTCGCCGCGTCTCCTCGTCCGCCAGGCTCGCTCCCTGCGGCGAGGTCGCTCGTGAGCTGAGCTCGGCGGGCGTCCGACACAGGTCGAAAGTGGGCACCCAGCACAGATACACAAATCAGAGGGCGGGTTTGCGTGGGCGGGCTGCCTTGGCTTCCAGCTGCGCTCGCAGCGCGTCTGAACTAGCGTCCATCTCTTCGAGGACAGCCGAGAGGACGCGCTGCGTCTCGGCCTCGATCAATCGAAATCGAGACTCCTCCGTATCGTCGAGCGCGTCCACTTTCATCCCGGCAAATGCCTTTTCGAGTTCACGGCGCAATACCTCGTCAAAGTCTGTCTCCAGATCAGAGCTGTCGCCCGCGACGGGCGCGCCGGCTCGCGGCGACGCAGCACGCAACACAACGTGTCCCGGCACTCGCGCGATCTCCGCAGGACCCCACGCCACGGCAGCCACGGCAGCCAGATTGGCGAGCATTTGTGAACCCCTTTCTTTTTTTGAGCTGCCTTCGATGGAATGAAATAAACGCAAGGCGCTCACACGCACATCGCTCTCGGGCCCACAGACATCCCGCACACCCGCCGCCCCCGCGCGCCCCCCACCCCGGCCGGGAGAAAGGGGAGTGACAGTTTGGGATGGCAACAGTCGAGCGAGATACCTCGCTCGCTCGCACTCCATGTGCGAGAACGCAGATAAGGACTGGGTGGTCCGGCCCACAAGTCCGGCTCATGCGCCCCGAGCTGACCCTCTACCGCACTGAACACTTCAGCCCCCTCGCTCCCAACCCATCCACCTCGCCGAGTGCCGAGGTGCGCGATCTCGGGCCGCGCCGCGCAATCTCGGGCGATCTCGGAGCGTCGCTTGCGCGGGCCGCGGCGGCACACCTAGTTGCTCAAAAGCGGTCCGGTCGGCAGGTTTAGGGAAGGAGGGGACGCAGCGAGCGTCCACCCCCCGGGGCCAGCGCGCGGCTCGCGCGCCGCCCCACCCACGCCGGCCCACGAGGGGTCGAGGGCCGGTCGTCCATCGCCATGTCCCGGGATGTCCAGCGTGGACGTGTCCCGGGGGAAGCTGTGACTAAGGGCACCCCGTTCCTCCTCTCCCCGCACTCCCTCAGGCTGAGGGCTGCCAGGCCGCGGTCGGTCGGCCTGGGTCGCGAACAGGAAGGGGCCAGACTAGGGACCAGATCGCTAAGCTTCCACTGGTGCGAACAGTACTAGACGTCGACCGAAGCCGCCTCCGCTTTCTTTTTTCAAGCTGACAATCCACACCTAACCTCCATGTGGTGACTTGTTGGACCACCAACAATTGGGGCTGGGGCTGCGGACGGATCCAGTGTATCTGATCTCTGACTCTGCCTGTCAATCAACTCTCAATTAACTGTCATTCTTCAGCTGCGGCCATCGCAGCAGATCGCCAATGTGTCAATGAGCTTGCAGCCTCCTGCGGCGAAAGAAAGAAAGAATTTTACAACAAAGCTCCCTCTCACGACACTGGGCACGCCTTGTGAGTTGTGTTTAGTGCCACAGTGCGCGCCTGCATGCTGCAAGTTGTCGTGAAAGAAAGAAATACACGGAACTCGGCCTCCGTGCTGGTGTCCCTCCCTGAGGTTGTCCTTTTCTTCGACTTTGTTGCTTTTTTCAGTCCGCCCGCACCTCCTCCTGGTGCTCCTGGGTAGGCTATAGCCTGGGGGGATGGGGACGAGGCTCCGAGGCTCGAGGTCGAGCCGTGGGATTATCTGAAGGGGGTTAATAAAAAGTTCGGGAGCTCGAGGCTTGAGAGAGGCGGGCTTGAGCCTTGACAGAGGTCAGACGGTCAGAGAATCAATCCATAATTAATGAATGTGGGGTTGCCGCTCCCTTGCGGACGCCCCTCTGTTGTGTGTGCAGTGACCAGTGTGTGGCTTTTGTTTTTCTATCTCAATAGGTCTCTTAAGGATGAGGATCAAGGTGGTCCGACCCAGGTTCGGCACCGGGCACCGACTCAGTATACAAAATCCGCCTGCGGGCTGGCCGGCACCTTCTCGACCTCTCCGTGTCATGCAACGTTTATATGCGCCTCTCGGGCTCTCGCCCTCTTCTATCTCTCCCGCGGACGAGCCCGACCCCGCGCCTTCGCCTGGCCCGGACGCTCGCTCGTGCGCTACGCGTGCTAACCTAAAGGCCTGATTCACTCCTGCTTCGCGATCCAGTAAAAGTAGCCTGCGTCGATCCTCAGCGACCCGTCCAGCCACTCGTAATCGTCCATCTCCAACATCGCGTCCTCGCTCTTGACCTGCTCTTCCTTGAGGCTGCCTGGGACAAAGTTATCCGGGTCGGCCTCGGATGCGGGGTTGTCCTACGAAACAGTCCCAAGGAAGGCCTGAGTGGTAACTGGCTCAGGGGAGCATCCTCGAGGGGGGGGGGGAGGGGGAGGCCTCGACGCACTGGCACCAGACAGAGACTGACTCACCGACCAGGTCCTCAACCTTGCTCACACCCTCGAACGAGTCCTTGTTCACCGCCTGCGCAGTCTTTTTGCCACCAATGTCGACATAATAATACTTGCCGTCTTGGATGTCGTCGCCCCAGTGCGTCGCCGCGAGCTTGTAGATCTCTGTGCTATCCGACGCGAGCGCTTTGGCGAGCGGGCCGTTGGACGAGGCCTTGTACACCGAGACGTTGGCCTTTACGAAGTCGAGGACCGTCGCAAAATCGCCCCCAATGGCCTTGTCCGCGAACGTTCTTCCAGCCATGAGTGCTGCCGGTCCGCTTGGCTTTGCCTTCTTTGCCGGCGGCTCGCCCGACGCCGTATTCCCAGCGGCGCCGTCCGCCTTTGCCTTGCCCTCTGCCGAGTACGCAGCTTCGTCGTAGCCCTTGCTCTCCATCTTGACGTATCCTTTCTTCTCCTTCGATGCGATGAGCTTGGCTATCGGCTTCTTGATGGGCTTGTACTTGCCGCCATTAATCGCCTTTCCGCACCGTCCAAACCAGACCGCAAATGTGCCGTCGCCCTTGTCGCTGACAATCCAAAACTTGTTGCTCTTGCAACCGTGGAACTCCCAGCGGTCCGCGGTCTTGTAATCGTCGGACTCGCAGCCCATAGTGTGATCGTGCGTTTTGCGCACTCGGGGCGGGGACGAACGCCCGCGACGAACGTGCACGGAGGGTCAGAGGCACACGCACGCACGCACGCACGTAGCCGAGGGGACCCAGTACCAGCCCAGTACGCCCCACTGACCAGCACTGGCTCCCCAATTCAGATGGGTAAAAAAGCACAAGGTCCCCGCCCGTACTTCCAGAGTCAATTCACCCGTAAATAGCCGGCAGCCGACCGCCCTCTAGTCTCTCGCTTCGTCTACGCCATCTCTCCGCGCCGCTGTCTCGCCCAAGCGAAGGCGTGGCTTGGGGCAAAGTACCACCTGCCCCCTCCTGGGGCTGCGAATGTTGTGGTCGTCTTCAACGCGGCGGAGGTCCTTGGAACGCTCGAAAGCGCCGTCGCTCTGCACCTGCAGCTTCCTGCTGTAGCGCATGCTCCGCTTGTCCTCGAGGCCATGACGCGTGACGCTATTGGTCTCGAGGCTGTAGAATCGCCACCGCTGGGTGCCGTTTAACCCTTCACCGGCCCCGCGCAGCTCGCACAGCAGTGCCGACAGCAGCCAGTCCCAGTTTGGGTTTTGAGCCCAGTGCCTCGCCATGTAGGAGTCCATCCGTCGGAGAAGCTGGGGCACCAGCTCACGAGAGATTATGTACGCGCCGTTCCAGACGTCGCGCATCGGGTTGAACGAGCAGCGGCTGCTGAACTCTCCCGAGTCGCTTGCGCGCCCCTCGTGGTGGGCGTACATGACGACGCCACAGCTCGACTCGCGCGCCAGGGTGGCGCGCCGCGTCTCGTTCTTCACCCCCGGACGCAACGGGTTGAGGTTCACCCAGCTGAACTGCTCCCTGCGCAGCAGGCACTCGATCATGCGCCACGACTTTGCCGTCACCACCTCATCGTCTTCAAACACGACGGCGCGTGTGGTGCGCGCGGGCTCCGCCAGCAGTGTGAGCCACGCCCAGACGTGCGCAATGAGTGGCCCATCGTGCTCCATCCCGCGGAGAGACATGCGCATGCGCCGTCCGCCCCACGGCAGCCAGTTGCAGATCACGGCCCGCCGGTAGGCCGCCAGCCAGCCCGTCAGGTTTACCTCAGACCGCGGGCCGGGGGCCGGGATGGGGAGCACCTGCTCGTTCCGGGCAGGGTCGTTGCGGACAAAGGCCCGCAAGCGTGGGACGCCTCCGCCGTTGACAACGTAGAGTGCGGTGTCTTCGAGCGGTCCTCTCGACAGCGGCATGCGAGGAACACACCAGGGCCAGTTACCTGTGGGTTCTGGCTGCTCTCTCTCCGGGCAGCGGCGCGGGACTGTGTAGGCCTTCGGGACGCACGTTTCAAGTTCTGTCGAGTTCTGCCAGTCCGATTCCTCGCCCCTTGTTTTCTCTTCTTCCTTCTCTGTTAGAGAGCAAGAAAAACCGGCTGGCGCGAGCTGACAGGCGCGGGCGCGCTTTGGCGATAGACGCTCTGGGGATAGAGGCGCCTCACACCGCGTTGCTTGGGCTGCACGGACATGCCCCCTTATAACGCGCCGCGCGCCCGCGCCGCCCCCAACGAGCGCCCCGCCCCCCCCTTGCTGAGAGCTCACGTTTTGACGGACGCTTTCGCGCCCCGACCCAGGCTGTTTGTGAATCGCTGCAGAATCTGGTGGGCCCCTAGGGCGACCGCGTCCGTGCCAGCTGCATGCAGTCCCAACCCCTTGGGTGGCCATTGTAGGAATCGCCATGGCGGGCCAGTCCGGAGAGGTTGTCATTGTGCCGCGCAACTTTGTCCTGCTGGATGAGCTCGACAAGTCGGAGAAGGCGCGACGCAAGCCGCCGGCCGCGCGCCCTGCCCCGCGCGCACTGAGCGGCACGCCGGCAACTGTCGCAGGCGGTTGGGGACATGACGTGCTCCTACGGGCTCGTGCAGCCCGACGACATTTGGCTGTGCGCTCCACCCCCGCCCGCCGCCAGCGTGCATCTGCCGGGAGAGGCGGACGAGTTTGCGCGTCCACGCCGCCGCCCCGCCGCGCAGGAACCACTGGAACGGCTCGATCCTCGGCCCGACCAGCTCCCAGGTGGGATCCTCGATGCTCCCTGCCTCGCCTCGCTCCACCGCTCCTCCCTCTGCCTCTCCTCCCTCCGCGCGTCCCTCTTGCTGAGTCTGGCGGCAGGCGCTCCACCAGACGCCGCACCCGCGCGTGCCAGGTCGAGGGCCGCATCCTCCAGCTCCTCATCTTTTGCGGCAAGGAGTATCCCAAAGCGGCGCCACAGGCGCGCCGCCGCCCCTCCGCCGGCCTAGAGAGGCTGCTCCTCCTGCTGCTACTTCCGCGCACGGTGGAAGGGCGGGCCCCACACGCGCCGCGCGCCGCCCGCCGCAGGTGAAGTTCATCTCGAAGGTGAACTTCCCCGGCATCGTCAGCGACACCGGCGTCGTCGACGTCCCGAAGGTGCTCTCGAAGGTGGGCGCCTCCCGGCAGTGGGACAGCAAGATGCGGATCGAAACCATCCTCAAGGATATCAAAAAGGCGCTCACGCTCCCCGAGTACAGGAAGGTCCTGCAGCCGCAAGACGGCGCTGAGTACTCATAGTCTGGCGTGTGCGCGAGAGGGCGCGGGGTAGTAGAAGGGCGGGTCGGAGAGCAGGGGAGGGGGTGGCGTCTGGCGAGTCTCAGCGGGGGGCAGCCCTGCACGTGGCGCCTCGCCGCGCGGTCTCCAGCTGCGAGCTCCAGGTCGGGTCTGGGACCACCTATACACAGCTTCTTCCGCTTGTTCCTCCTCTGTGGCCGGCGGTACAATCTTTTATATCGGACTCTAGAGAGAGACGCGGAACCACACGCTCGCGCCGCGCGAGCGTCAGCCGTCACGCCGTCTCAGCTACGGCGTCACAGGCGCGCGCGCAGATCGCACTCTCGTCTGCGTGTGACTCGCTCTCGGTCTCGCATCTCGCTCGCCCAGTCTCCGCAGAGGCAGACCCGGAGCCGGACGCGGCGCACATGGAAACACGCAACCGGAGCTTACCCTCCTCTCGACGGGTAGCGATGCGCCGCTCATCCGGCGGCTGGCGTCACTCACCTCGGGAAGCCGCCGACCACCCCCGTGTCCGGCGGGAAGAGGTCTCGTTGCACCTCTGATCGCTTCCTGCGCGGCGCGTCGGACGCCTGCTCCTGCTGCTGCTGCTGCTGCTGCTGTAGCTCTAGCGCGAGGTCGATCGAGTCCTGGGGTGCCACGAGGACGATGCTCCTGTGGCGATGGACAAGGTGGGTGGGTGCGTTGGCTCTTCCGCGCGGGATCGGCCCTCCTTCCCTAGAGTGGGTCTCTCTGCGCCTCCAGTCAAAGGCAGACTCGCACTCCATCTGCCACGCGAGCGAGCGCAAGTCGGAGACCTGCGCCGCGGGAAGGGCGTCGTCCGAGCCGCCGCTGGCGAGCCACGCCGCGCGAAAGTCGGAGCGGCGCAGAAACAGCGGCGTCAGCTCCTCCGCCTCGCCGCCGTCCGCGCCCGCGCCCTCGTCGGCCGGCGCCTTGAAGCGCAGCTCGTCGGAGCCAAAGAGCGGGACCGGCCCGCGCCGGCGGTTGGCCCGGCGCAGCATCGGCGGGGTGGGCGACTGCTCGAGCAGCTCGCTGACCGAACGCACCTCCTCCTCGCACGCCACCAGCCGCAGCTCCACCGCCGCCGTCGCTGCCGCTCCTGCCACTCTCCCACCCGCGGTGCCGGCAGTGCTGCTGCTGCCGCCGTCGGAGCGCACGGCGGTGCGCAAGCGATCGTACACGCCCTCTCGCTCGCGCGGCGCGTCCTCCGCTGACGCCCCCTCGTCGGGGGACGCAGCAGCGGCGGCTGACGGGGACCACTCGCTCAGTGCAAACGCCGTGCCGAGCGGCGTCGCCGCGAGGGTGAGAGGCGTCAGCGGGTTTGCGCGCTGCAGCTCGGCGAGAGCGCGGCGCGCGGCCGACGCGTCCAGGTAGAAGGGGCAGGCGAGCACGCCGTCCTCGCCCGTGGTCGGCACCATCTCGCGGCTGCGCCCGACGACAGAGAAGCAGGGCACGCCGTCCAGCCGATCGATGACCTCCTGCTGCGAGAGCGGCCGGAACGGCACCGGAACGGGCGTGGCGAGGCGGACGTCCGCCCGCATGCAGCCTGGCTGGAGTGCTTTCTCAGGCGGAGGCCGGCGCGGCGGCGCCGCGGCCCATGCAAGCAGAGCGAGATGAGGGATCATGCCTGCTCGCGGAAAAGAATGTATGCTCTCCACTCTCCTCTTGAGCACTTGAGCACTGGATAGGGTCGATTCCGCATGGTACGGGACCCCTCGATCGTCTCGCCCTCCCTCGCTGGTGTGCTCATTGGGGGGGGGCATAACAAACACGGTACAAGCAGAGCGAGATGAGGGAAAGAATTAGACCTGCTGGAGCGCTGCACAGAGCATCTTCACTGACCACCAACGACAGGTGTGCGCCTACGCGCTCGTCTACGCGGAGAAGAAGAACGACGGCGAAGCGCCGTACTCGGTCTCCTTCACGGCGACGCAGAGCGGCGACGTCATCGTCCACCTGCACCCGCACTCCCAGCTCGCGCGCTGTCCGCCATGAGCGGCAGGCGCAGGCCACGGAGCCGCCTGCGAGCGCGAGCCCTGCGGCGCCGCCAGCCCCTGCCGGGCGCCAGCCTCCAGCCGCCTCTTACACGCGGCTGGCGCCCTCTCGCGGCAAAAGGGTCGAGCGAGCGGGCAGAGTCGCGATGTCCCTGCGCACCTGGGTGTTCGCCGCCTATATGCTCTATCCTGTGCCAAGACGGACGCGTTTTGACAATCAAAATCTACCTCAAAATTTGCGGCCGCCCCTCGAAATCAGCTGATCAAAATTTGCGATATGGCCCGGATCGAAACCTGTACTTTGGCCAAGTCACAAACTGCCTCGGGTTTTGGCTGCTGGCACTCTCGAGGCTATGCCTACACAGCCTCGCGCGCATGGGCAGTCAAGAGGGACCATGCACCTTCTCACGACAGCGCCGGTGCCTCTCTCTTGGACCGGCAAACTTGGGGTGGTCTCGTGTGTATCACCAATGTGGGACCAGTGCGGCATCGCGCCATCGACAGCTCTGAACTGCGCCTCACCACTGACCGGGAAGGCCGCCAAGTGGGCCAGCACAGGTCGCACATTGTGGCAGCAGTCAGCAGTGCATGTCTGATAGCTAGTGAGAGCAGCAGCGCGTCAGGGTCGCAGGGTCGGCTCGGGTGTCAAGCCCGCTCTCGCCCGGCCGGCCGCGTGCAGACGTCGGCGCTCGGCCTGTCTGCTGTCTGGAGTGATCTGTCGGCGGTCAGCACAACCGATCAGGTCGGAGTTTTCTTATGGCTGGAGGGTCTATCTGTATGTACTCCTCGAGATCTCTCCAAATCTCTGCCCTCTGATCAACCGTGATCATTCGGGAAGTCGGTGCTAGCTGAGACTAGCGGAGCCGGAGCCCCTTTCCGCACTGCTGCGCGGCGCACGGTGCCTCCGGGGGCCCCCGCCTCCCCCCAGAGTTCTTCAACCTTCTGCGCTTTTGGCAGATCCCTGAGATGGCTAGGGAGAGACGAGGCTGTTGTTGTCGTCGGAGTCGTGCCGCAGGGCTTGTAGCTCCAGGTTCTTCTTGTTCGTCCGCATGCCCGTGAGGGCGAAGGCCGAGGTCACCGCGACGGCCAGTATCGCCGTCGTCACGGCGAAGGTGGTCGAGATGCTGAAGTTCAGCAGGAGAGGCATCAGGACGATCACGTTCAGAGGCAGCCGGTAGAGGTTGTAGATGGTGGACCGCATGTCCTCCGGCACGATGTCTCCCTTGAGAGTGCCCATCATCGGAAAGTAGAGCCCGACGCACGCCTCGAAGGCGAGGAATGCCACGAAGCGGACCTGGACGCTCTCGACGAGGTACACCGTCAGGTGGCACGCCATCGACACGGCCATCACCAGCGCGCCAATCTGCTCGGCCGAGAGCGTCTTTGCGAGGTACGAGTACACGCGCGTGCCGAGCAGGCAGAAGATCATAAAGCCGGTGAAGATGTGGCCGAAGGGCGGCACGGGCTGGTCGGGCTCCATGAGGCACGGCGTCCAGTTGAAGACGAAGATGAACATGGACGACTCGAAGGAGCTGCAGATCAGGCCGCACAGCAGGATCTTCTTGTCGTCGCAAATCGCGCCCACAGCCTTGCCAAAGCTGCCGCCGCTCTGCCCGTCGGACGCCCCGTAGTTCTCCGACCACTTCGTCGAGATGTAGATCATGCAGAGCACGAGCACCACATTGGCGAGGTCGAACGGGGCAATGTACCCGCCGTAGTGCAGCCCGGCTCCGAGCTTTGTGAGCGGAGTGATGTTGGCTGCAACCTCTCCGAGCTGCCCGGCAGCGATCGCCGCCACGCTGCTCCCGAAATATGCGAGGGAGAACGTGTTGCCGAGCTGCTCGCCGTCGAAACCCTCGCGCTGCGACTCTGAGACGAGCCACGAGTCAAACACGCTGAAGAGCAGCGAGGTGGAGATACCGCCCAGGATGCGGCCCACCATCAGCACGCGGAAGAGGCCCCAGTGCTTGGTCAGGCAGTGACCAAAGTAGATGACGCAGTACAGGATAGCGGACTGCCGCCGCCCCACCCTGTCGGCAAGCGAGCCCACCACAGTGCCTACCACAGCCGAGGCACCGAAGCCGCCGACGAAGAGGTAGCCGTTGTGCTCGCGGTCGATACCGTAGCCCTGGTAGAGGGCGTACACGAACGGGCCCTGGAGCCAGTCCGCCAGCATGGCGAGGAGGAACCCGGGCAGGTACAGCCGCTGGAAGCGAGCGAGCTTGTCCTGGCCACCAAAGAGGTTGCGTATGCCGTCGATCTGCTTGCGATCCGACAAGACGACGGCGAGTGCGGCCACGAGTCCCGCGACCAGGCTGCCGTAGATGAGGTTGTGCGGCAGCACCATATCGCGCTCAAGTGATCTTGCTTCTAGGGAGGATCCCTATCGGCGGGCCACAGCCAGCAAAAACGCCGTGCAGACGGGCGGAGTAATTCTTTTAACCCCTCTCCTACACCCACGAACCAAACAACAACCGGAGAAGCCAACAACAAACCTAAAAGAACCGAGCTCTGTGTCTTGTGTGCCAACAACATACCTAAAACCGAAGGCAAAAAGAATTTCAGCCGGACTGGCACGGACTGGCACACACACCCGGCTTTGGCAAATGATCGGAGTGGGAGTCAGAAATGTGGTCCTTGCGCGAGGGGAGCTCGATAGACTCGAGGGGCCAGGATACGCCGCGAGGAGGACGGAGTTGCGCCGAAAGGCAAAAGAAACCGCGAGAACAAGGGACCGGCAGGCGGCGGCGTCACAGGACGAGGCAGAAGAGAACGACGCGACAGAGGAGGAAATGACAAGGGAGAGAACGACGAGAGTGGGACGACCGCGAGGTGGCATGAAGGTTGCAGCGAGAAGCGGCGAGAGACTGCGAAGAGAGATAGGAAGAGGCAGACTCCCTAGGGTGGGCGACGGCTAGCGCACCACACACCTCTCCTTAAAATCCCTGTGTGGTGGCGGCGTGCCGTCCTCCCATCCCTCCCTTGGCTTGTCTGTTTTCTTTCTTTCTTTACACACACCCGGCTCACCACAAAAAGGTCTGGGGCCGGCCGCGCTCTCCCGGCCGAGTTTAGCTCTACAGTGTGACATTCAATCAGGCGAGACGAATGCACAGCTCGGGCCGAAATTTCTCTCTCCTACCAGTCGCCGAGGCTGCGCCCGTTCTGGCTGCGTGCGAGGTCTACGCACGCACAGCAGCGTCGGCTCCAGCCGCAGCCGTCTTCGACGCTCGGCGGCGCTTCATCCTCGATGCCGCCGGCGAGGGAGCGCCTGTGCCACCTCGCCTGTGGGAAGCCTACGCAGCGTTTGCGGACTCAGTGAGGGAGCGGCAGATGCACGGCCTGGATCGCAAGCTCCACTGGTTCTTGTGCGTCCGTGCGCTCGGGTTGGAGGAGGCGTACGCGCCTGCCCTCGGGAGGGAGAGCTTCGAGGCCCGTCCGTGGCTCGGCTGTGTGGAGGTGTACATGGCGTGGCAGAGCGGCGCGGCGGCCGGTGTGCTCGCTTCCCTCGCCGCGGCCGGCCTACTCAGAGGCTCGGCTGGACAGCCGGTGCGCGACGAGGCGGAGGAGCAGCAGCAGCAGCAGCTTGCATGCTGGCTGAGCGCCTCGCTCACCGCGTTCGAGGCGTCCCTCGCGCTGGAGCAGGCGACGGAGCGAGGCGACGTGGCGCGGATGGAGGCGCTCCTGCAGCAGGGCAGCGCGCGGGTGGACGTGCCGTTGCTCGACTGGCCTCCGTCCGGCGACACGTGCCTGCACGTCGCGGCTGGCCGAGGACACGCGGCGGCGGTGGTACTGCTCCTCGAGCGGCAGGCGCAGGCCGACGCGCCGAACTACGAGGGCGCGTCCGCGCTGCACAGGGCGGCCGCCGCCGGCAGTGCGGAGACCGCGTCGCTGCTCCTCGGCGCCGGCGCAGCCGTGGGGGCAGCCACGAGCAGCGGGGCGACGGCGCTGCACCTGGCTGCTGGCGTGGGTCGGCTGGGCGTCGTGAAGCTCCTCCTTGCCCGAGGCGCCGACGCGCAGTCGATGGACCGGGACGGCTCCACGCCGCTCGAAGACGCACACCGCGCCACCTCCGACCCATGCTGCGGCGGCGACGCGCCGGGCATGCATTTCAGCGGCGTCATCTCGCTCCTCGAGACGCTGCGCAAGATGCCGGCCGACGCACGCCGCGCGGCGGCGGCGCGCTCGTGGGAGCTGCACGCCGCCTCGGCGCTGCAGGACGCCGCCACCAGCGGCAACCTCTCTTCGCTCGCCCTCCTGCTCGCCAGCTACTCGGCCGACGTGGACGCCGTAGACTACGACGGGACGACGGCGCTGCACGCCGCCGCCGAGGCCGAGGCAGAGGCCACCGTTTCGCTCGCGCTGCTGCTCAGCGCCGGCGCCGACGTTGGCGCCGCCGACCCCTACGGCAACACGCCGCTGCACGCCGCCGCTCGCTCGGGCGCCGTCGAGGCGGCGGAGATGCTCCTCTCGAGCGGCGCGGACTGGCGCGTCGCCAACGTCGCCGGGAGGCGCGCGGTCGACGTGGCGCGGGCCGGCGGGCACGAGGGCGTGGTGGCGCTGCTGGAGAGGGAGGCGGCCGCGCCAGCCGCTGCACGAGACGGCGGCCGCGCGGCGCGGGTCGCGGCGGAGGCGGCGGCCAGCCTGCGGGCCGTCGGAGGGGCGCAGAGGGAGGGGTCGCCCGCCTCCGCCGGCCCCTACCTGATGCGGGCGCCAAGCGGCGGCGGCGGCCACGACGACGAGGCGTTGCGGCAGCCGATCTCGGTGTCCGGCTCGCAGCGACCGGTAGACTGGATCGTGTCCGAGGTTGAGGGGCTCCGAATCTTCGAGCCGGCCAGGTGAGGCGGCAGGCGGCTGTGCGCTGTGCACGGAGTCTCAGTGTGCGCACGCAATATAGCCATTTTTTTTACTGATTCTGATTTTCGTTGAGAAAAAATCGGGAGTGGGGAGACGGCACCTCGGCTGTCGGCCACGGGCCACGGCGGAGCGCGGAGGAGATCGTGCATCGTGGATCGAATGTTCGAGGAGGACCCGAGGTGTATTGCCGGTGTGTAGTAGGTAGAGTGTCTAGGGGTACTAGGACCCCCCGTTACCGTTCTGGCGAGTGCGGAGTGGCGTCTCTGCGCCGGGGCCGCCGGGGGGTGCGCGCGGTCTCTGGCGGCGACCGGCGTGGCGCGCGGTGCCGGTGTGTTCTACGTATAGGTATACATTTTTTCTGTAGAATCTTACGCTCTAGAGCCGTGTACTGGTACACTTACTCAGGGCCCGCAAAGGCGCCGCGGGAGAATCGCCCCGCCCTCCCCCTCCCCCTCCCCCCAAACGTGCTCCGATTCGCCGCCGCCCTCTCTCCGCCGGCACCACCGCGGGCCGGGCCGGTGCCGTTGGCCTGCCGCCGGAGCCCTCGCGGGGAGAAGGGGCCTCGCGCGGCGGTCGGCCCGCGGCTGACGCGATCCCACGGCGACGGGCGCGGGCAGCGCAGCCCAAACTGCTCGCAGAAGGAAGACGCGCCCTTTGCGGCGGGGAGGCGCGACAAGGCCTCCTCGATCGTCTCGACCGTAGCGACGCACTGGCGCGCAAAGAAGTGTTGCTGCACGCCCAGCTCGAGGGCGTCCTGCAGCGGCGTCGCGTTGCCCGAGCGCAGCTGCATCGCCACGCCGCGCACGACGGCGAGGTTGATCGAGCGGTTGAGCGCGGCGTCGCGCGCGCGCGCGATGCTCTTCGTGACGAGCTCGGGCAGCGTGACGTGTGTGTACTGCCAGGCGGCCTGCTTCTTGCAGTTGCAGTGGATCAGCCGCTGCGGCTCGTCGGGGTGGAACTGGAGCAAGTTACCCATCAGGCAGAGCCGGCCGTCCGCGTAGCCAGAGTCGCTCGTCTTGTCGCGCCGCCTGAGCAGGCCCATCTCGCCCGCCGCGAGAGGCGAGACGCCGCACGAGAGGCCGCCCACCTATCCTCAAGCATGAGTCGCGATGAGTGGGTGTAAGGAAGGCCGCCCACCTAGCCCATGCCCCAACGAGCGATGTGAGTGGTGCATCACTGTCGATTGAGACGCCCGCACGAGAGGCCGCCCGCCAGCTCGCACGCCAGCCAGTACGTCTCCTTGTCTCCATATCTCCCCATACCTCCCCATATCTCCCCCTATCTCGGCGTACCAGCTCGCACGCCAGCCAGTACGTCTCCTTGTCGCCGTGCAGGTTGGCGTACATCTCGTGCCTGCTCGCGGTCGCGCGGGAGGCGTGAAGAGGCGCTTTTGCGCTCACAGGGGCGCGGGCTCGGGCCGTGGCTCGCGCCGGTAGCGCTCGTGCAGCGCGTAGAGCGTGCTGAGCAGCCGCGGAGAGCGCGACTTGGAGAGGAGCAGCACCGACGAGTCGATCTGGTGGTTGGACTCGCCCGACACGATCGGCGAGCGGATGAGGTCCTCGCTCGGCCGCCTGTTCACAGCTGGAGGTGTGAAGAGGAGCAGGGGAGCTAGAGGCGGATGAGGTCCTCGCTCGGCCGCCTGTTCACAGCTGGAGGTGTGAAGAGGAGCAGGGGAGCTAGAGGCGGATGAGGTCCTCGCTCGGCCGCCTGTTCACAGCTGGAGGTGTGAAGAGGAGCAGGGGAGCTAGAGGCGGATGAGGTCCTCGCTCGGCCGCCTGTTCACAGCTGGAGGTGTGAAGAGGAGCAGGGGAGCTAGAGGCGGATGAGGTCCTCGCTCGGCCGCCTGTTCACAGCTGGAGGTGTGAAGAGGAGCAGGGGAGCTAGAGGCGGATGAGGTCCTCGCTCGGCCGCCAAGGCCACGAGACGTCGATGTCGGGCAGGAAGCTCTGCGACGCCATCCGCTTGCGGATCAGGTGGCGGACGTAGCGGGAGGCGTCCTTGATGGGCTGGCCGCGCAGATGCCGCTGCAGCCGGTCGCGGAACAGTAGCATCCCGCTCGCGTTGTAGCTCGCCGAGCGGAAGAGGTCAGTCGGGTCCGAGTAAAAGTGCGCCTGCGTGCGGGAGGGGGGAGGGGAGCAGGGCTCAGAGAGGGTGCGGAGGAGGGCGCCTGCGCTGCGCTCGAGGCGCGCGTCGTGGTCGACGAGCAGCACGTCGTCGAGCTCGGTCGCGAGCAGGGAGAGCGGCTTGCACATGTAGCCGCGCAGCTTGCCGATCTCGTCGGCCGCGAGGTGCGGGGAGAGCACGCCGCTCAAGTCGCGCGCGACGAGCGGCGTCGCCGAGGGGAAGGAGCGCAGGGTGGCGAGGTCGGCGTCGGAGAGCTCGCCCACGTGCCTGTTAGCATCAGCGATTCAGTCGTGCCTGCTCACTCTCAACACTCCGAGCTCTCCCACGCCGGCACACGCGCCAGAGCTCGAGTGGGAGGCGATTGCCCGCCCGCTGCAGCCGCTTGACCATCGCCAGGGTGGAGGCCAGGATGGGGGGGGCGGTGCACGAGATGATGCCGCGGCTGCCCGGCTGCGGCGCCACGGGCTGCCGCGCGCTAAAGAGGGGCTGCAGCTCGAGCGCAGCGCGGGAGCAGCGGCAGCGCGCAGACAGCTCGCGCAGCGCCGGCGTCGCGCCCCGCTGAACCCACTGCTTGACGGCGGCGGTGATGGCCGCCTGCTCGTCGTCCTTGCGGGCCGTCTTGATGCCCTGGATGGCGAGCGCCTTGTCGCCCACCACGCGCGCCGAGGAGAAGCACGCGCGGTAGGCGCGCGAGAGGACCCGCTCCTGATCACAAGCGAGCGGTGGGTCAGACTCACCCCTCACAAACCACGCGCGCGAGAGGAGACCCTCTCCGTGTCGAAGCGGGGCGGCGGCTCGAGGCCGGCCGGCTTGCTCAGCCGCTCGTGGAAGAGGCGCAGCGAAGACAGCCGCGACGACCAGCCGGCGGCGGCGGCGGAGTCCGTCGCGCCGCTCGAGGACTTGCTCGAGGACTTGCTCGAGGACTTGCTCGGGGTCGAGTGCGGCTCGAGCCAGCGGACGAGCGTGCGGACGGTGGCGTTGAAGGTTGCGTGCGCGAGCCTGTGTGCGCGCACAGCCGGAGGCGTGACGGTGTGCGGTGCCGGGCGGTCGCGGTGGCGGAGGGGCGTGTGAGCGCGAGCCAGTCGAGGCGGAGGGAGTAGGTCTGGGGCGAGCGGACGAGCTCGTCGACGTCGAGCATCGTGCGCAGCGTGTTGTGCGCGCGCCGCGCCTCGACCTCGAGCCCCGCGCGCACGGGCAGCGCGTTGAGGCAGCGGTGGAGCGTCGCCCCCTCGGCACCAAGGGAGGGGTCGCAGCCGTACTGCTTGAGCCACGGCGCCGCCATGAGGGAGTGGAAGATTGGCGCGGCGGTGAGCTTTGACTTTTGCGCGCCCCACAGCTCGGGCAGCGCGCACAGGTCGCGGGAGCAGCGGGTGGAGTTCGTCCACGCGAGCTCCGAGCCGCGCCTGTGGAAGAGGTAGCCTGGCGGGGGGCGGGGGCGCGAGGCACGGGCGCTGCGGGCGAGCCGCCCGCACAAAGGAGAGAGGGCGGGAGGGAGGGTGTGGCGTGGGAGGCGGGTTGCGGTGTAGGAGGGCGGGAGCGCGCGTCCGAGAGGCGACCAGCTGCGGATCGGCTGCACCTCGGCCGCATCTCGCCTGCCCTCTGTGCCGCTCGGCTGTCTCTCGGCTGTCTCTCGGCTGTCTCTCGGCAGTCTCTCGGCAGTCTCTCGGCTACGCCTCGCCCGAGGCGACCATCTGGATCGGGTCGCGCACAAAGTGGACGAGCCGGTGGCGCGGCGACGCCTCGAGGAGGGAGAGCCAGCGGTAGAGGTCCTCGTGGTACACCTTGACGAGGAAGTGGCAGGCGCCCCCCTCGCCCGGCCGCCGCTCCTCCGCGAGGGGAAGCTCGCGGTACGTGTACTTGTACACCTGCGGGGGGGAGACCGTCCAGACGGGTGAGAGGCTGTGGGGTGAGGCGGCAGACGCGGAGAGCAGTCGCGCTCACAGCGGGGCTCTACAACTTGGGGGACAGGTGAGCGAGGGGGGCGTGGCTCGCTGTGTCGGCGGAGGGACGGGGGGGCGGGACGACGGCGGGAGCAGTCGGGCGCGGACCGGCCGGTTGGTGGCGCTGCAGAGCACATCGACGAGCACCTTCCCGACGGTGGTGCCGCTCTTGTGGTGCGCGATGAAGACCCAGTCGCCAGCGGGGCGAGGAGCGTGGGGGTGCATCGCCATGAGCGTGGGCAGTGGGCGAGACGCCCGCTCCATGTCCTCCGCCGACGCGCCCACCGTCTGGAAGCCCCTCCGCTTGGACCACTTCGCTCGCGGGTCCCGGCTGCTGAGCTTGGAGACGACAAACTTCTGCACGTTCTCCAGCGTGATCTGCCCCTGGTACATCTCAAACGTCGTGTGCACCCGGATCTTGAGGAGCGGCGCCGTGGACCGTGATTCACCGCGCCCGCGCCGCTCTCGCATCATCAGCAGGCCGGTGTTTGGCGCGGCGGCACCGCTGGAGTTGTGCGCCGACGCCACCGAGCAGGCGCCCTCGCCAAGGATGCCCGTCGCCGCCACACACGAGACCCGGCCAAACAGCAGCTCCGGAAACTCGGGCGCCAGCTGCGCCCACAGGCCCTGGACGCCGTGGCAGAGCTCCCTGCACTGCCGCGGCTCAAAGGCGAGGAACGCGGGCCGCTGGAAGCGCAGAAGCGCGCTGAAGGCGCGCGGTGACAGCTCGAGCGGGCGGTTGTTGGCGAGGATGCGGTTGGGCATGTTAGGCTGAGCTCAAGCGCTGGGACAGGCTCGGCTGGGACTGCATCTCTCCGGCTTTAGGGCGGGCAAGATCGGGGGGGCTGCAAGGCGCCGTTGCGCACACTCCTCGCTCCTTAAAATCCCTGTGTGGTGGCGGCGTGCCGTCCTCCCATCCCTCCCATGGGCTGCCTTGTCGCCTATGTGAGAGAGGACCCCCTGTCGCATAATCAGTCCCTCTCCGCGTGCGATCCGACCTTTCCCCACCCCTCACCCTTGCAAAATCCTGCAAAGAGGTGGGGGGCGACGTCTGAGAGAGAGATTTTTATCGTTCAACGTAGAAACTTGTTTCTTTAGTGTAACCCACTCCTAACATTAATTCTTCGCGCATACAGACAGGCCCAGCTGGAGGTGGCAGGGCATCCCACTCACGAATGTCCCTAATTGTAATCCAGAGCTTGCAAATCAGTGGTCAGTCCACGACTTTCGATGTCCTCCTCCTCGGCCGTCGCGCTGATCCCCAAGCCGAGGGGCGGCGTCCCAAGGGGCCACGAGTGGGACGGTGTGCGCGGCGCGTACGTCCACAAAGAGACGGGAGCTGTGCACGTCAAAGGCACGCGCTCTGCTGCTTCGGCAGCGCAGCAAAAGGAGCGCAAGGATGAACGCGACCGCAGCGACAGGCCGCAGGCGAGCGGCTCGCAGAAGCGCAACCAGGCTCAGGCCGAGGCCAGGAAAGCGGATGCCAACCGCCGCCGCCAGGTGGTCAGCCAGCACCGCAAGGCAGTACGCGAGAAGGCGCGCCCGCGGCTTGGCGAGAGCTTCGCCTCGATCCGCCAGCGTGAGGAGCAGCGGCTGCTCGGCAAGCGCTTTCTCTTCGAGCCCCAGCGCGTGCGCGTGTGCGAGGGAGCGCTCGCTGGGCAGTGCGGCACCGTGCTGGATCGCGCCCAGCTGTGCTTCCAGGAGACTGCGCGCCGCGTCACGAGCCTGGAGCTCGACGCCTCGGGCCGTGTCGCGATCACCGAGCCGCGGCACCACCACCAGATATTGCTCGACGGGAGCGAGGATGAGGAGCCGGTGCTGCTCTCGCCGTACGCCGTAGAGCCGTGGCCAGGCGTCGGGCAGCTCGTGGACATGCACCACGGCTCAAACTTGGAGAACGAGCCGGATCGAGCCATGAACCACTTGGGCACCGTCGTCGCCTTTCATCCGTGGCAGCATTGGGGCCTCGAGGGCGAGAGCTTCTACCTCGTCAAGCGGCAGACCTTCGCGCTGCCGGAGCATGTCGAGGCGATGGCGGGCGGCGACGTGTGCATCGGCTCGTGGGTGCGGCTGCTGCCCCCGCATCCAGATGCGCATCACACGCTGCAAGATCGCCCCCCGGGTTCCTCCATGGTGCGGGGCAAGCACGAGCCCGGGGAGTTTGCAGCGCGGCGCATGCTGGATCGCCTTCAGCTGCAGGAGCCTGCAGAGCTGACGACGACGCACGCGCACAAGCTTCTGGAGGTCTTGCCCAATACGCTGGCCGAGGAGGCCTACTTACCGCTGCTCGACGTGCACGTGGTGCGGGACCGATGCGCGGCGTGCAGGGACTGCTTGGTGCTCGAGACCACGTTCTTGCTTGCCTACGACACCGACTTTGAGCCGCTCGATAGCAACGACATGCAAAATCCATGCCGCTCCCACTGCCCGTCAGACCATGCTTTCATGTGCGAGTGCGCGCGCCAGTGCTGCTCACATTGGGAGTGCAAGTACAGATGCCGCGACTGTATGGGTAGTGACAGCGACTGTGACAGCGAGTCGGGCGAGGAGAGTGCGTAGGAGAGAACTACTGCTCTGTGTGTGTCTTTACAAATTACTACGTCGTTCAACGTAGAAACTTGTTTCTGTAGTGTAACCCACTCCTAACATTAATTCTTCGCGTGTACAGGCTGACCCAGGCTGCTCTGCCCACCCACCCACCCACCCACCATTACGTTGAACCCATGCAGAGCTTTTATTAACCAACGAGAAATCACGACTCTCATTCTTGACGTCTGTCCTCGTCCTCCCACGGAGTCGGAAGACGGCCAGAGGCAGACACGAGTGACGAGAGTCGAGAGACACACACACAGGTCACAGCACACACATAGACCCAGTCCCAGAGAGGCAGAGAGCCTCGCAGGGCCTCTCTTTCGGTCACACTTGGCGCATGGCGGGGGGGTCGGGGTGTTGAGTCATGAGTGGTTTTTTCTTTCGTTTCGCTTTCGGATTCTTTCGTCGAAGCGCGAAACCCACAGCCACATCCCGCGCGTGGTGAAAATGGTGACAAAAAAGCGCGCTCCGGCACGCTCCACGGCCAGAGGCCCCTAGGACCAGTGGACCGCCACGCAGCGCCGATGTACACTCCCCGACGCTGTGCGTAGGCTCCGGCCTAGAAGGCGCGCCCAAACAGCGCCATGTGCGTCGCCGGCTTGCCAGAGTAGAAGCACACGCGGCCCTCTGCGCGGTGCTGCTCGCCGAGCGGGAAGCAGCGGATCGTCGCCTTGGTCTCGTCCTTGATCGACTTCTCCGCCGCCGCATCGTCGAACCACGGCACGAGGAAGAGGCCCGCGCCGCCGCTGCCCGCGCCCTCGGCCGCCGCGAGCGCGTCCGCCATCTCGGCGTACGAGTCCGTCTCGCGCGTGCCGTCGGAGAGCCGCGCCTCGGCCGCGGCCAGCAGCGCCCCCTGCATCGCGTCGAGCTCGGCGGCGATCGCGCCGCCGACGCCCTCGCCGGCGGGCAAGTCGAACTTGTCGCCACCCGTCCGGCGCGCGACGACCAGCTTCCCCGCCGCCATGTCGCGCGGCCCCGCCTCGATCCGCAGCGGCACGCCCTTGCGCTCGTACTCGAAGAACTTTGGCCCCGGCCGCACGTTCCACCGCGTGTCGATCGAGACGCGCACGCCGGCGGCGCGCATCGATGCGACCTGCGCGTCGACGAAGGCCATCAGCTCCGCGTGCTGCTCGGGCTGCTTGTCCGGCCCGGGCGAGATGGGCACGACGACGGCTTGCGTCGGCGCCACCGCGGGAGGCAGCACGAGCCCGGAGTCGTCCGAGTGGCTCATGATGAGGGCGCCAACCTGCCAGAGGGCGGGGCGGGGGGTGGGTGTGGGTGTGGGTGTGGGTGTGAGGCGAGGGGGAGGGGGCAGGCGCTTGCGCGGCTCGCGCACGGACGGCACGCGTTGCGGCGCAGCGTGGCGCAGCGTGGCGCGGCGCAGCGCGGCGGGCCGGGGCGGGGCGCAGGGTGTGCGGGGCGCAGGGTGTGCGGGGTGTGGCTCACCAGCCGCGTCGACACGCCCCAGGAGGTGGCCCACACGTGCTGCTGCTGGTTGGCGTCGTCGGAGAAGGTGACGTCGAAGGCCTTCGCGAAGTTCTGGCCCAGAAAGTGCGAGGTGCCCGACTGGAGCGCCCACCCGTTTTGCATGAGCGCCTGGCAGGCGAGGCGGCGAGGCGGAGGGTGGCAGGCGAGGCGGAGGGTGGCAGGCGAGGCGGAGGGTGGCAGGCGAGGCGGCGAGGCGGCGAGGCGGCGGGTGCGCGCGGTGGGTCAGAGGAGGGGCGGGGGGCTTCGCGGCGGCGGGAGGCGGCGCCTCGATGGTGAAAGTGTCGTCCGCGCCGGCGAAGCGCTCCGTCGGCGACTTGACGCCCTTGACGACCGGCATGGCGAGCACGTCGCGGCAGACGTCGGCGTAGACGTCGAGCATCTGGCGCGCCGTCTCGACCGCCTCCTCGCGCGTCGCGTGCGCGGTGTGGCCCTCCTGCGGGGGGAGCTCGGCGGAGGGTGAGCAGAGCTGAGCCGAGCCGAGCCGAGCAGGGCCGAGGCCGGCCCCTCCTGCCAGAGGAACTCGGCCGAGCGGAGAAAAGGGCGCGTGCGCAGCTCCCAGCGGACGACGTTCGCCCACTGGTTGACCTTGAGCGGCAGGTCGCGGTAGGACATGATCCACTTCTGGAACATGTGCCAGATCATCGTCTCCGAGGTCGGCCGCACGATGAGCGGCTCCTCGAGCTCCGCGTCCGGGTCGGGCTCGACAGCCTGTCGGCAAGAGCTGAGGTGGGAGGAGGAGTGAGTGGACAGCTCCGCCCCCCGGAGGCTGTGCACGGGCCTTGCCCCCCTCGGTCGAGCGGAGCCGGTGGTGCGTCACGACGGCGCACTCCTTGGCGAAGCCCTCGACGTGCTCCGCCTCCTTGGATAGGAACGACACCTGCTCACCCGCCCCGTCTGTGAACAGCGCCTCTTCACACCCGGCCGGCGCCTCTCAGAGGGGAGAGGGGCGGCGCCGGGATGAAGAGCGGAAAGTACGCGTTCTGCGCGCCGCTCTCCTTGATGCGCTCGTCGAGGGCGGAGCGCAGCGCGTCCCACAGCGCCATCCCCGTCGGTCGGATCACCATGCACCCCTTGACCGGCGACTGGTCCGCCAGCTCGGCCGCCTGGATCACCTCCTGGTACCAGAGCGAATAGTCCGCCGCGCGCGGCGTCAGCCCCTGCCGCCCGCCGCCGCCCCCGCCGCCGCCGCCGCCGCCGCCCTTCTTTTGCTGCTGCTGCTGCTGCTTCCCCTTGCCCTTCTTGGCCTTCTCGGGCGGCGCGCCAGGCAGCCGGCCCTTGAGCTCGAGCAGCTCGGCGACCGCCGCGGCAATCGCCGCCTCGTCCTTGGTCTCCGCCGCCTTGAGTGCGCGCACGCGGTCGCCGGCAGCCTTGATCTCGGCCTCGAGCGCCGCTAGATCCACGTCGGCGGCCGCCGCCATCACCAGAGGGCGCCGCTGCCTCGCAGCGGCCGCAACCCGGGCACCGCCGCCGCAGGCGCGGTGCGGCGCGCCGCACCCTCGAGCGGCGAGAGGCGCACGCTGCAGCACGCGCATCACGCCAGGTAGCATCGTCACGGCGAGCAGGATGGTGGACATGAGCCGGAGGGCCGGAGAGCAGAGCGAGAGCCCAGGCCGGCTCCAGCTCGTTCGCGAAAAAAATCATCGCGCCGCTGTGTGCGGGGCGGGCCCCTGCACACAGACTAGGGGGTTGTGCACTCTCTGAGGCCTCAGACCCCCTCTGAGGACGGGTCGGACCCCAGGCTTGGCGGCACAGAGGGTTTGACTCTGACTCTGTGCCGCCTCTGGGTCTCTGTGGGATATCCAGGCATGTTACTGAGCGAGGCTACAGCGTAGAGCACACACACGTCAGGCGTACGCGCGAGGACGACTCTTCTCACGCCCACTGCGATCATCTGCCGCCAAGTCACCCTTTTCCTGGCTCACAAGCTAAAGATATGGGGTCCCGTACCATGCGGAACCGACCGACCCTATCCAGTGCTCAAGTGCTCAAGCTAAAGATGTTCACGGGCCCCCACAAGTCATATCGTTGCTCAGGTCCACTCTCTCTTCGAACACTTGTACCTCCACGGATGATGCTGGCGCTGGGTTCCCGTTGCGGAATTTTTTTATTTTTTCAAAACTCCCTTTCGCGGAACCCTCCGTCGAGTTCCAGGAACCCTCCCTCTATTTCGCATTATCTTCGCATCCCAGTCATGGCTCTCTCGTTCGCTTCCTCCACGCTCGCCTTCAACATCGCGCCATCGGCCGTCTTCGCGCCCTCGCGCCTGGCCGCCGTCCGGATGCAGGTCCGCCGCCCAATCCCTGCTAAGCCCCACCCCGCGCATCCTCGCGCCTGCGGCGCTCGCCCTAGACGCCATCACCGCAGTCACCCTCGCCGCATGACGCCATCACCGCCATCACCTTCCCCCCCTTTGGATCGCAGGAGGCCGCCCCCGTGGACGCTCCGCCCGCGCCGCCGCCCCTGCCGAAGATCAAGACCATGATGGTCGGCGACGGCACCCTCGCCGGCGACATGGGCTTTGACCCGTTGCAGCTCGCCGACTCGCCCGACAAGCTTGCCTTCTACCGCGAGGCAGAGGTCAAGCACGCGCGCCTCGCCATGCTCGCCGCCTTCGGCTGGCCCGTCTCCGAGATCACCAACTTTGGCGGCCTCCTGAACGGCGACGGCCGCGCGCCCTCACTGCTCAACGGCGGCCTCGGCAACGTGAACGGCGTCTACTGGGGCGCTGTCGTCGCGCTCGCGGTGTACTGGGAGAAGTTCGGGCTCGACCAGCAGTTTGGCTCCAAGGACGTGAGCAAGAGCCCCGACTACCTCCCCGGCATGCTCGGCTTCGACCCGCTCGGCGCCGACTCGCAGGGCATGCGCGCCGCCGAGATCACCAACGGGCGCGTGGCGATGGTGGCGATCACCGTGTTTGCGCTCGAGGAGGCGCTCACGAGGGCCCCCATCTTCCCAATCAACCTGCTTCACTAGAGCAGCGGCCGCTGCTCTCGTGAGGAACCTTATGTGTGTGTCGGCGGCGTGTGTGGCTGGAGAGGATGTGTCCTCGCAGCCCGTCGCCCCCCCCGCGCTGCGTGTGGCTGCCGGCCTCTTGGCGGCAGAGTGGAAAGTCGCGCCCGTCTCTGTGTGATGGAGCGGCCTCTTCGTTTTATTGTGTTGCAGTACGAAACCCCATGTAGGCCATGACCCCAACCGACGCTGCGCGAATGGGGATTGAAAGCCGGAACAGAGAGCAAGCGCCCGTGGCCAGTTCAGGGCCGTCTCGCCTCTCACTCGAGGAGTCGAGCTCACTCTCCGCTCTGTCACCTCTCGGTGGAGTGTTCGGTCTCTCACACACCAACCCGATCATCGTACAGTACCCTGCACTCATGCCTCACTTTCAGCCCTCACGGCAGCACAGCTCTGTCACATTCAGCCGCGCGTTCCGCCTCGGGCAGGCCGGCGACCTCTCGCTCCAGCTGACCACCCGAGGCCCGCGGCACTGCAATGCACATCCACATGCCCACCTCGCACTTCTCGGTGCGCCCGCGGCCCGGACCTGCCGAGCGCTGTGCGTCGGTGGGCCCCTCAATCTCTCGCGATCCGCGGACACGTGAGCCGACGGAAGGGTCTCCAGTCCCGTCCGATCACGCACCGGAGACCGCGCTTGCGCTCTCTTGCGCTAGTCGAGCACGACAGGCGCGTCGTCGGTGCCAGCAGCAAGCCCTGCAGCCGGCGCTGCTGCCAGCGGCGGTGGCGGTGGCTGTGGCTGCTGCGGTGGCGGTTGTGGCTGCGGCGGCGGCGGCTGCAGCGGCTGCGGTGGCTGCGGCCGCGGCGGTCTCTGGCGGCCCGGGGCTGGCTCGCAGATGTGGTTGAGGCGAGCGGCGTGCTCGAGCTTGTGCCTGCAGGAGCAAGGCGAGTGCTCGAGGGGCGGAAGGGGCAGAGGTGGCTCACGGCTCGGCGCGCCTCTGCGTGCGGCACTCGTGGCCGTACCAGCAGCTGGGGCGGCTCGTCACGCTCTGCGGCAGCTCGGACCGAGGCAGGCTCGCGCGGTACTGGTAGGCGAGCGAGAAGAGCGCGTCGCTGTAGCAGCGCTCGCACAGCTGCGCCGCCGGGTCGGCGGGCGGTGCGCCCGGCGGGGCGCCGCGAGGGGCAGGGAGGCGGAAGCGCGGGTCGGCCGGGTCGGCGGCGGCGGAAAGCGCTTCGCGCACCATCGCGCCGAGGCTCGAGCCGCGCTGCGCCAGCTGCGTCGTGAGGATGGCCGTCTCGAAGCCGTTCCCGAGGGCGCGGTCCGGGAGGGAGGCGGGCAGGTGGCGCTCCTCGGTGAGGCGGCGGAGCTGGTCGGCGGCGCGCAAGCTGCCGCAGCCGGAGCACGGCGTCAGGCTGGCCACCGCCGCCGCCATCTGCGCCTGCAGCCGCGCGAGCATCAGCTGCGCAAGCATGGGGTCGCCACCGCCGCCGTCCGAGTCGTCGTCGCCGTCGCCGTCCGAGTCCGAGCCGGACGCGTCGCTGTGCGCCCGGCCCCGCTTCCTCAGCTGCAGCGTCGAGGAACCGATGGTGTCGTCTGCCGCAGGACGCAGGGTGAGCACGGAGCGAGGCGAGGCGCTACAGGGCGAGGCGGCGCGGGGGGGGCAGCGAGAGCCGGCGGAGGGCGGGAGAGAGTGGGAAGGGCCGTCTGTTCCCCCAAGAACGAATCAGCCGCCCAGAGAGCAGGGTGCCAACCAGAGAAAGGGGGCGTCATTCCCGTCGTTCTGCGCCGCGCCCCAGGGCCGCGAGCGCCGGTCCAGCGAGCGCGCGCCCGAGGGCTGCGCCGCCGGTCCGCGCGCTCTGCCCTCCACGGGGGAAGGAGGGGCGGCCCCCGAGGGCCGAGAGGGCGGGAGAGGGGTGTGCGAGAGGGCGGGAGAGGTGTGTGCGAGAGGGCGGGAGAGGTGTGCGAGAGGGCGGGAGAGGAAGGGCGGGAGCCGAGGCGAGGCGCGCCCGCGTCCAGCCGAGCGATCTCCTGCGGGCTGCGGCGGCGGTGCGGGTTCCGCTGCAAAAAGTCGTCGACGATGCCGATGATGGTGTGGTTGCGCGACGCGGCGACGATGGGCGCGCGGCACTGCGGGCACTCCTGTTCACAGATGGAGGTGTGAAGAGACGCTGCTCACAGCGGGGCAGCAGCGGCACTGCGGGCACTCCTTCTTCTGCTTGAGCCAGCCGCAGACGCAGCCGGCGCAGAACGAGTGCAGGCAGGGCTGGAGCGAGACGGCGTTGTGGAGGATGTCCTGGCAGACGCTGCACGAGATGTGGTCCTCGCTGGCGAGGCTGCTGCTGCCCGCTGCCGCGCCGCCAGCGCCCAGAGCCGATGCGCCGGCGGCAAAGGTGAAGGCTGCGCCGCCGCCTCCCGGCGCGCACCCAAACGCGAGCGTGTCCTTGTCGTGGAGGCCGACGAGGTTGCCCTTGCCGATGCGAGCGCCATTGTGCCACACGCCGTTTGTCGAGCAGTCCTCCACGGTGGGTGGCGTGCCGCGGCGCAGGCGAGCGTGCAGGGCGCTCACTCGCTGGGAGGCGAGGACGAGGCTGCAGGTCGGCGCGCGGCCCACGCTGTGCTCTGCCTCCTCGCAATCGAGCGAGACGGAGCCGTCCGCAGAGAGGAGCTTGCCCCAGCTCGCACTCTCGTCGTCGGTCTCGCCGCCGCCCTCCTCCTGCGTGGCCGCCAGGCCGCCGGCATCCTCCTGCGTGGCCGCCAGGGCGTCGTCCTCCTCCTGCGTGGCCGCCAGGGCGTCGTCGTCCTCCGGAGCGGCCGCGCTGTCCATCTGACCTATTTTTGTCAGCCGCACCTCAGTCGCTTTGAGCGGCCGCCTGGGGGTGGTCAGCTGTGGCTGAAAAAATATGCCAAACTACAAGTGGAAGACCCGCCCGCCCGCGCTCCCCCCGCCCGCCCGCCCGCCCGCCCGCCCCCGCAATAAGCGCAGATGTCCTCTTCAGCCTGCCGAGAGCCACACTGTCGCTTACGCCTACCATAAAGCATAAACCCACGATAAGACTGCGCGACGCTGCGGATCAGCCCCAGTGCCCCTCCCAACCGTACAAAGCTCAAAGGCTGCGGTGATTGATAGTATACACAAGCAACCCAAATTCCAACACGTCGAAAGAAGTACACAGGTCGACGCTCGACACCCACCATGGCTCCGGATGTTGCTGGTGACGAGCAGTGTCGTGACGGGGTGGTCACGGCAGGGCCACCGCTCGCGCACACGTCGACGGCGCGACCTGAGAGGAAGGGGAACATTAAGTTCTTATGCCGTACCATCTGCCCTGGGTCGCTCGGCCACTCTCGTTGAAGCTTGGGCTCGACCCTTCCGCCGCTGCCGAGCCTACTCACACAGCGCGAGAACGACGCTGTTAGGTGGCTCAAGCGGGAGGGAGCGGTGACAGTGGGCAGCGAGCGTTGGGGGACAGTGGGCAGCGACTGATGATGCTCCTTCGCCTTAGGGAGCGGTTCAGCGGCTGGGCGGGCTTCAGGGTGGTGCTCACGCGAAAAGGAATCGACGCGATGTACAAAGCATACAAGAAGAGGAGTAAGAAGAGGAGAAAGACCAGTGATGACGAAACAGAAGCTAGTGCAGACGAGGGCAGGGCAGACCCGGGGGCGGCGGAGGCGGACCAGACGGCATCGACCGCCGAGGGAACGTTGGGAAGAGGCACGAGGAGGGCGGCGACCTCAGCCGACTATGGAGGACCCGTCGCCAGACGACGCAGGGCAGACGATGTGGAGGCGGAGCAGACGCGCAGGGCGAGACGAGGGAGGGAGCAGGACTTTGCGGAGATCAGCAGGAGGATGTACGAAGAGATTAGGAGCAGCAGGGACCCGAGGGACCATGTGGAAGACGGCTAGTGCTAGTCCCCCATCGGGAGGACGACCCCGGCTAGTCGCCGACCACACCCACAAAGAACCCTGCACAAAGATCGCAAGGGCGGGGACCTGTTCCTTTTTACCCATCTCACAGTAGAGGTGTCCGTTTTTATTTTATTTGGAGCTGGGAATAGGACCGTCTCCTTAAAATCCCTGTGTGGTGTGGCGGCGTGCCGTCCTCCCATCCGCATCCCTCCCTTGGGTCGCCTGTTTTCTTTCTTTCTTTTAGGACCGTTCCAAAATCCTACTCGTGCAGGTAGGGACCCTGTCCTCCCCCCATCCCTCGTCGGGGTTGTGTGTTTTCTTTCTTTTCTTTAATAGGACCGCCGCAAGCGGCGTGGCGTGGAGCGGTTGTGCATCCCTCCGGGGGCCCCTCTGCGCCGGGGAGGCGTTGTTGGAGGCTATAGGACGCAAGTGTCCGTCGCCCTTTTCAAACTCGGGGCCCACTCCGCTACGCTCCGACCCGAATTTGGAGGGCCTAAAAGTTTAAGGTGTTGCTGCGCAAAAGGGGTCGGACACAGGGCGCAGCTCATGCTAAGAGCTAGAAGAGGAGATAGAGAGAACAACCACCCTGTCCCGTTATTGCGTACACCAACACCACAAAAGCTCTCTCTCCTGCTCCTTCACTCATGGGGGTCACAACTACCGAGTCCCTAGAGTCTAGCTGCCACGTTCAAAACCAGGACGGCGGCAGTGATGGTGCTATCACGGGCATGATCCGTGGAAAGTGGAGAGGGTGGTATGGGATAGTAGAGCAGACGCTTTGTGGGTGGCGGGTATGGGCGGCGGCGTTGGGTGGCCCGGCCGAATCGTTAGCGGAGCTCCTCCCTCAAGCTCGATCACGCATGACGCACGTTGAGTGACAACGGCGGCGAGCTGCTCAATCAGGCCAGGGTGAGAGCTGTGAACTGTGAGTGAGGGTCGGCCTGCTCGCTCACGTTCTAATGTGCAAGCTGGGGGTCGCGTGACAAATGTGACGGCATAAATCCCACATCGCTGGAATTAACATCTGTGGGCATGCATGATCTGCCGCATGTCCACTGCCGTTTATCTTGAGCACTTGAGCACTGGATAGAGGGTCGATTCCGCATGGTACGGGACCCCTCGATCGTCTCGCCCTCCCTCACTGGTGTGTTCATTGGGGGGGGCGGGGTCATAACAAACACGGCACAGGATCGAGGTGCACGCTGCTGAGGCCGTTTGTCTTGTTTTCTGCATGTAAATGATATGGCTGCGTGCCTCGCGACATGGCGACGGGCCGATCATGTGTGTAGAGGCCGTAAACTAGAGCCGTAGGCCGTAAAGTGTGTTTGACCTGTGGGACGCATCACGCATGTACACAGTACAGGGTGGTTGATCATCATTGATGGCTCCTCCCTGTCCCTCTCCCAGCAGTTACAAGAAAGAAAACGGAGCGGCGTGATGCTGCGCTTCATTGATCAGATGTGTCATTCTCTTTCACATATGAGTCATGAGACATGACACAGATCTCAGTACTCAGACATGTCAGATCGTCGCGCGGCCCCTGCGCCCCAGCACCCACACGACGCACCCGGCCGCGGCCTTGCAGCTTGCACGCACTAAGGCCGGTACGATCGAAGTTAGGGCCGCCCACGAAGTAACGAGAGCTCCCCCCGCCCCTCCGACAGTCACTCTCCGTGAGTCCGACGCACCGAGAGTGTCCGAGACCGCACACCGCCCCCAAGCGCTTCGTCCGGCGGAGCTCTTCTTGTGGCGCTCCGCACGCACGCAATCGCCCCCCCCCCCTGTACCCACCCACGTGCGCGCAGCCCTCGGCTTCAAACCCTCCCGTCGGTCTCGCCGTATAGCACGCGGCGGCCATACGGGTGCCTGTTTTTGCGGAGGCGGCTCGCCGGCCGACGGACCGCGGTCGAGACCGAGCCGGGGCGACCCGTGGAGTGGGTGGGTGGCTCCACCTCCAGCACCGCGTGTTCGTTCGCTTGCGCTTCCACTGCCGACCCCCCTCCGCTTGCGCCGCAAGAGGCCTCGCCCTCGACAGGAGCGAGGGATGGCGGCGGCGAGCCGCCGCCCGTCGCCGTCGCAGCGCGCAGAGGCGGGAGCATCGCCTGGAAGCAGGGTCCCACGCGGCTGCCGGCCGACGTTCGCTCCTTTGGCGACTGAGTATCGCCACAGTTTCCCCTCCAGAGCCCGCGCTGCTCCTCGGCGCGGCACGACGGGCACAGCCACTGCCCAGCGGGGACGTCGGAGAGGGCGATGACCGGCTCGAGGCAGAAGAGGTGAAAGGCTTGCGGACAGTCCGCGCCTCCGGGGAAGGAGCCATCGCAGAGCAGGATCGGGTTTGAGGCCGAGTCTTCGCCGGAGCCGCAGTCGTAGCACACAATGTCAGGTACCGCTACCTCGGTATGCGCATACTGGGACTGCGGATAGTCGGGCTCAGGCGCGGCGGGTGGAGGCGGTGACGGCGGTCGCCGGGGAGCGTCCGCAAACGTGGTGCCCTCCACGACGCTGCCCTTCCGCCTGCCGGTGAGTATCGCCGCTGTCTCCGCTTCCAGCACCATACGCACAAAGCCTCTCTCCTGCCGCGTGACGCTGGAGCCACGCTCACGCTCCACATGCGCGCGGCACTGTCTCATCGTGAGCCGGTGCACCCGCGCGGCGGGCGAGCTTCCACCGCCTTCGTGGATGGCGCCGAGCGCGATCTCGCGCAGGTTCTGGGTACCGCCGCGGAGAGACATCCCGCTAATCTAGCTGCAACCCTTTCCCACCGCTCCGGGGCACGCTGTTCACGACGCCTGCATAGGCCAGATGGAGAGGCCAATATGCTCGAGCCGCCCGCCGATGCAAGCAATGAGCGTTTAGGCTAGACGGCACGCCGTCGTATTCACAAAACACACACACGAGACATTGGGCAACACATTATTGCCGTCGCTCGCTCGTGATGACACATGACAGTGAGTCCGACCTCTCCGCAGAATCCTCCTCTCCCACGACTTCGTCGAACTCGTCGTCCGACTCGCTTGATTGGGCGGGCGCGTGCTCGGGATTGGGCACTTGCGGGGTGGGCTCTGCCGCGGCACGTGCGTGCCCAGCCCAGCGGGAGAAGATCTTGCGGCACAGGGCCTCGGCGCGGAACTCGGCCATCCGCGCCGCACGCATCATTCCGATGGCGCAGTAGTTCGGATTCGAAAGGTCTCGCACGTCGCCAACAATGGCGATGAAGGGAAGGCGCGTCACGTTGAAGGCGCACACCTTGTCGGCGAATCGGACGCGCCGAAGTGAGGCTCCTTGGCCCGCGGTCGGCGGGGATGGTTGATTGTGGTTGGCAACCCGATTCAAAACTCACACACGGGCGGGCGTGAGACACACGGCGGGTCAGCCGGTGTTTTGCAGGAGGTTGTCGTACTCCCTCAGGCGTTCGGCCCACGGCAGAGCGTTGTGCCCGGTTCGCCCGCGCTCGGCTTGCTGCCGAGCGCTCGGGTGAGACAAGGCGAGGTCCTCTGGCTGGCTTTCGCCCCTCGACAGCAGTGAAGATCGTCACACTCCCGATGGAGGCCGCAGTCATCTGCTGCTCGCCGTGCCGGCCAGCGCCCCGTGACACACAGGCGGGCGCTGGGCAGTCGCCGACTTCCCAGTGGCGTCGCTCGCGCCGGGGCGTCGGGCGCCGCCCCGGCGGATGGAGTGTGGAGGGTGAGGCAGGGTTGGGCTGAGGCGAGGATGAGGCGAGGTTGGACGCGTCCGCCAGTCCAGGCCGCTCCTCAAAAGCGGCGTCCTTGTTCACAGCGCACAACAACAACTCTCTCACGTTACAAGGGACATACAAGGGACAATCTGCAACAGTGCAGTGTGGAGTTCAGGCCTGGGACCGAGCCCCTAGGCGACAAGACATGCGCAGAGGGAGGTGAAGCGCGGTGGGGGGCCGAAGTCGAAGACGAAGAATGAGGCTGAGAGTATCTCCGCAGAGCCCGAAGTCTCGCACGATCCCGGATCAAGGGTTGGCACGAGCGTAACCACCCCTGAAGTGGGGCAGTTAACACGATGGCCTGCTGAGCCGTGTGATGGCGATGGCCCGCCAAGTGGTCAGGAAGTGAGGGTTGGGGTGATCCGGTGGGACAGTGCTGCACCGCCCCAAAGGGGTTGGGTATGTTACGCGCGTTTCTTTTTCCTTGCTCGACGCACGACGCCGCCCTCCACGCCCTCCACCGCCCTCCACCGCCCTCCACCGCCCTCCACCGCCCTCCACAGCGATGGGCAAAAAGAACCGTGGCAACCGAGGCGGCTCGAGTGGCGACGCAGGCGCCTCGATGAAGCAGCAGCGGCTCGCCAACGAGGCCAGGCGAGCGGAGGCCAAGGCGGCCGAGCGGGCCGAGAAGAAGAAGGCGAACCCGCTCTCTCGCACTTCCAGCACGACGCGCGCGCACCTGACGCAGGCCGCCTTTGTCGCGCTGCCGCTCTCGGCGGCGACGCAGCGCGCGATCCACGAGGTTCTCGGCTACGAGACGATGACGCTGGTGCAGGAGCAGACGCTTCCCGTGGCGCTGACGGGCAAGGATGTGATTGCAAAGGCCAAGACGGGCACGGGCAAGACCATCGGCTTCCTGCTGCCCACCATCGAGCGGCTGGCTGGGGGCGGCGGCGGCCGCGGCCGCGGCGTGCGGGCGCTCGCCATCTCGCCGACGCGCGAGCTCGCCTACCAGATCCGTGAGGAGGCGGAGCAGCTCATCACGTTCCACAAGCCGGCCCTCGCGTCGTACTGCGTCGTCGGCGGCACGAACGTCAACGCGGACGCCAGCCGACTCTCGTCGAGCCCGCCCGCGCTGCTGGTCGGCACGCCCGGCCGGCTCAACGACCTGCTCGCCAACCACGGCCTCGCCGGCCTCGCCGCGGGGCTGGAGGTGCTCATCTTCGACGAGGCAGACCAGCTGCTCGAGATGGGGTTCCGGCCCGACGTGCTGCGCATCCTCGACGCGCTCCGGCCCTCCGCCGCCACGCGGCAGACCCTCCTCTTCTCCGCGACCCTGCCAAAGGACGTGCTCAAGGTGGCGCAGTTTGCGACGCGAGACGCGACGCTCGTCGACACGGTCGGCGAGGAGGCGGAGCAGACAAACGCGCACGTGGCGCAGAGCGTCACCGTCACGCCGCTCGCAAGCCAGGCGGCCGAGCTCCTGCTGCTGCTGCGCTCGCTCACCCTCGACCCGCCCTACAAGCTCGTCGTCTTCTTCGTCACCGCGCGGCTGACGCAACCTTTGCAGGACACGTCCAGGACACGTGCGACACGTCCGAGACATGCCCACAGGCGCGGCTGACGCAGCTCTACTCGGAGGCGTTCGCGCTCGCGGGGATGCCGGTGCTCGAGATGCACAGCCGCAAGTCGCAGGCGCAGCGCACGCGTGTCGCCGACCAGTTCCGCGACGGCGACAACCTGATCATGTTCTCGTCGGACGTCTCGGCGCGCGGGATGGGACGGGACCAGCGCTCGCCGGCGACAGGTCCGTGACCCACGGCACGTCCCGCAGGCGCGCGGGATGGACTACCCGGACGTCACCGCCGTGGTGCAGGTCGGGATGCCGTCCGAGAAGGTCGCAGCGCACCCGCCGCAGGTCGGCACGCGGGAGCCTGTTTCCGTGACCCGCCTCGGAGCTTGCCCTCAGGCGCAGTACATCCACCGCATCGGCCGCACCGGCCGCGCCGGCAAGGCGGGCGGCGGATACCTGCTGCTCGCGGAGGAGGAGGCGCCCTTCCTCCGCCTCGTTGCGGACCTGCCGATCAGCAGCCGGCGGGCGGCGACCGCCGCCGACGCGGCGGCGGCCGGGCAGGCGATTGGCGCGGCGCTCGCGCAGGTGCCCGCCGGCACAAAGCAGTCTTCGTACAGCGCGTGGCTCGGCTTCTACAACACCTTCAGCAAGCGGCTCGGCTGGTCCAAGGAGGAGCTGGTCCGTCGCGCCAACGTGTTCGCTTCGACGGTGCTGCAGCTCGACTCGCCGCCCGCCCTCGAGGCGAAGACGGTCGGGAAGATGGGACTGAAGGGCGTGCGCGGGCTCATCATCGGAGGCGGAGGGGGCGGCGGCGGCGGCGGCGGCGGCGGCGGCGGCGGCGGCGGTGGCGGAGGCCCGCGCAAGACGATCGACAAGCGAGGCGGCAAGGGGGGAGGAAAGGGCGGAGGAAAGGGCGGGTGGAAGAAGGGCGGCAAGGGTGGTGGAAAGGGCAAGGGGCGGAGGTGAGTCTTCCCCCCTGCGACTGAACTTCGCGCGCTCCTCCGCTGAGCTATCCTAAAAGCTGTCCCGCCCCCCCGCGACTGAACTTCGCACGCGGCACGCTCCTCCTCTCGTGTAAAAATCAAAAATATTCTTAGAGAGCCGTGTAGCTTCTTGCCCCCCTCCGACGGACTGGAGACAGAACCCACCCGTACACAGGAGAGATGGGACTGCCCCCCGCCCCCGCTTGCCCTGCCCCTGCGCAGGATAGCGTGCCCCAATCGGCGACACATAGCGGGGGACACTGCGCAAGGAGGGGGTGCGACGGCTTTCTTTGTCCTCTTCTCGGCGCCCATGGCCTTCTCGCTTCTGAGGTTTCGTACGATGACGTCCTTCTTGGCACTTCGGGCGTCGGTGTGTGTGTGTTCCCTCGGTAATGTGCTACGGGTATCGACGCTACCGGTCCACGAACATCTACTCTGCTGAGGTCGGCCGGTGGCACCTCGATGGTCGAGTGGCCTCCGGTTCGAAATCGGCGAGTTGACCCTTATATTTTTTCACACCTGAGCGGGCTCAATTTTGCTCTGATGCCTCCTACGTATTCGAACTCAAGTTCTCGGGCAGGCGCCCGGTGCGTTGGTCGTTTTTCGTCACGAGAGTAATCCTCTCGACTCTCGTGAAAAATAAATGAATAAAATTAAAAACGGACACCTCTCTACTGTGAGATGGGTAAAAAGGAACAGGTCCCCGCCCGTGCGATCTTTGTGCAGGGTTCTTTATGGGTGTGGTCGGCGACTAGCCGGGGTCGTCCGGAGAGCGTGTGTGTGTGTGTGTGTGTGTGTGTGTGTGTGTGTGTGTGTGTGTGTGTGTGTGTGTGTGTGTGTGTGTGTGTGTGTGTGTGTGTGTGTGTGTGTGTGTGTGTGTGTGTGTGTGTGTGTGTGTGTGTGTGTGTGTGTGTGTGTGTGTGTGTGTGCTCTGGCGAGAGTGGCGTCTGGGTCCTCTCGCTGAGCTGAAATATGTGAAAATAAAAGCGTGAAAGTCATATGGCGCACCAAGATCGTGCAGGGCCGGGACACATGTACAGTCCCTAAATCCCATCTCGTCTCCACAGTTTGACCGTTTTATTCATTTTATTTATTTATCGGTGATCATGAAAACAGCCGCGCGGGAGGCGCGCGGAGCACAATAGCGTTCAACTGGGCGCAAGCCGCCCTCAGGCATATAAATCTATTGACACGCCCCACGCAACACCAGAGTTTGGGTTATAAAACGCCTCGTGAATGGCCGCTCTTCTGGGCCTTTGGTTGGGCTTTTTGTTTGTTTTGTTTTGCGCTTTTTGAGTTTCTGAGAGAGATTTTTATTAACCAACAAGAGTTTGAGATCGCAAAAATTCGAGAGACTTCCGGCATATCCCTACGCGTTTTTGTCTAGGTTTTGTGTGAATGGCGCCCTCTTTTTGACGAAAGTGACCGGAGGTCAAAAGTCGTGTCACGATCCGCCACAAGCCTGATAGCCGCGCTCTTGTCAGTGTATGGGCGACGACTTTGACGACCTGCCGCCTCTGGATGGTGTCGGCAGCGGTGAAGACCTGTTTGCGAGCTCCGCGCCTCCATGCGGCCAGCTGCCGCAGATGTTCCCGGAAATCGACGTGCAAGCGCCAGCGGCAACGCTCGCGTTGCCTGGTCCGATGGTTGTCGCGTCGACACGCGACGGCATTGATGCTGTAGTTGCTCGTGTGCGCGCTTCTCTTCAGTCGGGCGAAAGTCCGACCATGAAAGACGCTTTGCAGCTCCTTCAACGTCGAGACGAGCTCGGCCATCTCATTCCGGCGCACCCGGAGGTCCGCCTGGAGGCTCCACCACCATCGCTTCAGTTCTTGATGCACGAGACGAGGAGCGAGCGAGGCACGCCACAAGTCACGACGTCGGGCCCTGGGTCGGGAACGCTTTATCCGTGCGAGTCATCGGCGATTCTGAAGACCACCGGGTCACCGCAGGACACGACATTGAGAGAGAAGCTCAGCATCTCCTTCTACAGGAGCGTGCAGACGAAGATTGGCCTCGAACTGCCCAAGCGGTCCCCGTCGTCAAAGACGGACTTCTCCGACATCAAGCCGAAAGTCTCACTTGTGACGATCGTCGCACACAAGGGCCAGGCACAGTCGAAGCGACCACGGCCAAACGCTAGCTCCGCACCAGGCGCATCTTCCTCTCGCAACCTCGACGTGGAGGGCGACGCCTCGATTGGCGGTCAGCTCACGGTGCGCGGCGATCTCAAGGTCGAAGGAGAGATTATTGGCCGGGTCACATCGCCAGACGCGGATGTAGCCGAGTGGTTCTGCCGCGTAAACGTCAACGAGCCGATCGGCGCGGGCGACGTGGTGATGCTGTGCGAGGGAGACAAGATCAGTCGCGGCCCTACGTTTGACAAGGAGTCGCCTCCACGCGATGTGGGCTACTTTGTGGTGAGCACCAGGCCGTGTCTAGAGGGCGGGAGACCGCACGACGCAGTTGACGCGGGTAAGGGCAACGTGGTTGCTCTTCTCGGGCAGGTCGACGTCAAGGTGTCTGGAGCGGCGCCCGAGGGTGCGCTGCTCGTGCCATCCGGCCTCGGCGACGGGCGCGCAGTCGCGCTGCCGACGGATGTGCTCGACGATAAGCGCCGGTCGCTCGCCTTCGGGCGGGTCATCGGAGCAAGAGCCTCGCCCGGGTGTGTGCGAGTGCTCGTGCCTGGGCCTAGCCTCGGGCCCGACCTGTCGCTGCTCGAGAGGGTGCGCAACTTGGAGGAGGCGAGGTGCGCGACCGATTCCTCCGCCCTCTTGGCAGAGACGCGAGCCGAGGCTCACACCACACCCTATGTCAGACTGGTCGACGGCCCCTCGGTGCTACGTCGGTGCCGGCTTATCAAGGCCGTGGTCCTCCTCGCCACCATCCTCGTCCCCGCGGTGGTGCTGAGCCGTGACATGGTCGTCATCCCCTTGATGGGAGCGCTCGGCTTCACCCGCCATGGCATCGCCAAGGGCTCTTGGGCAGCTGGCGTCCAGCGGATCCAATCCCTGCACCACGTCAAACTACCGTCGTGGTTCCGGCTGCTGCAGTCCATCGGCAGCAAAGGACACCTTTCCGGATTGCAACAGATGGAGGCAGCCTCGGCTGTCGCCGCTCTGCTGCTCGTACACATCCTCATGTGTTGGGCGGTGTTTTGCTGCTGCGCGGCCGCACGGGCACGAGCTCAGAGGCGCGGATGAGTGTCCACCAGGACCACAGCCCACATACATGCGCCCCGCAAACCCGGTGCATGGCTTGGCTACCGGGCGCGCTTCTTTGCAGAACGCCCCGGACGAGTTACCGGGACGAAGTGTGTAAAGCACCGTGTAAGTGTGTGTCTCTCTTTCTGTGCGCGGTGGCGGGGGGGCGGGCGGCGGAAGGGCGAAGGGCGATGCGATGTGTTCGCGGTGCGCGGGGCCGGGCGGCGGGGCGCGTGTGACGACACAAAGGCGCTAGGGTGTCGCTTCTCTCTCTCATTGATAAGGCCGACATGACAGTCCAACGAGCTCTGTCATGGAGCACAACTCGCATGTTGTGCGGGAAATCTCTCGGGAGCGGATGAAACAGAATGGCCAGCACTTCCCGGTCCCCGCAGCTGTGAGCTAAGCCGCGGCGCCGAACGATGCTTGCTTAAACACCTTTTGCGCCTCCTCGTCTGAACAGCCGGTGTAGAACTTGAAAAACTCCGCACGCGAGACCACGCCGTCCTTGACGAGCTGGTCGGCCTCGGCCATGTCTAAACGACCATCAGCGGAGGCCCGATGTGCCGTCCCCATCTTTGTCAAACTGTTTGAAAATGGCCATGATGTCCTTGATCTCCCGGTCGGTGCAGCGAGCCTTTCCCCTTTAGTGCGTCGAACTGCTGTGCGTGATCGACAAATGCGATAGATGCCTCTGCCGGCGAGCACCCCCGGAATAGAATGCGAAGAATTCCATCGGGTCGATCTTGCCGTCCTTGGTGTACTTGACGCCATCATCGACACCCATTGCCTTCGCAAGGTGCTCCATCTCTTTCTCATCAATCTGGCCATCCTTGTCGGCATCAAAATCGAGAAAGATTAGATTTTGAGGATGCCGCGGATCTCGTCGCCCGACCGCACTCCTTGAGCGGCTTCGGGAGAATACGGGGCATCCTCCGTTCTACGCACAGTTGCGAGCCTGCGGGCGTCCCTCACAGCTTACAGTCACAGTCGCGAGCTGACAAGGTCGGCCGACCGAACAGCGAAGCTGGGGCAAACGTCCACCGTCCTCGATGGGAGGACGAGCACAGAGCAGTTTACTCGATGGAAATCTTCAGAGCTCACACATAATCACAGAACTTGAAAAAACACTTCTACACTTCTCTCTCAGAACTTGTCAGTTGCACCAATCTTCGTGTGGGATCCGGAGAGGGGGTCCACTTTGCTGCCTTGAGGCTTGAGAGCGAAGGATAAGCTGTTGCCGTGCTAAACCTGACCCACTGCACATTAAAAAAGAAAAACTCGAAAGCTCCGCGCAACTCCTAGTCGGCGGCGGCAGCCCGGCGCCGGCCGGCGATCGCCCGGGCTTCTTGGTTGGTTGGCGAACATCAGGTCGCTCAGCGTCGCGACAGCTGGCGTCGCGATGTCAAAGCGGGCTCGCGAGCCGCGCACCACTCGTGCTGCTTCTGCTGCAAAGCGCACTGCCTCAGCGGTGGCTCCGGTGGCAGCCAAAACAGCCATCGCCGCTCTGGCGTTGAGCGCCCGTGCGCCGCAGCCGCTCTTTGCATTGGCCGACGAGGATTCGCTCGTGCCCGGCGTTGTCCTCCGGCGACCATCCGCCCGAAACAAGTCGCCGTACGTTGGCGATGTCCAGCTGTCGGACGGCCGGGTCGCGATTGCGCACATGCCGTCCATGGACATGGGTGGCAAATGTGTGCCAGGCGCGGCCGTCCTTCTCAAGACCCAGATCGACAAGGCGACAAAGTTGCCGATCGGGCCTGACGTGGTGGGTAAGTACGGCACGCCAAAGTGCGAGTTCATCCTCAAGCTGCTGCGCTGCACAGAGCCGGAGAACGCAAGCGCCGCGGGCGGCGGGTGCTGGGTAGGAGCGCACCCGAGCCTGGGAGAGAAGGCTGCGAACGCGCTCATCGCCGGCGGCTCCTTGGAGAGCGAGCTGGGCGAGATCGCGAAGATCGAGCGCGAGGTTCCCAACGTGGCGGGGACAGACATGCGCTGCGACTTTCTTCTCACGCACCGCGACCGCAGCAAGACCATTCTCGAGGTCAAGACTGTGGTCGACACAGACTACGACCCCGCCATCTCGCCGCCCGAGCGCTTCCCGAACCGCAAGTGTGTCTTCCTCGGCAAAGGGTCGCCCTACGCCCGCGCCGCCATCTTCCCGTGGGGAAATTCGAACCAAAAGGGGCCCGACGGCGAGAAGGTGGTCTCAGCGCGCGCCATCAAGCACGTGCGCGAGCTGACGGCCATCGCGAGGGGCGAGAAGCGCGAGGCTCCGCCGGAAGGGACGAAGGCCGAGTCGTCGCCGCCGCTCCGCGCGTGCGTCCTCTTCATCGTCGTCCGCAGCGACGCAACCTACTTTCGGCCAAACGAGGAGGCCTGCCCCTCGTTTGCGCGGTATCTGCGCGAGGCGCAGCAGGCGGGAGTGCGTGTCCTTGCGCGCCGCGTACGCTGGGGCGAGGAGGCCATCAAAGGCGAGGCGCTCGGTGCAGCGATAGACGACGGGCCGCTCAGAGTCGAGCTGTCGGAGGGCAGTGTCGATTGAAGAATAACTCGACCAGCTACTAGAGCCGTAAGCGTTAACAATAGAATATAGATGCGGCTAGTCCAGGAGAGATGCAGATAGCAGATGGGCGGGGGGGAGCCGCGCAGCCGGGACGACTCTCCAGGTCCAGCGCAGCACGTTCTCGTACATTTGCTCTGTTATAACCTATCGTGTGCCTCACAACCTTTTCTCCTCGACTCCTCCACGCAACCATACACGTACTACCCGCCACGAGGCTCTCCACACATCTCACAACTGAGGAACCCCCGGCTCGCCTCCGACTCGTGCCGAAAAGTGCAGCGCGTGCATGCCCAGACGGCTTCGAGCTCGCGATCGCTCTGCTCGTCGCGCCCGCGCTTCATCCGCGCAAAGTGCTGTGCGATCGTGAGGGAGCTGCCGCTCGCCCTGCCGCTTTCCACGTCCTGATGCGACGACCGCCGCTCGAACGGTCGCCCGCTTGAGGCGCCCCTCGCCTCCGTCGCCACCGCCGCCGTCGTCACCAGCGCCGCCGTCGTCGCCACCGCAGCCGTCGCCGCCTTCGTCGGTAGTGCCGTTGACGCCGCTGTCGTCGTTGCTGCTGCCACCAGCGCCTCCGGGACTGCCGCCGGCGCTGCCGCCGGCGCTGCCGCCGGCGCTGCCGCCGCCGCCGTCGCCGCCGCACCACGGCCGCCTTCCTGCAGCATGCTGGCGATGGAGCGCGCGGCGATGGGCGCGAAGTCACCGCACGAGAGGCCGAGCCGCGTGAGGGTGGGGAGGGGCGCGGTCTGGCACCCCTGTGGCAGCAGCAGGCGGAGAGCGGCGTCCACCACCTGCTCCGGGCCCCTGCGGCCCTGCGGCGGGAAGGGGCACTGGCGAGACGCGACGCGCGTCAGCTCGCCGACGCGGCCTGCGGTCCAGTTTCGGAGGTGGCCCGCGTCGAGTGAGCCGCGCCAGTGCAGCTTCAGCGTGCGCGGCGTCCGGCGGTGCCGCGCCGAGTCCTCCGCCACGCGCTCGAGCAGCTCCTCCGCGAGGAGGCGGAGCCACCGGCCCACCTCGGCGTGCTCGCTCGTCGGCCGGAAGGACTTGAGCGCGTTCAGGCTCTTTGGCGCCGAGCAGGCGCGCACCGCCTCGTCCAGCTCGCCCGCGCCAACCTCGTACAGCCACCTGCCGCTCTCCCGCCCAAAGAGGCGGCACAGCTCTTCCTCTCCCACGGCCGCGAGCCCCGCGATACTGCCCACGCAAGGCAGTGCGGCGGCGACCTCCTCGCCGAGCTTGCCACCGAGGCCACGGGCGCTGCGCAGCGGCGCCTCTCCGAGCAGGAGGTGCACCGCCGCGCGCGGCACAACCGTCTGCTGGTTGGGCTTCCGGCGTGCCGACGCGAGCTTGGCCACCAGCTTGGTGTGCGCGATGCCCGCGGAGAGGCGGTAGCCCGCCCGCTGCCACACCGCATCTCGCAGCCGTGAACACACAGCGGCGGCGCCGACGAGGAGCTGGTCCCATGGATCGACCGCGTCACAGCGCCACTCGCCCTCCGCCGCGTCGCCTGCCGCCCCCGTCGAATCTGGCGGCCTGCTCTCCAGCTCCTCTGCTGCCAGAGCCGTCACATCCACGTACACCTCGTCAATCGAGGCGCGCTCCAGGGTCGCGGCGGCACAGCCGGCGGCGCTGGCGTCCGCTTCGAGCTGCTGCTCGAGAGCATCCACGATCTTTCGCGACTCTTCCCGGTAGCGATCGAGCGACACCTTGGTCGTTGCTCGGTCAGGCGAGGCGGCGTCTCCGCTCTCGCCGCCGCCGATGGTTGCGACGTGCGGAATGTGCAGGCCGGGGCACAGGGCCAGCGCCTCGGCCACCTTCATCCCACGCTTGACACCGAACGGGCGCGCAGAGTAGGACACGGCGAGGAGGCCGCCCCACTGCTGCACCGCACAGGGCGCACCCTCCGGAAGCTTGAGCCGCCGGGCCTCAACCTGCGCGTAGAAGCAATCCGCGTCGAGGTGTAGGATGGCACGACGGCACGAGTCCGAGGAGCGAGGCTGAGCTCCTCCCGACATTGCATGAGTGGAGTGCGCGCACCCTGTCTCAGAACAACGCCGGGGTCTGCCGCCGCTTTTTTTCTTCTGTCTCCTCCCCAACAGAGGGGGACGTCCTCAAACCCAAAAAGAAAGAACGCGCGAATATGTAACCGATCCCTTCGACTAGTCCAATGCCGGCATGCTCCAAGGAGTCTTTCGACGCGGTCTCCGACCTGGTTCAGAGCTGGCAGCTAGAGTACAGCCACCACATCCAGCAGCTTGGCGTGTGTGAGTTTAGCGTGTGCTTCTCCCGCCCAACAATGGCCCGCCCCGTCCCGGCGACGGCGGCTGCACTGGTGGTGAGTGTGTCACTGGGGGAAGGAGCAGACGCGCCGACGCTGGTCTACCGGAGCGAGTGCGAGATCACCTGGCGGGCGGCTACAGAGCGCCCCGCGCGCCTCCTGGATAGCCTCTTCTCGCGCAAGGCGGCACTGCGCACGGTTCTGCATGGCAGAGCAGGGTGGGCAAGTCAGTGATTGACACGCCAAATTCTTCACAGCATGTCAAACCTGTTCTCACCGTGCAGTTTGCGTGAGCTACACGGAGAATCAGACAACAGCACCTTCGGAGTCTGAGCATTGACTCGTCGGCACTGTGTGAGCTGCGGGGTGAATGCGGGGCCTGCGGGGCCCGCGCGCCGCCCTGCGGGCTGCGGCTCAGCCTCGGCGGCGCCGGCTGGTGGTCGCGGTGCTGATGCCGGGCCGATTCGGTCCTCTGCACGTGGTCTGAGTGGAGGTTTCAGACGCAAAATATACAACCAAATAAGCTACGGGCCTCTGCCGCAGAGACCGCGTCTCCTCTCTCCCTGGTGTCACGCGCCTCTCTGCACGACAAGCTCCAGCAAGCGCGCAAACCGCATGCACATGTATGAACTGACCCCACCCCAGACCGCCCACAGCTGTGTTCCCGTCCACAGTCCTGATCGACAGCCAACACCGATCACTGTCAGGCCACGTTCCCGGCACAGCGCGCGCAGCACAACGAGTTGTGGGCGCTCCGCAGCAATAAGAGTTGCGCGCCCGATTCTCCGATGCACCCCCAGCAGCACTTACACCTTTTGCTCGGCGGCATTACTATCGTCGACGTCGTCGTTGTCGTCGGCAGCAGCTGCCTCCTCGTCTCCAGCCTCCACAGAGGTGCGATGGGACAGGTCCGTCTTCTCCTCCACGCCCTGCTCCTCCTCGTCCGCCTCTGCTGTGATGGCTTGTCCGGCGCCGAGCTCCTTGGCCGAGTCGCTCGGCCGCCCCCGCGGCACGAGGAAGGGGACGAGAAGGATGGGCAGGAGGCGCAGGGCGGAGCGCAGCGTAATATAGGAGGTGAGACCCTCAAACTCGGGCGCGTGAAGCTTCGGGTAGAAGATCTCGAGGATGGCCGTGCCCAAGTACAGGCCGGCGTTGCTGCCAAAGTTGGACAGACCCATCTGGAGGGCAAACATCGAGCCCTCGACCTTTGGCGGGCAGAGCTTGGCGCAGAAGATGAAGAAGGCCATGTCGCCGAGCCGGTCGACGATGGTTGTGAAGACGGTGTCGCCGAAGAGGATCAGCGCCCAGTCTGGAAGCCAGCTCGCCCAGAGGCGGGTGACAAAGATGAGGTCGACGATGCCCGTGAGCGCGAGGAAGAGCTGCGCCGACGCCAGCATCGTGCGGAAGCGCCAGCGGACAAAGTACGAGGAGTAGAGCGTAGTGCCCGCCACGATGGAGAGCATGCTCGCGACCCCGAGCCAGCTGTAGACGCTCGGCTGCAGGCAGGGGTACTCGCGCGCTTTCGACCAGCCGCACACCAGCTCCGTCGTGCTCAGTGGGTCGACGTAGCACGTAGTGTTTTCGGCCGCGCGGAAGTCCGCCTGCTCCCAGTCGACCGGGAGTATATCCGTCGTGTTGGAGGGGCAGAACTCCGCCTCGCACTCGTCCTCGGTCCAGCACCGCGTGTCGCCCTTCGACGGGTCGTGGGACCACGCAAAGAGGATCTCCGTCGACGGCACGATGGCGCCCCGCAGAAACGCAAAGAGGATGGCCTTGGCCATGACCGCGTCCACCCGGCGCAGCACGGCATAGAGCAGCACGCAAAGGGTGCAGTTGCCAGCCACGGTGATGGCGGCGACTGCCGTCGGGTTGGAGCCTCCGATCGCCAGCTGAATCGTGCCGAGGGCGACCGAATAGACGCCGACGATGAGGGCAGCGAGGAGGACGAGGCTGCCGGTGCGGTCCGCGCACAGCTCGCTCATCACGCAGCGGAACCACGGGCGTGCCGAGCCCTCCCTGCGCTCGAGCCAGCCGAGGGCGGCGGGGACGAGGACGGCGCAGGCGCAGCCGGCCGAGAGGCCAAAGGGAAGGCGCGGCGAGGCGTACTCGACCATGTAGCCCCCGCAGGCGACGGCGACGGCACCGAAGAGGCCGAACGCGCCCCAGGAGAGGCTCTGCAGCTGCGCCGCGCGCTCCGGCACCTCCCGGCACTTGACGGCGATGGTGGCGTCGACGACAACATCGCCCATCGCAACGTTCAGGTTACATAGGAGCAGCAGGAGCGCCAGGCCCGCGGCGGGCAGCATCGAGGCCGGAAGCACGGTGAGCATGAGTGCGCCGGTGAAGCCGAGCAGGCCGCCGAGGATGAGGTACGGCGAGCGGTGGAGGCCGCGGACGGCGAGCGTGTCGGAGAGGATGCCAAACAGCGCCTTGAGCTGCCAGGGGATGGCCGAGAAGCCCTGCAGCCGGCCCCACTCCGCCGTCTCTATTTTGAGCGCCGAGAAGGCGTAGAACTTGATCGAGAGCAGGAGCAGGTTCATGCCGGCGCCCTGGTTGAGGCCGTACTGCGCGACCACGGACGCGCTGTAGCGCCAGCCGTAGGCGTCGTTGAGGCTGCGCATAAAGGGCCGCAGCCCGAACCCACTCAGGATGAAGAGGAGGAGCCGGGCGAGGCAGCCGGGAGCCTCTTGCTCGCCGCCCGGGCCCTCGCCCCCAAAGGAGACTGACCTCGAGGCCGCACGCCTCCCACGCCCGAGCTGGGTCGAGATGCGACCCGATGTGTGGCGTATGGCCGAGGCGCATCGGCCCAGCGCCGGCCGGACGCGCGGACAGGTGATGGGTCGCATGGTTGTGGCACTCCTTACGACCTTGGCGTTCGGATGGCGGTGAATTATGGGCGCCAATGATCCCCTGAATGCATGCGTCGGGCAGAAAGGTGGATGCAACGCGCGACCCCTGCAGTGCAGACGCGTCCTGCGCTGCGTTTGCGGGCGTCCTGCACTAAGGAAGACAAAGAGAAACCGCTGGCTGCCTTTGCTATGCGATTCTTTCTTTCTTTCTCAAATTCTTTCTTCCTGTCTGACTCTGTCTGTCTGGGTGTGGTTGTTGCTTTGACCGTTTGCTTAGTTAGTTAGGTTGCCGGCCGGACGGAGAATCAAGTCGAGAATCAATCAATCTGCACTCGGCTGCAGCACACTCACCCGCCGCCCCCAAGGCCAAGCGCACTCACACTCATGTGCAACAACAACAACAAATCTCTCTCTCTCTCATGTGTTTGTTGTGTTCACGTTCATAGCGCACTCACTCACCTGAGGGAGGGTGTAGAGGATGTAGAGTGTAGAGCGCTGTAGAGCTGTAGAGATGTAGAGCGCTCTGGAGCGCTGTAGAGCTGTAGAGAGAGCTCTACATCCGGGACGATGTGAGTCCGATGTAGAGCGATGTAGAGCGCGATTTTGCTGTAGAGTTTGTTGTAGAGGCTCTATACAGCCAACCCGCCTGGAAGGCAGTGACTCAAAAAGGTCGAGTCGCACTAATGGGGTGTCTCCGAGCTTGCTGGAGCTCTGATGGACGGCCCTGACTATCCCTGACACACAGTGAGTCACTCTGACGGCACACAACACCCTATAACTGCGTCATGACCAGCCTGCCATGCGTCGCCGGTGCCGCATTCGTCGCAGTGCTTCTTTAGCAGGCGGTGGACTGTCGGCTGCGAGGACGGTCGCATTTGCGCGAGGCGAGGCGAGCATTCAGACGCGTTGCATGCGCCATGACTCGCGCCAGCGCGTGCGGGAGCTCCTGGCTGAGCGTTGATTCCAGGCGAGTTGCGCTGGCCACTATTGCTACGCCGAGCCGAGCTGACGCGCCGAGGCGCCGGCCAGTCGCAGCCGTGAGGCATGCCACAGCAGCAGAGGCACCTCCCACCCATTGGGCGGGCAGACAGAAGGCCAGGGCAGCACTGGCAAGTGCAACGCGCCTCATGTCGGAGAGCGACCGTGCCTCGTTCGCCGCTTATGATGTAGAGTTTGTTGTAGTATGATAGTAGTGTGACAGTTTGGTCGGAGGGCGCCCGGGTCGCCCCGGAGCGGCCCCGCGCGGGGAGGTGGGTGGAGCTGGAGGGCGGGCACCACGCCATCGGGCAGGCCACGCGGGGACGCAGCCGGGGCCAGCGCGCGGCGCTAGATAGAGGGCCGGGCGCAAACTTGTGTGTGGCACCTGCACCGGCACCGGCACCTGGGTGCCGCGAGTTTTGGTGGTTCGAAAAGCGGAGCGCGCAGTCCGTAGAGATTTCACGTTGTTGAGCGCCTCTACATCGCTCTACAACGCAGGCAGTTCGTCCCGCGGCGGATGTAGAGCTCTACAGCGCTACAGCGCAGAGATTGTACGTTGTAGAGCGCCTCTACATCGCTCTACAACGCACCCGCATCGTCACGCGGCGGATATAGAGCTCTACAGCTCTACAGCGCTCCAGAGCGCTCTACATCTCTACAGCTATACAGCGCTCTACATACACTCTACATCCTCTACACCCTCCCTCAGTCTACGTGAAATCTCTACAACCCCGTCAGCAGTCCTCCGGGGACAAACTCTACATCCTCTACACCCTCCCTCAGGCAGCCACTCACTCTCCGTCAAGCACATCTACACACTCAACACGCACGCCTGCGTGGATCGCGCACACACCAATCCTCGCTACCCAATGCGGCCACAGGATATCCACCTCGAGAACCTCGAGAACACATTCACGGCTCACGCGCGCAAGGCCTCCCGCCGACGACCCGACCGTCGAGTTAGTTCAATTGGCTACGCCGACGGGACCGGCCAGCCGGCCCCAGCTAGCCACCTTCGCTGATGAGGGCTGACTGACAAGCTGCCGGGCCCAAATAGTCCCCGCGAACCCCCACCCACTATATAGCGCCACGCCCTCGTGAGCTGTCCTGTGAGCTGTGTGCTGTGCGTCCAGCAGTCCGGACCCAGTGCTACAGCCGGTGATAGCGTGCCTCGTGTCGGCTCCCGAGCCAAGCGTGTGCAGCGTATGTGTGCGTGTGGGCCCGTCCTCGCACCTCGGTGCTACGAGGTGTGTAAAGACTGACTGACTGACTGACTGTAAAGAGACTCTGACGTCAGAGAGAGAGAGAGAGAGAGAGAGAGAGAGAGAGAGAGAGAGAGAGAGAGAGAGAGAGAGAGTGAGTGAGAGAGAGAGAGAGAGAGACTTCTTCTCTTGGTTTTCAAAATTCTCTCTCACAACACATCCGTATTACATTGTGAAGCGCGTGAACAGGGCAGGGCTCCAGGCCGCAAAATGATGGTGTGAGGGGAAGATGTTTGCTTGTGGTTTTCCTTCCTAAAAATCTCTCGCGGGTTGTTTGCATTGTGTTGTCGGTATTGCTAATCTCTACACGTAAGAAGAAGAGAAGCAAGAAGAGAAGCACAAAGGAGATCAATCACCGGGCATGTACCCTTTTCCCTCCTCTCCCTCTCCTGTCTAGGAATTCCCTATTGTGATGTTAGAGGTGGGTTAAGAGGGAGATTCGCGCGAGCAGCGGGACCGCCGCCCGCCGGGACGGCGGGCGGGTGATTGCGAGAATTACTGTTAGATACACTTTTCTCACATGTATAGACTCGTATCTCAGAGTGTGCGCCCTCCCTTGCACATATGGTCTAGCCGTCGTGCGTCGACTTCCGTCGCTCCCATCCCCAAGTAAACAAACTCCCCCCTAATGCATATGTAGGGCTCTCTCTCCCTCCCTCCAGCAGTGCCCAGACCCCCCACAGTGGTCTCTGGTCAGTGCGCACAGAAGCGCGCGTGGTCCGTGGACGACCCGCGAACGGCCATTCCATTCTGGTGAGCAAAGGCACGGCGCTGCCCGGGCATGGCGCGCGGGAACCCACCCATCCCCCTTTGACCAACAAGCGACATCGCACTCACTCCCTCTCGCAGCAGCCTAGCGTGGCCTGAAAGACAGCAAGCAAACGATGGCTCAGCCTCCGCCGGGCTGGGCCGGGGCGGCCCGCCCTCACGTCATGCACGGTGTTCCCGGTGTTATGGCCGCTCCGGCTGGCTTCCCTGTCCCCCTCGCGGCGCCGGGGATGCATGCTGCCGTGGCGGCGCAGATGGCGAGTTCGTTCGCGGCCAACCCGTTCATGAGCCAACCGGTGATGGCTGCTGGGATGGCGCACCAGCCGGTACAGATGGTCGTCCCAGCCTACCCGCAGCAGCAGCAGCATCACCCCCACCAGCAGCAGCATCAGGTGTCGATGGCGATGCCCGCCCAGGTTCCGCCGCACTGGCAGCAGCAGCAGCACCCGCACGCCCAGGCCGTGGCGCATCCTCAGGCCATATCGATGCCAATGCCGATGGCGATGCCACAGGCTCAGCCACTGCCGCCGCAGGCCATGCTGCAGTTTGGGCGAGCGATGCACCCTCAAGGCGTCGCCCAGCCTGTGCAGCCGGTGCAGCCGCCGCAGCCGCAGCTGCAGCCGGTGCCCCGCCCCGCCGCCCCGCCGCCGGCGCTGCAGCCGGTGGCGCCGGAGCCGTCCGCGCCGGATACCCTCCCGGACGTGAGCTTGTCCATCGTCCCTCCGGATCAGCTCGCCGAGACCTCGGCGAGGCGCAAGCCGCGGCAGTGCGGCTCGTACGGCTGCACGCTGCCCGACCAGCATTCCGGGCTCTGCCAGATCCCGCTCGAGGCGGGCCCGCGCGTGCGCCGGCCGGCGAAGCGGCTGAGCGACGACGAGGCGAGCTGCTCCTCGCCGCGGGGCGGAGGCGCGCAGCGCGCCGACGCGGCGGCTGGTGCAGGCGGTGCGCCAGAGACGGACGCGGCGGCGGGGCGGCGGCGGTGCGCGATGAGCGACCAGGAGTTGCTCTCCCTGCCCGACGCGAAGGGGTACTCTGAGGAGGTGCTGCAGAGCACCATCGCCCTCTTCCGGCAGTGGTGCCCCGAGCAGGCAGCGATTCGCCCCTCGCTCCGGGGAGAGAAGGGGGGAGGAAGGGAGGGGAAGAGGGGAAAGGGGGATGGAGGGAGGAGGGGGGAGGGGAGGGGGAGGGAGGGGGAAGGGAAGGAAGGGGGAAGGGGTAGGTAGCGGGAAGGCAGGGGGAAGGGAAGGG